ACTACTTTGCTGGAAGATTACTAATGAGAACTTTTATGACAAAAGCAGACAGTCCCACCTTCACCAATCTACTCAGGGATGGGGTAGATGCGTTAAAACTAGGAGGGGGCTTTACAGATGCCAACTATCATAGAGTCAGTCAAAAACTTTTCTAAATGCTAATCAGTGGTCTCTATTGTGTCTGGCATAGCTGTGAAAAATCTCAGGTGGCTGGTATTCTGGGACATTTTCAAATATATTAAGTCTGCCCGTGGCACCTCTAATAACTGTCAAAAAGTATAGCGGATATTATAGCCTGGGGCAAATTGAGCATGATGTAAGACCTAGAAAAACAGGTTCTATTCAATATGAACTACTAATGTACTTGTGTCTATATCTAGGTACTGGAAAAATTACAAATATTGACTAATTATTTAAGAGAAGAACATTTGTATTGTATTTGGTGTGGAACAGCCTATGAAGGTAAAAAGATACTTTATACTTCTTAGAAATATTGACTATGAATGCTCTTTGATTTTAATAAAAGTCACCTTTCCCATAGACAGTGAAAATTTCTTATTCCATTCAAATAGAAATATGAGGCCAGTGTTTTAAAGAAATAGTGACTATACAAATAATTGATTCCTTATTAGAATTCATTTTAGCTTTTCAGTAACTGAATGTACAGGAGGGAATTTTTCAGTGTTTTGTTTCAAAAACAATTAGAATAACTTAAGGATGATGAATTTTTAAAGACTTATTCTTTAGCTACACATTTGAAAAATATTTAGATTAAATTTTTCAACAAATACATATTATTAGGTAGAATATTGTTCCTAACCATAAAATTCAGATTGTTGAAATCCACCCCTTTTGTTTTTTTTATTATGGGGGGATAAACATGCCCAGTACTGGTTCAATCCCTAGAGCCAAGTGCTTCCCCATGTGCCCAAGTTGATCTGGGTTATTGTTGTTTTTAACTTTTCCTTATTTGTTTAGTAGAGTAAATACCAAACAAAAGTCAAAAGTCATTGCTATATTGAAATTATTTCCTAGTGTCCTATAAAATTTGTATTAATTTATTATTCCCTCACATAAATTACAGATAAAGAAGACCTGTCTTCAAATTGCCCGGGACCAACTTCTGCAGATCATGACTAAGATTATTCCCAATAAAGTGGAAACTGTTTATACCACCAAGGAAAAGGGGCCTTTACTTAATGCTTTATTCTTTTGTGCTTTAGAAATACTTTGTACTTTAGAATATAATTGTTCACTGACTTGAAAAAAAATAATGTAATACTACTCAGAACACAAATATCATAGACATGGACAATTACAATTTATGGCTATATTGTGATGCTTGTGGCATTTAAGGACACTGACAGGTAATTTTCTTATTCCCCTCTTCACTTTTGAACAAACTGAGAAATAAGATACAGGAGTCAGAGGGAGACCAAAATGTCAGCTTTATCAGCCATGAAACTGAAAAAGAGAACAAGGTTGGCTTTTTCTCTAATGAGGCCCCCTAATTTTATTCCTTGATTAGAGAGAACTGCAGTCCTCTTCTTGGTAGGGGCAGAGCCCACTTATGTGTTCTTTGACCAATTGGTTCCAACTGACCAACATGCTCAGTTCTTTATCCAGTATCACCTGTCAGATAAGACACTTCTCTTGTGGGAAGGGATGAATGAAGGTTCAGAGACCTTGTTTCCTTATTTCTCTCTCCCAGGGAACAAGAAGTTCTCTTCCCCAAACCAGGAGGAAAAGGAGGAGGGTAAGACTGGCATCACAGGCAATCTTCCATTAGCACTACTAAATTCTGATAAGTTTTGGAGACAAAGTAGTTTTGTTGTTTCTGGTTCAAGTAAGTTTTCATGGCAAGGGATATGCATTGCAAGTGATCTGTTGCAAGTGTTATCTAAAGAAACTTAAGAATTGGCAGGAACCTTAAATTTCATGTGTTTCGCCTACACTGAATTTGGAAACTCCTGATCAGCATTCCCAGCAAGTGGTAATCCAATCTCTACCTTTATTCTACCAGCTATGGAGTACTCACTGCTTTAAAACCATTCCATTGAGCTGGGGATATGGCTTAAGTAGTAGCGCACTCGCCTGGCATGCGTGAGGCACTGGGTTCTATCCTCAGTACCACATAAAAATAAAATAAAGATATTGTGTCCACCTGAAGCTAAAAAATAAATATTTTTTTTTAAAAAAAACCATTCCATTGCTAGATAGGCTATAAATTATTTTTATGTTAATTTTTCTCTCCTAAATTAGAATCTGTCTCCCTATAAATTTAATATATATAAGGACATACTATATAGCATAGGTCTAAAGAGTCCCACTGAGGGTCAGGCATCAAAATCATAAACATTTTTTAAAGTCCATATGCTCAGGTTCTCCCCAGTAATTCTGAATCAACTATGTTAGGGGAGCTCTTAGATGTCTATTTTCAAGTTCTAAGAATGAGTTTGATAAGTAACCAAGGATAATAACTAGTGCTGTTGCTTAAATAAAGTGTACCAGCATCACTGTATATTTTTTTGATAATTGTGATTACACCTATGTGATTTTACAGCTTACTTTTCAGTTACCTTTAGCAAGAGATCAATTTCTTCCTTTTACTAAAAACAGCATACACAAGAAAATAGCAAAAGCTATTTTTGCATAGGGCAAGATAATCAACAGTATAACTTGTATGTATTAATCTCTGATGTTATATGACCTAATTCATTTGTTTTCAAATTTTACATGGGGGACTTCAAGAAATAAATTTGCCTCCCTCCTCCCCACCCCAAGATTCTAATGTAATTGGCCACTCTGTCTTGGCAACATGACTTTTGACTCAAGATGCAGCATAGCTTGAGAACCACTAATTTGGTTAAGTTATCGGTCTCAGTTCTTCAACCAAAAAAAAGTAATAATTTGTATAAATGTACAGATATGAAACACCAATATTTAAGTGTATATTTGGGTACTATTATTTAATATTTGCTCTTTGTCTAAATAGCAATAAAATTGTATTAATAGCTAAAACAAAGGAGTACATCTTTCTAGAACTTGACTAAGCAGGAGGTATGCCTCCATTCTTGTGCACCTAATGTTAAAAATAGAGGCTTCAATAAGAGTGAAACATACTTTTAAGATGGGCATGGTGGCACATATCTATAAGCCCAGCTACTCATGAGGCTGAGGAGAGAGAATCAGGCAACTTAGCAAGACCCTGGTCTCAAAGATAAAATTTAAAAAGATTTGAGGTGTGACTCAATGGTAGAGCACTTACTTACCTAGCATGCTAGAGGCATTGGGTTCAATCCCAGGTACCACACACACATACAAAAAAACTTGTGCAAATAGGCCTTTTGTGACCTCATAACCAGACAATGAAAACTGAGGGAACATTGAAAACAATTTAATTTGCTTTAGAACATTTACATGAAATTTTGAAACTTTAAAACAAAATAAGTTTTAACATGTTGTCATTTTTAAATTTTTATATAGTCATTACTTTTTTTGTATTGTGCATTTGTTTTCAAAGTCCTCTCTAGAGTTTTTTAGCATCTTCCTTAATTATAAATCCAAAATATGCAGCTTCTGACATTCAAAACAAATACTTTAAATGATCAAACTGATTTACCTTACACCTGTTTACTTCAAGTGTTATTTACCAAGCATTTAAGTGTTGGAATATGACGAGGAACATTCTTATTAAATATTAGACACATTTTGCAGGATCAAGCTTATGAAACTCTTTTATTCCACACCAATCACTAACAGAATTCCTGCTTTCTGCAAGGCAAAGTACCCAATGCCTTTTGCTTTCCAAAAATTTACAGTATACAACAATGGGAGAACCTGCCTTTTGCTTTCCAAAAATTTACAGTATAACAAGGGAAACACGCAAGAATTACTAACCTTGGAAGCAAATGGTAAGCACAATGAGGTGCTAAACAAAGGGAATGCTGGGGGAAGATGACTGCGAGTGGGATATGGTAGGACACCAGGGAAGTAACACAATTTGGTTCTGAAAGATGGGCGTAACTTTGATATGCAAAGTTGTGAAGCAGGAGTTACTATTATAACCCAGAATTCTATTCCTAGATATACATCAAAAAATAAAACATGTCTACATAAATCTACCATGCATATGTTTGTGGTAGTATTATTCATAATAGCCAAAAAGTGGGAACAATTTATGTTAGAGTCTGTAAACAAGTCTGGATGGTGCCTGGCATATTGCCAGAGGGAGTGGTTTGTGAAGTAACACCAGCGAGCCATTAAGTGTGGAGATTTCTTATTGGTTGACTGATGTATCTGGTTTATGCTAATTAAGATAAGCTGTGTGGAATGTATAAATACCTCTGTTGTCCTACAATAAACGGCTCCCACTCGGCTCCCACTCCTGCTGTATCAACGTACACAAGTTGTTCGTCACCCCCACCCCACCCCACCCCCCACCCCGGTTATTTTGCCCAGCCAGCCGGGCTGCGGCAAATTTGGGTCTGAGGTTGTGGCTCAATGGTACAGCATTTGCATGTGTGAGGCACTGGGTTTGATCCTTGGCACCACGTAAAAGTAAATAAATAAAATAAAGGTATTGTGTCCATCTACAAATGAAAATATATATATTTTTTAAAAAGTGGGAACAACTCAAATGTCTATTAACTGATAAAGAGATACATAAAATGTTACGTATTTGGCAACAAAAAGGAATGAATCACTGACTGATGCTACAACATGGATGAAACTCAAAAGCAAAATACTAAATGAAGAAGACCACTGTCAAATAATTATTTTTATATGAAATGTCTGGACTGAGCAAATTTATAGAGATAAAAATAGATCAGTGGTCTAGTAACATTGGGAGAAGATGGTGAGTGTCCATGGATATAGGATTTCTTTGGGGGGGTAACAAAAATGTTTAAAAATGGAATGTAGTGATGGTTGCACAACTCTTTTGAGTATACTAAACACCAATAAATTGTATATTTTAAGTAGGTAAATTATATTGAATGTGAACTCAATAAAATCATTATTTTATTTTTTTAATTTGTTCTAATTAGTTATACATGACAGTAGAATGCACTTTGACACATCATACGTAAATGGATTGTAACTTCTCATTCTTCTGGTTGTACATGATGTAGGATCACATTGGTCGTGTAATCATATATACACGTAGGGTATTAATGTCCAATTCATTCTACTATCTTTCCTATCCCCATACCCCCTCCCCTCCCTTCACTCCCCTCTGCCTAATCCAAAGTACCTCTATTTTTCCCCAGCCCCACACTTATTGTGAATTAGCATCCACATATCAGAGAAAATATTCAGTCTTTAGTTTGGGGGGATTGGCTTATTTCACTTAGTATGATATTCTTCAGCTCTGTCCATTTACCAGCAAGTGCCATCATTTCATTCTTCTTTAGGCTGAGTAATATTCCATTGTGTATATATACCACATTTTCTTTATCTATTCATCTGTTGAAGGGCACCTAGATTGGTTCCATAGTTTGGTATTGTGAGTTGAGCAGCTATATACATTGATCTGGCTGTGTCACTGTAGTATGCTGATTTTAAGACCTTTGGGTATGAACCAAGGAGTGGGATAGCTGGGACAGATGGTGGTTTCATTCCAAGTTTTCTGAGGAATCTCCATACTGCTTTCCAAAGTGGTTGCATCAATTTGCAGTTCCACCAGCGATATATGAGTGCACCTTTTCCCCCACATCCTCACCAACATTTATTTAAAACCATTATTTTAAAAAGTTACACAGACCTGGGCAGGGTGGTGCATGCCTGTAATCCTGGTGACTCAGGAGGCTGAGGCAGAAGGATCATAAGTTCAAGACCAGCCTCAGCAACTTAGTGAGACCTGTCTCAAAATTTAAAAAAATAAGAAAGGTTTAGGGATGTGGTTCAGTGGTAAAGCACCCCTGTGTTTAATCCACAGTACCAAAAAAAAAAAAAGTTGCAGGATTTTCAGTAGAAATGATAGGAGAAGACAGACATGTGCATCTGGGTCTTTAATCCGGTAACAGAATGTGGGATGTGTAATGGGAGCCTCCAGGGAGCACAGCCCTGCCAAAACTTCAGCCAAGAGAAACTCATTCTACATTTCTGGCCTCCAGAACTATAATAAAATAAATATGTGTTGTTTGAAGTCATCAAATTTGTAGTAATCTGTTACTACAACCACAGAAATTAAAATAGGTCTTAACCAAATTAGTCCCCAAAAGATCACACATATCTGAGAAGCATTTTATTTCCCTTACAATTTTGCTTATTTGCAGTTTTTAAGTTAGAATTGAAGCCAGTAGTGATGTCACCATACATTTATTAATTGATCCCTTCATCTATGACCATTTTGGGAAAATGAAGGATTAGGATAAGGATAGGTCAAAATCATAGGTACTGAACTATAGCCAGTGACAACTGGACAGGCATTTATATGTAGCCAGTAAACATCTAAATACAAATGTTTCCTACCTGCACTTCTTGCAGTCTCTGCATCTTCCCCCTCTGGCAATGCCTCCAACTTGGATCTCCAAATGGGACTCAACATTTTACCTTCCGAACGTACCTCACCATATCGATGGATGGATGGTGGCCCCACTACTGGTTTAAATTCCAAATTACTAAAAACTGTGTATTAGGTAAAGGTGAGACAAGTAAAATACCTCTCAAACATATGTGATTCTTGGGTTTCATCTGATTATATTTTATTTAATGGCATCCAAATCCTGCCACTCACCTGAACAAACCTGGAGATAATCTTTGACCTTGACCTTTTCCATAACCCTCACATCTCCTGTTGTTCAAGCTTAGTCCTTCAGCCTTCTAACCTTTCAAATAGAGTCTCTTCCTGCTCTAACCCATTCTAAGCACATTAATTCCAAGTACTGGTTGGACCACACCCCTGTTTAAAAAAAAAATACTCATTTGTCACCTTTGGAGGTTGCTAGGCACTAACTCATTCTAAAAAAATCAATAAACATTGTCATGTGCTGGTTAGTACATGCCTGTCAAAATATAGCTACTCAACTGCTCTGGAGGCTAAAGCAGGAGGGTTCTCTATTATAGGCCAGACTGGACAACTTAGGGAAACCGTGTTAATATAGTATAAAAAGGGAGAAGTAGGGGGATGGGGTTGTAACTCAGTAGTAGAGTGCTTGCCTAGTGTGTGTGGAGCACTGGGTTCAAGTCTCAGCATCACATATATGTAAATAAAAAATAAAGGTCCATTGACAACTAAAAAAATATTTTTTTAAAAAAAGGGATAAACATATGGTGCAATCTAATGTAGTTGCTTGCCTCATGTGTACAAGGCCCTGGGTCCGAGCCCCAGTAACACTGAAAAATAAACTTGATAAATACTTATCCCTCTTTCCCATTCAGCTTTAGAGAAAGTTATCTATAGAAAAATCACAAATAATAAATGCAAGAAGTTTGGTAGAATCAGAAAATCAATATTTGGCAAACCCTAAAATGAAATAATGGACCCAGGCAACAATCATCAATGGTTTCTCAAACTGTAAGGTAAAAGAATGATGGAAAGCCTTAAAGTGGATTACACCACTATAACCTACAGATCAATCTAAAAATCACTGAAAATGGAACAATCAGGCATCTTGTTCCTCTTGAAGTATTGCAAAAATAAGTATACAGCATCGCCTATGAAGTACTCTTGAAGAAAAGTGAACCGGAATCAAATCAAGCTTCTAGATCTAACTAGACATCATGGGGATACCATCAGCCAAATCCTAAATGTAGGATGTTCTACAGGACAAATGATCCAGGTCCTTCTTTAAATACATGGCAAAAGGAAAGAAAACAGAGGTAAATGTTATAGAGTACAAGAGACCTATAACCAAATGTACTATTGGATCCAGACTTAAACAAGCAATAAAAAGATATTTTGAGATAACAAAACTGAAGGCAGATTAATTATTGTATGATATTAAAAAAAATCTTATTAATTTTAAGTGACAATGATATAGTGGTTTTGCTAAAATCTAAAATACCTTATTTATTAGAGATACATTTTTAAATATTTACAAGTGAAATGATTTTTAAAATTTTCTTCTCAGATACTCACATACATATGTACACACAGAGCTGGCTTCACAGACATGTGATCTGTGCACAAGACCATGCTCAGAAGTGTCCACCTTTAATTTTTTTAACAAGGGCCCTACATTTACACTTTGTAGTTGGTCCCACAAATTAGGTGGCTGGCCATACACACACATGTATACACATACTCCACACATAAATATGAATATATGTGTGCATATATATATATATATATGCTAAACATATTTAACATAAATAATGTAAGCATGCATGCATGTTACATATGTTTATGTTAAATAAACACACATATTTAACAAATAATATGCATGTGTAGCAATTAAAAATTAACGAGAAGGCCTGTTTCTAGTTAAGTAACTAGATCAAATGGCTCTTTCAAAACTATCTGCAAATAAGGTCCCTGGCTCTTGCCTCTCTCCTCTGATTAAGAAGATACTTTTTTATTTACTATTTTTTTGAGGCTGAAAAGATATATATTCACAAATAAATAGCTGCTAAGAGATGCTATATTTTTTCATAAGAATAGAAATATTGCACTAAGGGAAGGTTAAAAGGCTACATTCTCATGGCCACCTTCTTAAATTTTTCTTTTTAAGTATATCCTCATTCATTGAAACCAGACATTATTAGTTAAAAGAAAAAAGAGAAAGAAAAAAAACTTCTATCCACCCATAAAACTTTCAAACCTACAGAAAAGTTGAAATAGTAGTACAACCTACACATTTTATCATATTTGCATCCTCTCTCTCCATCTCTTTCCTTCTCCATATATGCACCAATTCTTACTGACCAGTTGAAAGTCCCAAACATCATGACCCTTTACCCCTAAATATTCCTGCATACATTAGCTAAGAATAAATGTTTCTCCTTGACCACAAAACTATTGTCACACCTGAGAAAATTAACAATTACATTGTTACCTACTATGCAGTCTGTACTCAAAAAGTTCTCAATTTGTTCCCAAAATGTCTTTTGTAGCCGTTTGCTGGGATTTTTTTTTTTTAATGTACAGAATACAATAAAGATTCAAGCATTGCCTTTTATCATTAGATCTCTCTTGTCTCCATTTAGAATAGTTCCCCTACTTTTTTTTTCATGACATTTGAGTTTTTGAAGACTAAGTCCATTATCTTGTAGAATGACTACATTGACTACATTCAGGATTTAATAATTTCTTCATGACTGAATTCTAGTCAGACCCTTTGGGCAAGAAAGCTAGATGCTATTGTATAATGTTTCTATCATGTCAGGAGGGGCATATGTTAGGTTGTTCCACCTTGTGTGATACTAGATTGAATGATTTGGTTATTGTAGTTACCACAGATCTCTCCATTGTAAAAGGACATTTTCCTCTTTGTAATATATCATCTGTGGGATAACACTTAAACCCTTTTGAATATTCTGTTTCCCAACATCTTTTCACCCAATTGTTTTAGCATCCATTGATGAACTTTGCCTTAATCAAATACTGCACTGGGAGTTGAACACATATTAAGCATTTTTATGAATACTTTTAAAAATAGGTATAAACCTTGATATAAGTATTTTCTCTTACTCTGCTTAGCCAAAATTTGGCTAGCTTTTTTTTTTTTTTTTTTTTGTTTGTTTGTTTGTTTGTTTGTTTCCTGGTACTGGGGATTGAACCCAGAGGTGCTTTATCACTGAGCTACATCATCAACAACCCCCACACACTTTTTTTTAAATTTTGAAACAAGGTGTCACTAAGTTGCTTAGGGCCTCATAAAATTGCTATGGCTAGCTTGATCCTCCTGCCTCAGCCTCCCAAGCCACTGGGATTACTTGATTCACTTTTAAAAGTTGTAAAATTGCATGACAGCTTTAGAATGACACTTGATTGCTCTGAAGACTCAATTAACCCTCAAGGTCTTCCAAGATGCAATTCAAATTATCTTCCAGCATTTTCTACAAAATTAGGACAGTGAACTAGCACACCCAACATTCCTCAAATACATCTTTTCCAGAACTCATGCCATGCCTCTATCCCAGACTGTGCAGGTGAGCTCTCTCCTCTTTCAAATACTTCACATGCTTGGAGGTCTCATTGGCATGTTACTTCTAAGCCCTGAGGTTGGTTGAAAGCTCCCCCCTTCTATTCTTAACTACTGCTCTTCAGCTAGCACAGTTATCTTTTCTTCAAAGCATTTGTTATAACAGACATAATAAATACTTAAGATAAATAGAAAATGTGTAGTGGACTCAACAGTCAGTTTCAGAGAAAGAATTACAATTATCTCTGAAGTCCTCCTTTCCACTCACATTATCTCCCTCCCTTCTGAGATAACCACTATCCAGAATTTAATATTTCTCATTCCCTTCCTTCCCTTTGTTTTATTACATTTCTTGGGAATCCTAAAAAAATATTTAGTATTGCATGATTTATAATAGTATGTAAATGGAGTTTGCTGTGTATATTTTCTGAAATCTATTTTGCTCTCCTAACCTTACATTCCTGAGAGATATATTGTATTGGTATTCATTTCATTGTAATGCATTCATTTTTAATGCACTCCAATATGTGAATTTTTTTATAATTTTTTTCTTTTAATACTAGGGATTGAACACAGGGCCACTCTACCACTAAGCTACACACCCAGTCACACACCCAGTCCTTTTTTTTTTCTTTCTTTTTTTAAGACAGGTCTCCCTAAGTTGCTTAGGGCCTCAATAAGTTGCCCAGGTTGGCCTTGTACTTTTGCTCCTCCTGCCTCAGCCTCCTGAGTCACTGGGATTACAAGTGTGCACCACCACACCCAACTGTAAACATAATTGTCTTCTTCATTCTTCTTTTGATGAGCTTTATGGTTGTTTCCAGTTCTTTTGACTCCTTTATAAACAGGGTTTTTATAAACATTCTTGTAAGCATGTATATAGGAATGGAGCTGATTTCTTTGAAGGTAAATATAGCTTCAAATTTATTAGATAATGTCAAATTGAGTTCCAAAGTGATGGTATATCATTTGACTTTTTATAGATACCATATTTCCTCAACTGGCTTGTAAGCTATTCAAGGCAAGGAAAGATTTTTTTTTTTCTTGAGGGAAGGAGCATCTAGAAACATTAATCTTTTAATAACCATATTAATTGGTCCATTCACTAATTGGTATAAAAAGAAAATATTTTCTCTTACAGAATAAAGAGATAAGATAGGAATAAACAAGTGTAAAAATGTTTTTGAAGTTTTTTTTTTTTAAACAAAAATCTGGGTGTGGTGACTCACACCAGTAATCCCAGCAACTTCGGAGGCTAAGGCAAGAAGATCACAAGTTTGAGGCCAGCCTCAGCAACTCTGTGAGACCCTCAGCAAGTTAGTGAGAAATAAAACCAAATAAAAAGGGCTGGGGATGTAGCTCAGTGCTAAAGTGCCCCTGGGTTCAATTCCCAGTACCAAAAAAAGAAAAAGAAAACCTGCATTCAAAAGCAGTAAAAAAAATTAAGGAAAGAAAAATTAAAATAAACAGTAAATATCCATCAATATCCCCTAGTAGATTTTAGATAATTAAAAGAAAAACACACACCAGAAGCTGAATATTTTTTCAGAGGGCCCTAATATGTGTTTCTTTTTTTCTCTGAGACATCCTTCCACTTGGCCAAGGTCTTCAGTATTTCAGACGTGTCAGGTCGTTTCTGAGGTTCCTTTGAGAGTAATTTCTGTAGAAGACTTTTCTGTAATAATAGTAAGAGTTAATACTAAGAAAAAAAACATTGGAATAAATAGAATTCTGATTAGTGTCAAGCACTTACTTCTTTGCTGTCAAATACATCAGAGAAGATGCCATTTCTTAGATCTTCAAAAATCTGGTGGCAAAACATAAATACATATATACATATACATATATATGTATATATATTTACTTATTAGGAAATCATTTTCTTGGGAGGAAAAATAAACAGGATGCACTAAAGGCTGAGATTACCCTAAATCCAGGATAGTTCCAGATCTTTGGAAAAGTCTCTATAGCCAGGAAGCAAATAGAACTCTCTTCCCCATACCCTATCCCAATCTAGTGACCATCCTTAGCATTCTATGTTTGAAGCATTAGGTGCATTACATTCACGCCTCCCTTCATCCTTGCTGGAACTCTATGTGACAGGTACTTTCAATGTCCCCTTTTACAGAGGAGAAGGCTGTGGCTGCAAGGCAAGTCCCATTCCTGAGCTTGAGACTAGGATATGCAGTTGTCTACTGCTCAGTTCAGTGATTCCCTGCTGTCCACACAAGAAAGTCCATATTCTTTCATTGATTTAGTCACAACTTGTCTCTCCAGCCCCAACAACCACAACTCCTTGTTGCTTACATACTCCAGTAAAACTGCACTGCCTGCTGTTCTCAAATACACTGCACATTTCTATCTCCATGCTGGGACTGCCTACTTTCTATTTTGGACTATTAGAAACAACCAACCCTTCTGGGTCCAGCTTACATACCTCCAATGAAATCTTAACTGCTACAGATAGAAAGATCTCCCTCCTAGTTGTTTCCACAGACTTCTCCTAAAACACCTACATTGTTCTCTTGTATTCTCTTTCTTCTTAGGAAATTAACTTCCAGAGAATAGGCTTGCTCATTTTTATAACCCTCATGACACTTAGCACAGTGTCTGCCTTCAAGAAGGCACTGATGAAATTTTGCTGACTGGCTCCAGTTCGAGTCTCATGAGATGTGAACACCTTCCAAAGGTCAAAGGTTTTGGTCTATAACAAAAATGGTTGTCAAAACTTGCAAGAGAAAATACATATTTTACTTACAATCATACACTAATACGTTCGAGACCACCCTCACATGAGGACAATACCTATTTGCAGCAGTGCAGCAAAGATGACAGCCAATCATTTGTGTTGTTTAACTTTTTCTTTGAGATTATTTACCTTGACTGTTTCTGAAATTGTGGGACATATGTAAAGAAGTTCAGCAAGAATTAGCCCCAAAGCAAAGATGTCTACTTCCTTTCCGTATTCTTCTGAAGAAATCTGAAGAGACCAAAAATATATTTGCTTCATTACTCACCTGATATAAATATATCTTCTGATGCCAAAAAAACTACTGACCACAATTTTTATATCACACAACAAAGTCTGTTTATTAACATAGCAGGATTTGTGAGTGTGACTGCCAAGGGTTTAACTTTTTACCATTGAATAGCAGAACAACCTGTATAAATTAACTACTCCCATAGGAATAATCTCAACTGTAAAATGGGGCCAATAAATAATACTGACCTCAGTTTCGAGTGTGGAGTTAAATCAGATATAGCAGGTAAAGCAATTAAAATAGTGCGTAATAAGTGATTTGCATGCAAATATTCATAGCATATTTATTACTTTTTTAATTTTTAAAAAATTTTTTAGTTGTTGATGACCTTTATTTTATTTATTTTTAAATATTTTTTAGTTATACATGGACACAATATCTTTATTTTGTTTATTTATTTTTATGTGGTGCTGAGGGTCGAACCCAGGGTCTCACACGAGAGAGGCCAGCACTCTACTGCTGGGCCAGATTCAGCCCCAACCTTTATTTATTTATATGTGGTGCTGAGAATCGAACCCAGGGCCTCACACATACCAGGCAAGTGCTCTCTCACTGAGCCACAGCCCAGGCCCACATAGCATATTTATTTATAATATTCTATAATTAGAAATGATATAAATATCCATCAAAGGAGAAACATGTTACACATTCAACAGAATACTACTCAGCAATAAAAAGGAATTAGCTACTGGTACAAATAACAACTAAAGTTTCTCCAATACCTATTACCTTGAATGAAGAAATTAAGTACAAAAAAGTTTGTATTATGTGATTCCACTCTTATGAAGTTCAAAAACAGGAAAACCTAAAATACAATCACAGAAATGAAAGCACTGGTTGCCTATGGGCAATAAGGAGGAAGGACTGACTGGATAGGGGCCTGAGGGAATTTTCTTGGGTAGGAAGAATGTCCTACATCTTCATGGGCTTACAGGTTACATAGGAGTATGCATTTGTCAAAACTAATACAGGTACAATTAAGATATGTGTATTTTATGGTAGATAAATTGTTCTCAATGAAATGTACTTAAATTTAAAAATTACCTAAGAAAAATAAAAGCACAATGACGAATGCCTTTTTAATATTCTGAGGGTGACAATGTAGGATGCAGGAGATAGTTAATAAAGCCATTAGCTTCCTATTGTGTTCTAATTTCACAGTGAGTGCTCTCTCCATTCTACATTATCAAGCTATCAGCTAGTTCAGTAGACTTATTCTTTTTTATTATTATTATTTTTATTTGTTGATGAATGTTTATTTTATTTATATATATTTGTCATGCTGAGAAATCAAACCCAGTTCCTCACACATGCGAGGCAAGTGCTCTACCACTGAGCCACAACCCCAGCCCTCAGTAGACTTATTCTTCAATGACAGAATAGTATGAGTATTTTGAAAGATAAATCAGTAAAAATCATCTTAAAAGAGCATTTAAAAACCAAAATGAACAATAAGATGAAGAATCTAAAAGACAAAAATAGATAAGAAGTAATCAACCAAACTAAAAAAGTATTAGTATAAGAAGTCTATATGTGAAATACAATATTCAGGGAGGGATGTGCCTGTAGCTCAGTTGGTAAAGTGCTTGCCTGGCATGTGTGATATACTGGATTTGATCCTCAGCACCACATAAAAATAAATAAATGTATCCATCTACAACTAAAAAAACTTTTTTTTGAAGATACGATATTCAAATACCAATAGCTGTACAACCATATTAATAAGCAGCATTAATCACAATAGCTTCCAAAAGATGGAAGCAACCCAGGTGCACATTGAAGGGTAGGTACATGGATAAACAAAGTGCAGTGGCCATATAATGGAATATTCTTCAGCCTTAAAAAGAAAGGAAATTTTGGCACATGCTACAATCTGGGTAAGCCTTGAGGACATTAGACATAGTGAAATAAATCATAAAAGGACAAATACTACATGGCTCCATTTATATGTAATATGTAGACAAATCAAATTTGTAGACACAGAAAGTAGAAAGATGGTTGTCAAGGTTTGGAGGGAAGGGGAAAAGAAACTTAACTAAGGGGTACAGAATTTCTGCAAAATGTAGAGTTCTATAGATTTATGGTGGTGATGGTTACATAACAACATGAATGTACTTGAGGCCACCATTAAAAATGGTTCTCGGGGCTGGGGATATAGCTCAGTTGATAGAGTGCTTGCCTCGCATTGCACAAGGGCCTGGGTTCAATTCTTAGCACCACAAAAAAAAAAAAAGGTTCTTGAGATGGTGATTTTTCTGTTATGTGTATTTTACTACAATAAAAAAGAAAGAAATATATTTTTAAGATCAATGCCCTAACTAACAACCAAATTTATATAAGTAATCCCATTTTAATAGCAAAACAAATATGTTTCAGGGAAAGGCTTTAAGAAGTATGAATAACCTTCATTTATAAGTGTTTTCACTTCATTGAATAATATAAAACTGACCTTAAGGTAGAATGTACTAGTGCTCTCAACTGTGTACTGGCTTCCCAGGGAGAGGATTCCACATCCTACCCCCACTGTCCCAAACTGAGCCAAGCAATCTATTCTGGGCAACAAAGTGTGGCATGTATGTGCCACTGATGAACAGAACTTGTAAAAGCCACCACAAGGTTCCACTATTGCTTTCTGTTACAAAGGCAGTGAGACCCAGATTGATTCTACCTTCAGCCTAAAGGAAACAGGGGAGCAAAACTGCCAGCGTTGCTGGCCTAGCACATGACAGAGAAATAAACTCTAGGTGCTTTGTGTGTCATCAGAAATCCAGGGTCTATTTGTTACTGTAGATAGCCTGGCAAAAGCTAATTGATGGAGGACTTGAACAAGCACGAAGACGTACCAATCTCCTCGAGACAAAAAGGTCAGTTCTCAACCAAATCTTTCAATGTAATGCAACAGCTATCAAAACCCCCAAAACCAGTCATAGAACACGACACTCTGCTGCTGGAGCTCACTCGGAATTACAAATCTGAACCACTAAGGATGGTTTAAAACTGAAAAATTATGAGCAGGGAGGTCTTATTGTTCAAATACAAAAATCTATTTTATAATGCCTCAATAATTAAAACAGAATAATGTTAAAGAGAAAAAAAAATGGAACAGAGTCCAAAAATAGATTCACAAGTGTGTAGGAATTTTACATATGATGAAACAGCACTTTTTAAATTGTGATAAAGTCTAACATAACATAAAATTTACCTATTTTAACCATTTTTATGTGAACAATGAGTGGCATTAAGCACCTTTACAATGTTGCATAACCGTCACCACCATTTATTTATGGAACTTTTCATCCTCCCAAACAGAAATGATAACTACTAAGTAATTACCTTCCTATTCCTCCCTCCTTCCATGACCATGAATTTTCCCTATAGTATTTTAAATCATAAACTATTTCTCCATCTACATGATGATGGAGAAATTGCATGTTCATGTGGGGAAAATCAAGTTAGATTCCTTCCACATACACAAAAATTAATTCAAGTTAAAGCAAATTATTAGCAAAAAGTCAAAATATTTTAAACTCTCGTGATGTAATAAATGGCCTATAAAATAAAAATGACAAATCCAGGAATGATAAAGAAAATACTGATAAATATGATAACTTAAAAACTCTGTACCACAAAAGGCATGATAAACGAAGTAACAAGGAGAAAAGACTTTAATATAGGTTACAGATACAAGATCAATACCCAAAATATGTAGATTCCTTACACATACATTAGAAAAAAGACAACCTAACTGTGAAAAATGGGGAAAAGTATGAATAGAGAATTTACAGGGAAAAAGCATAAGTAAATTTATAAAAAGATAGCATAGCTTACTAAAAAATCTAGAAAAAATGCAAACAAAAATAGCAAGGCATCTTCATTCATCACACTGGTCATAATGAAGACTGATAGTACACCAGTTTGATCAAGAGTATGAGAAAACAGCATTCTCATTTTTATTGGAAGATTATTGTTAGACCCCCACTTTTATTCTCTGCTTGTTTTCTTTTCTTTTTCTTTTTTTTTTTTTTGGTATCAGAGATTGAACCCAGAAGTCTTCACCACTGAGCTACATCCCAGTCCTTTTTATTTTTTATTTTGAGACAGGGTCTTACTAAGTTGTTGAGGCTGTCTTCAAACTTGCAATTTTCCTGCCTCAGACTGCAGAGTTGCTGGGAGGGTACACCACCACACCTGACTAGACTCTCTTATTTAACAACAACTGGGCAGAATTTATCATGTGTGAAATGCACTTATCATTCTATTCAGTCATTTGACTTTGAGGAATCTACCAGATTATCACAGAAATACAGGTGGCCCTCTATCAATGGCTTCCATAACTGACAATTCAACCAACTGCAGATTAATCTTGAAAAAACTCTGCATCTGTATTGAACATGTAAAGACTCTTTTTCCTATTGTTTAAGCATTATTCCTTGAGCAATGTACAATATAATAGTTTTGTATGTGGCATTTTCATTGGGTATCATCAGTAATGTAGAGATGATTTAAAATACATGGGAGGATGCATATGTAGTATTTGCTGTATGCAAATACTGTACCATTTCATAGAAGGGCTTAACATCCATGGATTTGGAATCTGTGGGGTAGGAGGAGGTGTCCCAGAACCTAAACCCACAGTTGAGGGGAGTATTTTTCTAATTCCTGATTGTCACATGTCCTGAGCTGCTTTACTCCATCACGCCCTTCTGCCCTGATGTTCTATCTCATCTCCAACACAGAGCAATGGAGTCGGCCATCTATACCTGAGATCTCTGAAACCATAAGCAATAAATAAACTTTTCCTCTTCTAAATTTTGTTCGTCAGGTCTTTTTATCATAGCAGGAAAAAAACTGACTGATACAAAGGGAATTTTCAACTCTTATTCTATATACTTCTCTAATGCTTTAATTTTATGAGAAGGGTCTAATATTTTTATAATTTTAAAAAATTAAAGAAGCAACAAATATAAGAGCAGAGAGGAAAGGGAACTTACCTGTTCTGGGCTCATATATCGCCACGTTCCCTTTTTTCTTGTTCGCAGTTCATCATTCTTCAGGGTTGTTACAAGTCCAAAGTCTCCAATCTTTATTTGTTTTTCACCTACTAAAAATATATTACTTGGCTATGGGAAAAAAAAAACATACAAATTTTAGTTTATATGTACCAATTTGACAAAGTAATACCACATGTCCAAATTATCTTAGCAAAGGCTACTTCTGTATTTACTTTTATGGCATTTACCCTTATCCAGGTAGTCAAAATCAGAGAATTTAATATCACAGTCTCTACAATGCCAGTTGAAAGAAAGACTTTTTAGCCAACAGCAGAGGTAGCTTGGGGTATAGGCACTTCCAAGTATCTCAACAGCTTTGTCAGTGAAAAGTAGACTCATTCTGAAGGGATCCAGGGATGGATCCTGGTCTACAGGGTAGACATGACCTGAAGGTTTGCTTTAATATATTCTAATACACTGATATACTGATTATGTGGCTCAAAGAGTGAGAGAGTTCCGAATCCCAGGATGGAGTTAGACATCTACCAGAGGAAATATCACAAATATGAGTTCAGGATCAGGTGAGGATTGAAGCAAACACCCTTAAGACCCCATCCAATTTTGAGATTCTCTAAATGGATCCATTCCTACTAATGCTCCAGAATGTCCTGTGCAGAACTTCTCCAAGGAGCTTCCTTTATGTCAACTTTTCCAGGGCTCTATCAACTTCTTACAAACACATGCCCTTCATGTTGAAAGAATTCTAAGCTACCTGGGAGCTGACAACTAGCACAAATTATTTTTCCTAAGTAATCCTTTAAGCCAATTAAAAAAAAAAAAAAACAAAGAAGTACAGAATGAAGAGTGACCAGCCCCATTACACAATTTTGTAGAAGGTATTGACCAATATCCCACAGACCATGAAAACAGGAAGGTTGTTGATGTGGAAATTAATATTTTGGTATTCGGGCAAAGGCTAGACTTTAAACACAATGTTGGGCTCTACACACACATACCTTGTGGAGTAACATTTATGACAGAGCCTAGTAAAAGAACTGAGAAGGAAAAGACTAGGGAAGGATACAAGGAGCTTCTGAAAAGCCAGCCTGACAGGCCCTGGGCAGAAATTAGCAATCAGATTAGAATTCAATTAACAGATAAACAATTGCTTAACGGCTTACTTAACTGTATGACTGATCCCAAACCAATACAGTCAATTTCTTCTTTTGAACATGGTCCATCTAATGTTCTAACTTCTGAAATCACTCTTAGATAGCGTTAACGTTAACTATTAGAACCAGGTGGGCTCACATGTCAAAGTATCAGACATCCAGCCCCAGGGAAGACCCAAGCAGTATTCTATGAGGGGCCACTGAATCCTAGCTAGGTCAAGCCAACAACTCTACACATGGGCACTTATTTTCCTCAGAAACTGCTTTGCTCCTTTCCTTTTCCTGGCTGCGTTAGACAGGCAGAGTAAGCAGACAACCAAGATCCACGTGGATGAGGGACTTCTGGCACAGTGATCAGGGAAGGCTGACTAAAGGAGTTGGGACTAAAGGAAATAGGCAGAAGAGTGTCTGTGAGACAAGAACATGAGCAAAGGCTCAGAGGTAGGATTTAGCCTAGATCATTTGTGAGGGAGGGGAAAAGAGTATGGAGGAGAGACTAAAAGGCTGCCTCTTTGTCTTTCATTTTGATGAGAAAGAAACATGGGAACATTGCTTGTTCAGACCATAAAAACCAAAGGAAAACAAAAATATTATGAATGATATACATGCTCCAAGTTTTGGATTACTGCAGTTTACCAATCCTGGGCCAAACTTCAAGGCCTAACCAAAAAAAATACTAGACTCTAGACCCAGCAACCCTTACCCACTCTCCTCGGGGTAAGGACTAAGGGAATAGGGAACCATGACATTTGAACAAGCCTGAGTAGTAGCAGCCACAATTATTTGTACAGAAATGTTCAGTTTAGGAAAGTTAGTCTTTCAACTGGGGTCTGACTATCAGCCAAATAGGACTGGATGTGAATGAGCAGTCTTATTTGGCTGATAGTCAGACTGTCCCCAGTTCACCAGCCCCGGAGATCTTCTGAGTATCTGCATAGAATGGTAACTGAGGCATGCTCTAGACCCCTTCTAACCTCAAAGGATCAGAGACAGTATTTTGCCATGGCTATTGATCAATCATAATTCTAAAACCAGAGAAGATAAAATTTTCAATTACTAAGTTACAGTCATCAACTTATGAAGTACATTTCCCACTTACTTTGAGGTCTCTATGAATTAAATCTTTTGAGTGTATATAATGCACTCCTTCTGCTATCTGTTCAAATAATTCCAAAGCCAAAGCTTTGTCTGGTACGTTTTGTCTTCTATTTTCAATCCATTCATCCAATGTCCCTTTATCACACAATTCCATTTGGATAAAAAGGCACTTGGTCTTTATTCTGGATATAAAATTCACAGAATGTTAAAAGCAATAAAAATAAATTTTTAAAAATATTTTTAATTATAGCTTCTTATGTACACCCAAACATACCTCAAAACAGAAATCTAAATATAATAAATTTAAATCAAAATATCATAAGCCATTTTCTATTTAAATCACAGGTTTCCAAGTATCTAGATTTTTGTTTTGCTCATTTACAAAATACAAGCCAGCTCATTATTTAAAGCTAAAGACCCTTGATCATTTTTGCTAATAGACAGGAACAAGACCATTAATGGTAGAAAGCCAGATTCCATTATTATATAATTTTGAAACATGTTAATTCACATCAATCAACTGAGCATCTACTTTGTGAAAGGCACAAAACAGGCACCTAGAAATGAGAAAATGAATAGGCACTATCCTTATCATTATAGGAACTGTAGCCTAATAGGAGAGAGGTTGAGGAAAAACAAACCTAACACAACTATATAGGGCAAAAACTCTAGGATAAGTGGCAATAAATTGCTTACTATGAGATAAAAGTTAGAGGACTGATTTATTTTATTTATTTTATTTTTATTCTTTGGTACTGGCCACTGAACCCAGAGGTGCTTAACCACTGAGCCACAACTCCAGCCCTTTTTATTTTTTATTTTGAAACAGGGTCTCACTAAGTTTCTTAGGACCTTGCTGAGTCCTAAGGTGGGGGCAGAGCTATATATTAAACAGTGGAGTTAAGAAAGCTAAATCTGAAATTTTGAAAACAGCTGAGGACATAAAAGAAGGTATTAATTAATTAACTGTAGTAGGGGGGATTGAAATCACAGGCTCTTTACCACTGAGTTACATCCCCAGCCTTTTTTATTTTTTATTTTGAAGCAGGGTCTTGCTCAGTTGCTAAGGCTGGCTTTAAATTTGCAGTCTTCCTGCCTCAGTCTCCTGAGTTACTGGGGTTACAGGAATGCCACACCACACCCAGCTAAAAGAAGGTTTTTATTTTTAAAAAATGTTTTATTATTATTAGAGCTTTATAGTTATACATACTAGTTGGGCTCATGGAAATTGATTTTAGTTCATGATCCTTCCTCTTCCTTCCCCCTTTTCCTTCTCTTCCTCCCTCCCCTCTCCCGTTCTTCTTCTTCTACTCTACCAGACTTAACAGAAGGCTTTTAAAAGCAACTTGGAGCAAGGCTAGGAGGAGCACAACAGCATCTGTCAGAACTGGTTGTGATTATTGTGATGATTGATGGTCTCTTTCCATCCATGAAAGGAAATGACGGTTTCCTTCCACCTTGTTACAGCTATGAGAACTTCTTTTTACCTACATTGCACTGCTTTCAGGATCCTCATAAAAATCGACTCCTTCCCAACAACTGCAGTAATGAACAATGTTGGGATGTTTAAATGTGGCCAGTGCTTGTACTTCACGCTCTACCTTCCTGTTAAAAGGAACAGGAACACAAATGTGTCAGTATATATCCCTGATAAATACAAAACATTCAAATAGCAGAAAACAACTGTCCACACAGTTAATAAACAGTCATTGTGGTTCCTACATCAAGATTTAGAATGGGATCCAGGAGGAAAAATTGAATATATAGGGGGAAAAAAAACCCAGTATTTCTCACTCTCAACGTAAAAGAAAAAGCAGTGAGTGAAGTGCTTCAATTTAAAAGTCATTTGTAGTTAGTTTTTTAAATGCTAGTGACACAACATGATAATTAAATCATATACCATGTTTTGTTTGGACAATGTGTTAAAATCTTGGGATTTCACAAGCAAACCCCATTTGGACAATAAAGGTAGGTAACCCAGGCAACATGCAAAACCTCATTCAGAATTTTCTTTTTCTTTTTTTTTAATTTTTTTTTAGTTATAGTTGGACACAATATCTTTATTTTATTTATTTTTATGCGGTGCTGAGGATTGAACCCAGCGCCTCGCACATGCTAGGCGAGCCCTCTTCTGCTGAGCCACAACCCCAGTCCCTTATTCAGAATTTTCAAAGTGTGACAAAAACATACCAAAGTGTTAATTTATGCAGAGAAGCAGAAACTTCACTACATACTACAGAAGCTTTATATGGGTTTTAGCAAAAGCTCTGACATATCCATGCTAAATAGAGTGAAAAGAATTGAGTTTCCAAAGATGTGGGATACACAAGCATTTTACAATTTTATTTTTAAGAAGTTCTATGTGACATAAAATTTGTAAAACTAAAGAAAAAATTACTGATGCTTCGACAATCTCCCCCAAATCAGTTATTATTTAAGATTATTTCTGATAGTGTCTGTTCACATACATGTTTGTATATTTGTAATTATACTATATAATTTTATCTTTTTTTCATGTGATATGCTATCTTTACAGTTTTCCTTGTAACAAAATTTGTATAAGGCTGGGGTTATGGCTCAGCAGTAGAGCGCTTGCCTAGCACGTGTGAGGCCCTGGGTTCGATCCTCAGCACCACATAAAAATAAATAAATAAAGGTATTGTGTTCAACTACAATTAAAAAATAAACAAATACTTTTTAAAAAGCTTGTATAAGCATCATTTATAAAGTTGCTTTTTTTCCCCTCAGTACTAAGGATTGAACTCAGGGGTGCTTTGCCACTAACTTATATCCTCAGCCCTTTTTACTTTTTATTTTGAAACAGGATCTCACAGAGTTGCCCAGACCGGTCTAAAACTTGTGATCCTCCTGACTCAGCTTCCTAGTAATTGGAATTACAGGTATGTACAATGGCACCTGGCTTCAAATATAAAGTTTTTGATATAAAATTTTAGAAACACAAAAAAATAGAGCAAAAAGTATAACAAACACCTGCCAAGTCATCACTCAAATGAAACAGTTATCAACTCTTGGCTGATCTCATTTCGTTTGTTCTCTTACCCACTTCCTCCTCCTCCCCTGGAGTATTATGAAGCTATTTCCAGCATCATATCATTTCATGAGTAAATATTGCAGTCTATGTCCCTCATTTTCAATGGCTGCAAAACAGCCATTGCTTAAGGGAGAAAACAAAACCGATTTAACCATTTCTTTTTTTAAAATATTTTTTATAGTTGTAGATGGACCAGAATGCCTTTATTTTATTTGTTTATTTTTATGTGGTGCTGAGGATCCAACCCAGTGCCTCACATATGCTAGGCAAGCGCTAACCATTTCTTTATTGCTGCATATTTTTGTTTGTTCTAATTTTCCACTGTTAATGGACTGTGACTGATATCTCCTTGCATATAGCCACAATTTGGATAATACTATCAGAAGAAGTTGCAAAAAAGGAAATTGTTGGGTCAAAGCACATAAACATTTTCATGGCTCTAGATTAATATTTCCAAGTATGTTTTGAACATGTTGAAAATTCATAAAGCACTGGAAATACCTAAGTTTTTCAATCCTTATCAACATTATCACAATTTTTAAAAATAGCTATCTAACAGAAGGAAAATACTACTTCATTCCTATGTAGTAATACAGGAAGGGAAAAACCTTGTTTTGATGCTGAATAGGTCTGAGAGAGAAGTAGGTTTGTTTGGGGTGAAAAGCATCCAGGATTCCATGTCTGTTTCTCCTATGCTCATGTCATTTTCCTTAGCCCAGAACTTTTTTCCACCTCCTTTCCCTGTCCTTGAGAGATCAGTGTGGCCAAATTACTCAAAGTCACAATAGCCAGAGAACAACTACCAAGACTGGTGAACCGGAGAACATGGGATTTAAGACCTCTTTTGGATTGTGAGCATACCTCAGTTGATGGATGCTTGCCTACCATGTGCAAAGCCCTGAGTTCAATCCCCAGCACCACAAAAAATAAAATAACAACAACAACAAAATCTCTTTCCCATGTGTTTTCCTTGAACTATTTAGTGAGGGAGGGGGCAGATTACACATATAAACAAACACAGGAAGAAATGGTTCATTCCAGAAGATGAGTTCTAAATCTCTACCTCGTTACACAGTAGATAGTGTCCAATGATTATCCCAATTCCTTCCCTTCCCATACACATACCTGGAATTAAGAGGTAGTCTATTTATGCTCTCTGGAAGCTGAGCTGGTGGTTAGTGACTTATTTAACCAATATATTGTGGTGGAAATGATACTCTGGAACTTTTAAGACTACTTCAAAAGAAGGCTTACCACCTCCTCCTGATCACTTGGACAACTCCTTCTGCAACAATTCTTCTTGAAACCCAGCCTCTCAGTTGTGAGAAACCCAGGTCACTCAAGGAAGCTATGTGAAGGTGCTATGACTGACAGTCCCAGCTGAATATCCAGCCCACAGTTAGCCTCACCTGCTGTCCATCTCAGACGTCCAGCCTGATCAAGCTTTTAAATAACTCCCAACTGAGAATATTGGAGAATCCGACAGACATTGCCCCACTGAGAACTATCAACACACAGTACCATGACAGGAAACAGTAATTTTTTTTTATTGTTTTGCATTTTGGAGCAGTATGCTATGCAATAATAGATAACCAGAATAAGTATCAACAAGCTTTAACCTCAGATAAATTAGTTCACATCTTTGGACTTTAGATTCCTCATCTATAAAGTAAGGAAATGAGACTAGAAAACCTCAAAGATCACCTTAAACCAAATGATTCTATAGCATCAGTTTTCAAGACTGCCTGAAAAGAGTGATCAGTGGATAACCCCCCTTTTAACTAAAATAACCACAGTAAAATGAGATGATTTCAGATTAAGCCAAGCTCTAGGTAGAATAAAATGTTTAAGGAGGACCAGAAAGAAGTAAATGATATGCTAACAAAAAAAGAGAAACATGAAAAAAAAAAAAAAAACCAGTGCAGGTTCAACAAGCACCTCATTTAAAAAAATAAAACATTTACTACTTACTTGTTATTATACTTGACACGTTTAACAACATAAATATTTCCATCTATTCTGTGTTTTGCTTTGAAAACTTGGCCATATCCACCTTTGCCAATTCGTTCTATATCTTTAAAATCCTTGGCAAACCTTAGAGATAAATCCGATTGTTATTCTGAGATTTGGTATTTGCTCCCTTCCCCCACCTCCCTTCACAGTGAAAAGGGCTGAATTGTCAACATGATTCTCCCCTTCTGGTTATTAAAAGTCTAGTTTGCAGACTCTTCATTCACAAAGGGTGGTCCCTTCTGCTCCTCCTCCTTCCATAGAGAATCCAACCCCTCGCCCCTAGGGGTCACGGTCAACTTCTAGCTGTACATAAGCCAAAGAATCCTTCCACAAGTATAAAACTTTAAGGAAGCATTCTGTTGTTGCTCCACAGCTTCTACACTGTTAGAGAAATGAGCAGATACTCTGAACCTGCCTTGATTTATAATAACCTATTTTTCTCCTCTCCCTCAAACCCCACGTACCATCACTGAGCCCTGCCAATTCTTTCTAATCATATTGCTGGAATCTACCCTACCCACTTTTCCACCTCCAGTGTCTTCATCCCAGGCCACGCGTCCATCCAGTTTACCTACTGGACATGCACTTCCTCTTCTGCCCCAGTCCAGTCCATGATCACACAGCAACCAGAATGCTGAAAACTCAATGTGATCATGTTTCCCTCCTGCTAAACCTCCTCTAGTCTATCTTTGCATTTGGCAAAAAACAGAAAGCCCTTAAAGGGCCCAGGGGGTGTCATAGGATCTTCCTCTCACTTCCTTCTCGGGTGTTACCCCATGGCACTCGGCCCTCCTCGCTATGCTCCCAGCACACAGCCTGTCTGCTTTTCAAATGCACATCACCTTTTCCACCTTCACCTTCTCACTCACTCTTCCTTCTACACCATCTCTTTGTGCTAACACATCCTCAGGTCTCCCCACAAATGTGACCTCAGGGAAATCTTGTCTCACCCTTAATACTAAATTCAAGGGTCCTGTTTCCACTTCTCACCATGCTATTTCTTTTGGAGCTTCGACCACATTTAGTAATTACTGATGTTTTTATGTAAATACATATTTAATGTTGGTCATCCCCTCCAAACTGCATGAGAGGAGAAAATGGTTATATTTGGTCCTATAATAAACCCAATGCCCAGTATAGTGCCAGATATATATATCAGGGGCTTAATAAATATGTATAGGTTCTTCGTTGCTGTTTTAAACTTGTATTCAATGCCCTACTTTTGCAAACAGACCTCTTTCATTTCAGATGCTTTTTTTTTTTTTTTAACCAGAGACACTTAACTGAGCCACATTCCCAGCCTGTTTTTTATATTTTATTTAGAGACAGGGTCTCGTTGAGTTGCTTAGGGCCTTGTGAAGTTGCTGAGCCTGGCTTTGAACTTGTGATTCTCCTGCCTCAGTCTCCCAAGCTGCTAGGATTGCAGACATGGGCCACCATGCCTGGCATTAGATGCTTAATTTAAACCCAAACATATCATCTACAATAGAGGAACAACTTTTTTCAAGTGAAATCTGATATGAAACTAGAGAACAGATAACAGAGCCAAATGGATCTATTCTGATTCCTACAGGCATACTTGTTGTTTAATCACACACAGGCTTACAGGATTTTTGCTTTCGATATCAATAACATCCATGGATATCAGAAAAACTCATGAGCATCACAGAGATCTATATTTACCACATTTCATTTAGATTTATCTAAACCTTACTTCTCCAGGAGACAATGATCCTTTGTGGGTCTGACTGGGCTACAACTATAAAACTGTTTGGGTGGGAGTATAACTTAATCTTATGACCGGCCCTTAAGAAACTTTTGTTGAATGAACAAATATATCTTTAAACAAATTCTATTGAAAAGTTCCCTCTTACCTGTGGTCCACAGTATACTGGTTTTCCTCTACGTTATAAGAGTCAAATTTAGCTGCCAAACTTCTAAAAATTAAGACAAGAATATAAAATTCAAATAAGATTCAAATATAACTTGTTTATAGCAGGTTTTATGTCTTGCACTAGGGTTTGCATAATTTGCATCAACTATTAGAAAAGCAGGGTAGCAAGTGTTAACCTTTTGCTTTATAAAACGATAGACTATGATTCTCTGCCCTCCAATAATTGTTCATCCCTTTCCTGACTCTCTTTTTCACTTTTATTGTTGGCATGCCACTTGCCTCTCCTTTTCTTTCTCCAGACTCAAAACTTCAGGAAGTATATCTCCTGGCACCTTCTCTGGCCATCTTTCCTCACTGGTGATAAGCCTTCTGTGATTGGAAATTCAGTCACCCGAAACTAGGCATATCCCAATTGCTTTCTTCCCCCTGGGCCCTCCAGTCTTCAGCTTCCTTAGCATTAGAAGTGGCATGATTCTTGTCTGCAGCCTGTCCAAAATGGAGCAATGTTCATACGCTTTCTCCTTTCCTTCTTCTGCACCCTCCCACCTGGCTACTACATGCTATCTCCTCAAGTCAGGCCGACCCTTCCTTTACAAATTCTCCTGCCTCAATAACCATGGCCACAGGCCCAATGCAGTCTCATTTCTCTCCCTCCATTCACATGAGGAATCATCTTTTTTTCAACATGTCTATCTACTGTTGAGAATATTGGTGGGTCATTATGGCTCCATCTGTCCTCTCTCGTTTCTGACTATATTTACCTCTTTGCTATTCTCTTCAGTTAAAGAAAACAATTCACTATAACTTACATAATATTCGGTCTTTTTTACAACTCAAGCTATTACATTATCTTTACCCTACCTGTCTGTAAACTAATGCACTTCCCTTGAAAACACCTCTCTAAGCCCAATTCTTCACAGCCTCATCCAAAATAATGCCATTAACTAATTAATCTAGCAATCACCATAGGGCTTTGCGTCTACAGTACAGCATGTGTATATGTATTTATGCTATATATTATATATGTATATATACATACACACACATATATATATTCAAAGATTTCCCTACATATTAAAAATTATTTATAGATTTCAAGCTTTTACATCTTCTGAAACTCCACTCAAATAAACATGTATAATACTCTATGAATACTGAAGACAATAAATAAGACTGACAAACTAAATCTGAAATAAAACCTTAGTCCAAAATATGTTTGATGTGTAATAATACTCACATTTTTTTCTTCTTTTTATTACTACTGAGACCATTCTACAAAAAAAAAAAAGAAAAGAAAGAAAGAGGGAAATACTTTCAGATGTTTCAGTTAGGATAACTTAAGATGATTAAGTCTTAAATCACCTTGGTTGGCTTCCCCCTACGTTTTCCCCCCATGCTAGGGATTGAACCCAGATGTGCTCTACCACTGAGCTACATCCCCGGGTCCTTTATTTTTTAATTTTTAAGACAGAGTCTCACTAAGTTAACAAAGTTGACCTTGTACTTAGTGATTCTCCTTCTTCAGCCTAAGTAGCTAGGATTACAGGTGTGCACCACCACACCTGGCTTTCATCTTGCTTCTTTAAGTGTCTCCTTGACCACATTTCTAAGTCTATAAGATAAACAGCTTCACACATGTTCACACTCTTGTTAAGCCTTGGACCAAACTTAGTATTGCAAGACTTGAATTTTGTCACTCATTCAGGGATATAAATAGCATCCAATCATTCTTTAGATTTGCATTTTCCTGAAACCTAGTAAAATATAGCATCTTTTCACATTTGTTGCCCATTTGGGTGTCTCACCTCAAAAATATCTACTCAGACACTCTGTACATATTTCTCCTGAGTTGTTTGGTTTTTGTTATTGATTTGTATTTCCTCATAAAAATGATGCTTTTGTAAAAAATTATCTGATTTTTTTTAAGTTTAGTTCTGAGTTTTTTAAACAGAAGTAGAACTATATCAATGAGCCTTCATATATTGTCCAATTAATGGGAGGAAAAAAAATAAGATCACAGGAATGTTTAAAAACACAAGTTGAGTAGGAAGAATGGGAGTGAAATGTGAAAGAATTTTCCATGTGAGGAGTGAAGGTTAATAAAAAAAATAAAATATTTTGAAAAACAATATAAAATAATATATTTTTAAAAAATTTTAGTTGTAGATGGACACAATTTATCTTTATGTGGTGCTAAGAATTGAACCCAGTGCCTCACCCATGCTAGGTGAGTGCTCTACCACTGAGCCACAACTCAGCCCCAGTAATAAAATAATATTAAAATAATAATAAAAAAAGAATCAAAAGGCTGCTAAATAGTATTATTTAGCATGAGAACTTGAGACAAAAACATAAAAATTTTGTGGCTTAGTGAAGGTCATTTTTTAAAATATTTATTTTTTAGTTGTAGTTGAACACAATACCTTTATTTTTATTTATTTTTATGTGGTGCTGAGGATCGAACCCAGGGCCTCACATGTGCTAGGCAAGCGCTCTACCGCTGAGCCACAACCCCAGGCGTGAAGGTCATTTTTTTTTCTCTTTCCATATTTTTTTATTGGTGCATTATGCTTGTACATAATGATGGGATTTTTTGTTACACAATCGTATATGCACACAATATAACTACATAATTTTGTCAGATTCACTCCCCAGCATTTTCTCCCACCATTCCCTCCACCCGCACCCCATCTCTTTCTTCTACTGATCTCCCTTTGATTTTCATGAGATCCGCCTCCCCACCTTTCTTTTCCTTTCTCTTTCTATCTCCATGTATGAAAGAAAACATATGAATCCTTCACTTTCAAATGAGGAAACATACAAGAAAAAAATATTAGAGACTAATACTATACCATAGAAGAAGATCCAGAACTGTCTAAATTCTCACTGCTCTGAATGTTTGTCCAGTCATCTGATGAGGAGTCCTTTTCAGAGAGTGGCTCAGACAAACTAAAAGAAAAGAGTAACTATTAGTCTGTGAATTCTTTTTTTTTTTTGGTACCAGAATTGAACTCAGGGGCACTCAACCACTGAGCCACATCCCCAGCCCTATTTTGTATTTTATTTAGAGACAGGGTCACCCTGGGTTGCTTAGCGCCTTGCCATTGCTGAGGCTGGCTTTGAAATCATAATCCCCATGGGCTGGGATTACAGGTGTGGGCCACCCCTGGGGGCTGAATTCTTCTTTTTAAACCAGTCACCTCTTTCCGTAAATTTTCCTTAAATATTAAAAAATTTTCATAAGGGCTGGGGTTATGTCTCAGTGGTAGAGCACTCACCTAACATGCATGAGGAACTGGGTTCAATCCCCAGCACCACATAAAAATAAACAAATAAAATAAAGGTATTGTGTTCATCAACAACTAAAATAAATATTTTTAAAATATTTTTCATAAAAAATTGCTCTTTCAAGCAGCAATTTCTTTTTCTTTTTCTTTTTCTTTTTTTTTTTTTTTTGCAGTGCTGGGGATGGAACCCAAGTCCTTGAACGTGCTGTGGAAAGCACTTTACCAACTGAGCTACAGCCCCAGCTCTTACACAGCAATTTGAATATGCAAATATCACCGTTTATTTGCCCAAACTTACGATGAGCTCATTGTGCTTCCTGTGCTTCCGCAGTTATTGACATTACCAGGACTGACAAAAGCGGCAGAGGGTACTAGGTCAGTTTTCTGAAACAAGAAGCAGCGTTTAATTTAAATACAACTAAGTTCCTTCTCCCCACTAACTCAGCCTCAGCCTACAACTATTACCCCAGTAACTCAGCCTCAGGGTACAAATATTACTTGCATTCCCCCCGGGTTCACCAAATCCACAGACATAAACTATTATAAGAGAAATATAATTTTGATGCATGTTTGATCTGGATTTAAAAAACAACCCTGAATTGCTCTCAGAACTTTTATCCCTTAGGGCCGCGTGTGGCCCCTGTGGTGGGACACAGAACCGAGGATTCAATTACTATGCAACTGGCTATGTTGGCATTCTGTAAATACAATCCAACCTCAACCTCAGAAGAAATTTTAAAACATAAAAAATTAAATCTAATGGCAGTACATACCATTGGGGTTTCTTCTGATAGTTTCTGAAGTGCACATTTAGCAGCCAATTGTTTTGCTTCCTGCTTAGTGGAACCTATACCGATACCATATACTTTCTTCCCAATTTTGCATTGATACTTAAATCTAGGAGAAATGATAGAGTATTCATCCAAATATCCAAAAAATAGTAAATTGAACTTACGATTTGAAAAAAAAATCACATAGTAAGATAATACTAATTTATTTGCTAGATTTATATTTCCTATCTTATATAATTAAACCTTCAGTAAGATGGCTGGTCACTTTGTCTGAATAACCAGTACTGGCTGACATCTCCGCTCACATTTTCCAAGCAACTTCTAATTCTTTGTTGCTTCATTGAAAGATCTTACACAAAGGTACCAAGTGATGATTTCTAAAAGTTCCTCAAAGGCCCAAAGATTTAGGAAAGAAAAAGCAGTAAACAAAAGGGGATTTCTACAAGGAGAAGCTCTGAGGTCCCCGTGCTACAGCCTGTGGGAGGATGAATAGAACACAGATCTTGTGCTAACATCAGCATTTTGTGCTACCTGCTGATATGCACAAAAATGAAAATCCCCCATGGTGTAGATCTTTTTAATACCAAAATCCACACTCCCCTCATATGAGATGCAAAGACATTTGTGGTGCCAGGCATGGTGGCGCATGCCTGTAATCACAGCATCTTGGGCTCAGGAGGTTGCAGGAGGAACACAGTTTTGAAGCCCACTTAGTGAGGTTGTAAGCAACCTAGTGAGATCCTGTCTTGAAATAAAAAATAAATAAAAAGGGCTGGTGATGTGGTTAAGTGCCTTTGGATTCAATCCCTGACCAAAAAAAAAATTGTGAACAATGATACATATTTTTAAATTTTCTTGTTCTTTTTAGATATATATGACAGTAGATTGTATTTTTGTTATAGTTTTTAGTCATCCATGGACATTTTTATTTATTTATTTATTTATTTATTTATATGTAGTGCTGCAAATCAAACCAAGTGCCTCATACATGCTAGGCAAGCACTCTACCACTGAGCTACAACCCCAGCCCAGTAGAGTGTATTTTGACATATTTTACATACATTGAGTATAACTTATTCTAATTAGGATCCCATTCCTGTGGTTGTACATGATGTAGAGTTTCACCAGTCATGTATTCATATATGAACACAGGAAAGTTATGTCTGACTCATTCTACTGTCTTTCCTATTTTCATCCCCAATTCATTCCCTTCATTCCCCTTGTATAATCCAATGAACTTCTATTCCACCCCTCACTCCACTATTGTGTGTTAGCAACCATGTATCAGAGAGAACATTTGGCCTTTGGTTTTTTGGGACTGGCTTATTTCACTTAGCATGATAGTTTTCAGTTCCATCCATTTACCAGCAAATGCCATAATTTCATTCTTCTTTATGGCTGAGTAACATTCCATTGTGTATGTAGACAATATTTTCTTTATCCATTCATCTGTTGAACAGCACCCAGGTTGCTTCAATAGCTTAGCTAGAGTGAATTGAGCTGCTGTAAACATTGATGTGGCTGTATCACTGTAGTATGCTGATTTTAAGTCCTTTGGGTATATATATACCAAGGAGTGGGATAACTGGGTCAAATGGTGGTTCCATTCCAAGTTTTAAGAACTATTTTTAAAGGCAAAGCAATGAACACAGCACTACATATCATGGAGTTACTTTATATATTACTATAAAATTACTCCAGTATTTGCATTTTTTTAACTTTTTATTTCAACTGAAGGATGTAGAAGGAAACACACCCAACCAGGATGAGTCATCCCACTACACCCTGAATTAAAGAGCTGGGCTGAGTGATGGGATCATTTCTATAGTTCCCATCTCATCCAGTACCCCCAGATAGACTTCTCTCTTTTGGTACCTGGTGTAGGAGTGCTTAATTGGAAGAAAGTGAAAAGGCAAGCTACACAAAAATAGTCACAATTATTGAGATTGACCCACCTAATTCACTTTTGCCTATTTCATTCCAATAATACTACTGAGTTTTTCTCTTCCTGTTTCTGGTCTGAAATTCTTCAGAGTAAAAAGCAAACAGTGGAGTCACTTCATAGGACAGTATCCTGAGTGACAGTTTGGACTATTTGCCACTTGGGTTCTCTTCTTTTTCGTTTAACTAGTTGGTTGCAGTTGCGATACAATCGCCCTATATACATTTACTTTCTACTCTTTCAGTTCCAATCCATCCTTTATCCCCACTTACACAGGTCCTAGCTCACTGGTGATGTTCTTAGTAACTCTCAGTCTCTAATCCATTTGTTCATTCAGCATATCCCTCAAATCTGTTCCCTTCAAGTCTAAGGCTAAAACCATTCCTTCTGATACATGGTATTTGACCATTTAATCAAATTTTAGGGACAAACACCTAGACAAATAGCTCCCTAATCTGACAATGTTGAAAAGTCATTCTAGACATGTGACAGAGCAATTTTCACATAGCTACTGTCACCATGATTTCAGGGATGGGAAGAACCCCACATCGCTCAAGCAGGAGCACCCTGTACTCTTGAGTTGTATAACAGACTAACCTTCAGATACATCTCAGAAATACAGAAGTCCTCTCTTAGCCATGGAAGATATGTTCCAAAAACTCCAGTAGATGCCTAAAACCACAAACAATACTACACCCTGTGTGTGTGTGTGTGTGTGTTTGTGTTACCAACCTGGGTAACAAGGTGAGAAAGGGTCTCAAAAAAAAAAAAAAAAGATATCCAGTTGCTTATTGAACCTTCCATGCAGAAGTACAAACATTTCTGAAAAGTATATAAGAACAAATATTTCTGAAAATTATACAAGAAAATAAGCCCACTATATGCTGAGACACAATGAAATAAAAGGAAAAACCAAACTACAGCTTACTTTTTGGGATCCTGCTCCCTCAATTCACATTCTTCATAATTTACATTTAGTTTTTCCTTCTGGGAAATCCTATTGACAAGTCCTATATAATTCCCAGTGGATGATCCTTCTGAAGTATCTGTTGTCGCCAAGGATAAAGGACTAACTGCCTGAATAAAAAAAAAAAAAAAAACTTGTCTCATATAAATTATAACAAAGATTTTACCCTTTATTTTACCCTTCAATTACTAAGTGCACAATCTGAAAGACATCTTAGATGGTATTAATGATATCCCCTTGTTAAAGATAGAGGTAACTCTATAGCTCTACCCCCTAAAAAAGGCTTTTTAAATTAAGGAATGAATAGACAAAAATTATGTATATGCATGGTATACAACATGATGTTTTGAAATGTATACTTATCTTGTTTTTGTGGTTGGAACACTTAAAATCTACTCTCTCAGTAGGTAGGTAATATATGAATTCACCCATTTTCCTTTTATAACGCCATTAAGAAAAAACAAAATCTTGTCAATTTTCTTGTTTAATCAGGCAATGTACTCTAACACTCTCTAGCTCACTTATCTTTTCTAAATCTCAAAAAACAGGGTAACATATTAAAGATATATCCTGGATCACACCTTAATGGAAATGATTAAGATGATAGCATCATTCCCACTATTGTTATCTGAACCTTATTCTTTTTTTTTTTAATCAATCTGACAAGGTCAGGTCAAAGTTTTTCTACTTTAATAATCTTATCAAAGGTAGGGTAGTCTATTTTATTTTCTAAACTTCTTGACTCAGTTTTCAGCTTATTAATAATAATTTCAGCTTATTAATAATAATTTTTGCTTAGTTATTTTCAATTTTGATTAAAAGGATGACATCTTCAAGTAAGAATTTTTTCAAGAAAGCTAAATTTTCCCAATATTTTAAGTATATGAAAATGATCCTCTGTTGTCTCACATGTGAATGAATTCATGTCTCATTTTACAACCATTGCTCCACTGTCTCCTGGTGGACATCACCAAAATTCTTTTCATTTTCACACTTTGTTATTTTTCTTCTTCTGTGTATTTTTAACTTCTGCCTCATTGCTTGTAGAATTCTTCCTTCCTCCCTAGAATTCAGTACATTTGTCAGGATCACTGTTGTTCTTAGTGGCTTGGTATTTTCCTATGTTTTAGTCAGTTTTTTCGCTGCTGTAACTAAAAGACAGGGCCAGAACAATTGTAGAGAAGGAAAAGTTTATTTAGGGGCTCAGAGTTTCAAAGGTCTCAGTCCATAGACAGCAGGTTCCATTCCTCAGGGCTCAAGGAGAGGCTGAACATCATGGTTGAAGAGTGTGGCAGAGGGAAGCCACAGGGTGATCAGGAAGCAGAGAGAGATGTCTCCACTTGCCAGATATAAATATGTACCCCAAGCCACACCCTCAATTCCCACCTCCTCCAGCCACACCCCACCATTTCAGTTACCACTCAGTTAATTCCTATCAGGGGATTAATTCACTGATTGGGTTAAGACTCTCCCACCCCAAATTTATCTTCTGAACCTTCTTGCATTGTCTCACACGTGAACTTCTGGGGGACACCTTATATCCAAACCATAACATCCTGTATCCAGTGAGTTATTTTAATCGGTAGTCACGTCCTTCTTTCCTGAGAAATGAAAGATTTCATGCTGAAATCTCTTCAGATGGTTTTGTTTGTTTGTTGGGTGTTGGGGATTGAACCCAGAGCCTTGCATATGCTCAGCATGCTCTCTACCCCTGAGCTACCCTTCTGGCCCCAACAGTTTTTTTTTTTTTTTCTGTTCTATTTACTCTGTTTGCATTTTCAGGGACATCAATTATATTTATGCTGGTTCTCCATTATCTGCCCTCCATGTACATCATTCTCCTTACAAGCACTTCATCTCTTCTTTCCTTTCTATATCCCCCAATTAGTTGGAGGGGACTCTTCCCACAACCTGTCAGTTCATTTCTGCCTGACCACGTCTCAGCTTTACACATTTGCCCAACTTCTGAGTGCTGGATTGCTGCTAGCACTCTAACTGGGCATTATCCAGCTTAGCCCACTCTTTCCCAGATGTATTTCCCAGGGTTTTACAAAGATGAAGACAGGGAAAGACTGAACTAAAATATAAAGAAAATTGTGAATGGTTTTACCATGTATGTAGGTATTTTTTTTCACAGAGAGAAATACTATATATGTGTTAAGTTCCCTTTTACTAGGAGAAAGAAAAGAGCAATTTCCTACCTTGTTTTCTTTATTAAGTATATCAACAGCTATTTGGGCTGCAGCATTTTTTGCTTCCTGCTTTGATCTGCCTCCAGCTTCTGGAAATTTTCTCTCATCTATTATAACTTGAAACGTAAACCTAATTACAAAGAGAATATTCACATACAACTCATGCATGTGTAAGAACAAGTGGTCCAATCACCAGGCTTCCTGTGACTATCTTTAAGGGTTTGAACTTATCTTCTATTTAGAATGTAAGCAGCCACCCCAAACAGTAGAACAGCACACCTTCTTGAAGCTCATAAAAGCTATACCCTCTTTCTTTTTTTTTTTCCCAGAGTCATCTGAGGTCACCAGTTTAGGTCAAGAGGATTCTCATAGAACGCTTTGACAACTTTGCTACAGAACTGAATTATTGACCTCAAAATTACACCAGAGTTGCCAGTGTCCTAATTTACATTTACAAGGATATATCCTTTTCTGGATGTATGCTGTAGGTATCAAACCTAGTATCGAACTCATGCTAAGCACAAGCTCTACCACTAAACTACACCCCCACACAAGCCCTTAGGACTTCTCTTGTTTGATAGCAACTTGCCTTAAATCATGGGGAGGTCCTGTTGTAGCCAGTTCTTGGTACTTAAGAACTACTTGATACTTCTGACGGTACTTATTAAGTTCTTCTATGAAGAATCCTCGTGAGATACTATTTGCCATTTCTTCTCCCAGTAACCTGCAATGGAAGAGATGTTTCAGTAAGTGACACTCACAGAACATATATTTTTTAAATATTTATTTTTTAGTTGTAGGTGGACACAATATCTTCATTTCATTTTTATGTGGTGCTGAGAGTAGAACTCAGTGCTTCACGCGTGCTAGGTGAGCACTCTACCACTAAGCCACAACTCCAGCCCTCACAGAACATATTTAATCTGATTTTCCCAGTGCAATTTAGAACAAACTCTCCTCTGTATGACTCACAGGGGTCCCGCAGAAATTCAGAAAACTTTCTTTTGAAATCTTTCTTTCTCTCCTATGGACTATACAATCAAGCTAATCTGTCCAAAAACTCTACTTTCAAAACTCAGCGGGGGGCTGGGGATATAGCTCAGTTGGTAGAGTGTTTGCCTTGCATGCACAAGGCCCTGGGTTCAATCCCTAGCACTGCCAAACAAACAAACAAACAAACAAACAAACAAAAAAACTCAGTTGGCTAAGAAAGAAGAGAGCCCTCCTTCTTCACTCTACTCTGTGCTCCTACTGAGTGTCAAATGCAAATCTGTATAGCTGCTCATGAAGCTAAAAAAGGAACAGGTAAAATTCGAATTTTTGATGTTGAGAGCAAGGTTTAGTGTATATAGAATAAGTAAGCTTACACAATCATGAAAGATTTTGTTGTACAGAAATAGATTCCCCTATGAAATTGCAAAAACTCCTCCTTTGAAATCTGCAGAAATCAATTTTAGGACAATTTACCCAATGGGTAAATTAAGATCCAGGTTTACAGGTCTCAGTAGACCAAAATGATAGCATGATTTAAATTATAAACAAAGTTTAAAAGACATATAATTTATACATAGGAAGCCAAAACTATAAAACTCTTGGAAAAACACATAGATGTGAATCTTCATGATCCTATATTTGACAAGAGAATCTTAAGTTATGACAGCAGAAGTATGAGCAATCAAAGAAAACACAGAAAAATTGGGCTTCATCAAAATGAATAACTTCTGTGTAACAAGGAGACCATGAGGCAAATGAAAAGATAATCTTCAGAATAGAATATTTTAAATTTATATATATGGTAACCAGAATTGTTAGGTCGGTGGCCGCGATTTGGTGGCGACTTAGTGACAACTTAGAACAAAGCAGCCGGAACGGGAAAAGAACATCAATCAGATGCCGGCAGAAACTCCTGTCAATCAGCTAGATCTCCTGACTAATGCCTGTCAATCAACAGGACCCCCCTGGCCAATCCTGGAGTTCAGCCAACTCCCCTGACCAACTTCAAGGGGGCAAGGGACCCTAGAAACACCTTTTCCTGTCCCAAGCCCTTCCCTTCCTGCTGTAAGCCCCATAAAAGTCCAGTCCAGTAGAGCGTCCACCAGACCCTTCCCCTGTTCCCTCTGTGGGTCTGATCGAGTTCCGCCCGGGAGAGATATCTCAATAAAGCCTCCCCCGCCTGATCTGACAAGAATATATAAAGAATTCTTGTAATTCAACATTAAAAAATCAACCCAAGGGCTGGGGATATAGCTCAGCTGGTAGAGTGCTTGCTTAGCACGCACAAGGCCCTGGGTTCAATCCCCAGTACCACAAAAATAAATAAACAAACAAACAATAAACAAATCCATAGAAAATAGGAAAAGGATTAGAACAGCTATTTCTCCAAAGGAGATATAAATGGCCATGAAGTACATGAAAAGATGCTCAACATCACAACTACATACTACTTCACATCCACCTCAATACTGATAACAATCAGAGAATGAAAATGTTGGTCAGGATGTGGAAAAATTGAAACCCTCATACATTGTTGAACAGAATGTAAAAGATACAAGTGCTAAGGAACACAGTTTGGTGTTCCCTCAAAAAGTTAAGCTAATAAGGGGAGGTTGACCAATGTGGCCTAATTTTTAGTTAGAAGGGAGAAGTTCTGGAGTTCTATTACACAGTAGGGTGACTATAGGTAATGACAATGTAACTGTATATTTCAAAAAAGCTAGAAAAAAGGAATTTGAATGTTTTCTCCATAAAGAAATGAATAAAGTTTCAGATTGCTATGTTTAACCTGATTTAACACTGGGTGGCGTTGGCAGAGTTCCCGGGGAGTATGCGTGGAGTGCTGTTGGAGTTCAGGCAATAAAGTTCCCTGTTTGTACATACAAGTGTTTTGTGTCGGTGAACTCAACAGAACTCCAAAGTAGCGGGCGCCCGAGGCAAGTAAAGGTCTAATATACAATTGAATCAATCCAGCATCATCTTAATGGCTCGCCTCACAACCAATACTATTAGCAAAATGCTGTAGCTTTCAACATGCTATAGCATGGATGAACTTCAAGAAAGTGCTAAATGAAAAAAGCCAGGGGCTGGGGATGTGGCTCAAGCAGTAGCGCACGCTGCGGACCGGGTTCGATCCTCAGCACCACATACAAACAAAGATGTTGTGTCCGCCGAAAACTGAAAAATAAATATTAAAATTAAAAAAAAAGAAAAAAGCCAGATGAGAAAGGTCATGTAATATATGATTCTATTTATATGAAACCACCAGAATAAGTATGTACACCTATAGAGACTGCAGGGCAACCCTGCTAAACTCTTACTTCTCACTCTTTTGTGATTCTCCTTCTTCCATGGCTAACACTTCTTAATGTTCATAGGCATTAATGCTGACACGGTCTGAAGACCCTATTCCTGCCAGATGCAGCGGCACATGCTGATAATCCCAGCAGCTTGGGAAACTGAGACAGGAGGATGACAAGTTCAAGGCCAGCCTCAGCAATTTAGCAAGGTCCTAACCAACTTAGTGAGACCCTATCTCAAAATAAAAAATAGAAAAGGCTAGGGATATGGCTCAGTAGCAGATCCCCTCTGGGTTAAATCCCCAGTACCAAAAACAAAAACAAAAAAAGCAAGCAAACAAACAAACAAAAAAATCTGTTCTCTTCATTTTTTTTTTTGCATGTCCATAATTTCAACAATCATTTGTATGTTATTAACTTTAAACTTTATGTATCTCTCATAAACATCTCTGTTTCAGGTCTCTATCCAACAACTCCATTTGAACACCTTAAATGAACTTTAAACTCAAAATATCCAACAAACTGCCTTTATGATCTTCCCTGTCACCAAAAGTATTTCTCCTTCTCAAAGATGTCTACAGCCCCTGTCCTGATTCAAGCTCTCATTACCTAACTTCCTAAGTGACAGCAGATAGTATATCCTCTAGTTTCCATCTTGCAAGGCATTCTTTTTTTTTTAATATTTGGTGGGGGGTACTAGAGATTGAACTTAGGGGCACTCAACCACATCCCCAGCGCTATTTTGTATTTTATTTAGAGGCAGGTTCTTACTGAGTTGCTTAGCGCCTTGCCATTGCTGAGCCTGGCTTTGAACTCTGTATCTTTCTACCTCAGCCTCCCGAGCATCTGGGATTCCATGTGTGCGCCATCGCCCCCGGTTTAGCAAGGCATTCTTTCTTGAGTACTAAAGAAAGCATGAGCGATATAAAGTTTCATGATTCTGGAATTCAACCGAGAATTTATGAATCACCATTCATGTAACATTGAATAAGCACATATTCTATACTATGTGCTGGGGTCAGAGCCGTGAATACAACCTGCTCTTGTGAACTTCCTAGTGGAAAAATGACAGACCAACCCATTTTTTTTTTTTTTAAGTCGCAGGTTGGTAAGCACTATATTGAAAACTGGAGGGGGCAGCCCGGGTGGAGTGACGTCTCTCTTATACACAAGCTGTTTCTAGAGGGTCGCCTGGTGAAGCTGGTACTGGAAGAAGGTAAGATAAAGCAAGGAACTGGCCCATGCAAGTATCTTGTGGGAAGAGCTTTTCAGGAAAAAGAAACTGAAACAGCAAGGAAGTCAGTGTAGCTAGAAAGGGGCACCTGAGGGGCCTTGATAAACAATTACCGGGTTCTGAGGAGACGGGCTGGGCCAGAGCAGGTGAGTGTGGCCTTGTGACTTAGGGAACACTCGCTTGCTGCGGTGTGAGAGGAGTGGGGTAGAGCGGGCTGTTGCGGGGCAATTTGGGAAATCATTGCAACTCTCCAGGCAGGAGCTATTTAGCCAGCGATTATTTCGCCAACCTGTAGGTAATCCAGGACTCCAAACTGCCCAGCTGTCCGTGGGGTCATTGGGCCAGTCGGTTTTCCACCCGATCCGCTCCACTCCACCCTCGACATCCGCTGCCTGGGAGAGGTCTCTTACCTTCTCTGATATTCTTAGCGAGAAGGAAACGGCCTCTGGGTCCCGCTGCGTCCCAGGATCCTTTCTCCAGATCCTGGTAGGGTCCCCGCACGTAGGCTGCAGGACTCCAGCCGCTCCGGGTCCCGGGCTCGTACCCGCGCCCCGATTGGACCTCCGCCTGCCCGCCGGCGCGCTGCCCCGCTCCGCCGCAGTCAGGCGCAGCCGGCCCGTTTCCCGGCCATCGACTATCGGTTTCTTTTTCCCAGGCGGACTCCGCCTTCAGCGCTGTCAGCCCTCGCACAAGCGCACAGCGGCTGCGGGGGGTCTGACCACTGACCTCGGTCCCGAGCGTGCGCGGAGCGTCGTGGGGCGGGCTTGGCACCAGGGTCTGCTCCTGTGGCGCCCCGCACCCCTCCCGGGCTTCGGGCAGATTCCTGGCCCCAGGTGCTGCAGAGCCCGTGGCGTGCTAGGCGCTCCCTGGGCTCTGGGATGGATGCCCTGTTTACTCTTTAAAAAACCAACCTTTGAGATGGGGCCAGGGAGGTGGATAGTAAGGGATCCAATTTACACTGGGAGAAATTGAGTAACTCACTCCGGGTCCTAACTCTGGTAGGTGGCAAAGCCAGGATTTAGTTCAAGCTCAGGCCTGTAGCCATCGAAGTATCCCTCTTCCTTGTCCACACTATAGACTGTGACTTTCTTGAGTCGCATTCGCTCCTTGACACTGCTTAAAGGGTGTTGAGGATTTACCTTGTGTCAAACACTGGTGCACATATCTTCACACCAGGACCGCAAGCTGAGTGCCATTACTACTCCCATTGAACAGTTGAGGAAATGTGTCTGAGGCACAGAGAAGTTAGCCAGTAAGAAGGAGAGCTAGAATTAGAACCAGGAGTCTGCACTCAGTGTCTTAGCTGGGAAGAGACAGGGAGATCCCAAGATAGGTCTCAAATGCACATTAAATACTGTGCTGTCCATCCACTTGCCTCTGTGTTACAGGGTATCAGCAACTGAAATCTGCACTTTTCTTATGGCTTAGGTCCTTAGCAAGGTTTAAGCTCCCTAAATGTGAAGTTCTAGTGGGAGGTTTAGAGGGTAGAGGAGAAAGGGCTGGGGTTGTGTCTCAGAGGTAGAATGCTACCATGCATAAGGCTCTGGGTTCGATCCTTAGCACCATATAAAAATAAAATAAAGATATTGTTATAACTAAAAATAAATATTAAAAAAAAGAAGGTAGATGAGAGAGAGAGAGCCATCTTTCTGTAGCATTTCAAGATGACAAAAAAAGAAGCTCTCAAAAAAAGAGTCTGTTCATCAGCTTGTGTGTGATGGGTGTGACAACAGCACTGGCAGCAGCAGGGACAAGTTTTCTGATATTCTGAGGCCCTGAACTGCCCAAGATAACTTTTTTTCTTTTCGTGTTTTTTATTGGTGCATTACAGTTATACATTACAATGGGATTTATTGTTACATATTCATACATGCCCACAATATAACAATATATTTTGGGCAATATCACTCCTCAGCACTTCCCCCAAGGGAACTTTAAGAAATAAAAATCATAATCTCAAGCATGATCACAGGATACAAGCTATTGTGACTTTTCCAGAAGAACCTCCTATTTCGTATAGATCCAGAACTAATGTCGCAAAAATCAGATGCAGAGTCTATTGCTGCAGGTAGCAGAATTACAATATTAATTTAATGTGGAGCCTCATCTAGTCTCTTGAGTGAACATGAAGTGTATGTATTGGGAAAGAATGACGCCCTGGGAATTTGAGTAGATTGAGTGAATCCTAGTAGTATGGCCCTCCCACAATGTGTAGTCTCTGCAGGCCTTCCAGCATAGTGATCAGGCTGGCACAGCCTGGTTTGAAGAATCCATGGTAGTCACTTTGTAAGGAGGTGCTGACTCTTCAAATGCACCACCCCTAGCTCTGTCTTCACTCCTAGAACTAGAATCAAACGCTACCATGACCCAAAAGGATAAGGAAAAGATCTATTGAAAAAGAGACAGTTTATTCAACAGAATAATTTCACTAATTTTTATTATTTATTATTTAATTTTTATTAGAAAACCAGGAAAAGACAACATGAAGGAAGTCAATGTGCTAGCTCCAGTACTGGAGATGGTTTTAAGAGTTTGCTCAAGTTGGTTTACTGCAACCAGACTTAATGGTAGCCCACATTAAAAGAAATTGTAATGCCAAGTTATTCAGATAAAGAAACCAGAAATACTCAGGAAGTCAAGAATATTAGAGTGGGTTAATGCTCAACCTGAGCACTCACTCCCTAACCTTGTCCTCCAAGAAGATTCAAACATCCTTCCTCTGGTAGCTTGTACAGATCCATGGCTAGCCGTTTAGGTGATGTTCAGAGATTTGGAAGGAATGAAATCAGAGGGCTGGTGAAAAGGGGGTCTGGGGAAAATGATGAGGGTGAACCATCTTGGAATTGGACAAAGTATGAGTATGTTGGTTTGTTTTGTTTTGTTTTGTGTGTGTGTGTGTGTGTGTGTGTGTGAATGTTCACCAAAGGCACCCTCGGCTAAGCAAGCTTTTGGAAGGAGGTAAGCAAGACTTTTCTGTCTTCCCCCCAGCTACTCCCAGGCTCTTAAAAAAAAAAACTATTCTTCTTTATATTTTTTAATTGTAGATGGATACAATATCTTTACTTATTTTTATGTGGTGCTGAGGATCCATCCCAGTGCCTCACATGTGCGAAGCAGGCACTCTACCACTGAGCTACAGCCCCAGCCTCTCTGGGGCTCTTAACCAGCAGCAGAAATGTGAGTTTGTCAAGACGGACTTCTCATCAAAGCTACTGTGGCTTCTGAACACCATATGCAAAGACCTACACTGAGCCCTCAGTGTGGATCGCAATACTCCCCACTCCAAGGGAGACCAGCCAACTATTTGGTGGCAGACTGGTTACACCAGGGCCTTCTCATTATGGAGGGGGCAGGGAATTTTTCCTCTTTGGAGTAAAACATTATTCCCCTTATTCTTTGGAGTAAACATTTATTCAGTTTGCTTTTCCTTCCAGCCATGTCTGTGCCAGCACATCTTTGTGGACATTGTTAATGCCTTGTTCACCTTCATAGTATCTCTCACTAAGGAGACCTTTAAAAAAAAAAAAAAAAGCAGTGAGGCTGTATACTGACTACTATGGGATTCAATGGTTTTTTTATGAGCTCTGTTGCCCCAGTGCAGCTAGCCTTATAGGAGAGTGGTATGGAGTGTTGAAGATGCAGTTACAGCTCAAGGTAGGAGACAACCCTTAGCAAGTTGGAGGTATTTTGTCCTTCAGGTGCAATACATACTCTAAACCTACTTGCTGCTCCTTCCTGGCTAGGATGCATGGCCCCAGGAAACAATAGAAGTAGAAGATTATCTACCACAATTACACCAAATCACAAAGTGAAAAATGAGTGCCTCTGCTTCCATGTCCTTGAGCTCTCATCCACCAGGGGACACATAGTTCCTTGAAGGAGAACTTGAAATGTATTCAGACATTGCAGGTTTCTCATGCCGTCATTCTTCAAGAAAATAAGGGGTGGTGGGATGCTGAACTGGAGGGATGATTGATACCATTTACCAAGGGCATATAGTGTTGCAGCTACACAAGGGGGTCAAGGAAGTGTGTGGAGAGCAATGATTTCAATCATGGTCTTTCTGATTCTTTCGTAGCCATGTTTGCACTCGAACTGCCTGTGCAAAGTGCAGGTCAAGAAGGACCAGTTGCTATGTTGATGCCGACCCGATGAGTTTCTGTGCAAAGGCATGCAGCAGTTATCAGGCACCAACTCCCAGGGACAGAGAAGCATAACAAGATGACCCTAATGTCTCATCAGTTCTGTGTCCTTCAATTTGCCTGCTTCGCTGAAACTTTCCCACAAATAACCTTTTGATGATGAAACCTATATAATGAAATGCTGACCTAGCTCTGGGTCAAACTCCATTAGAGTCTGGCTGCCCACCTGGCCCTTTTCTTCATTTCCCATCACCCCTCATCAGGTTTCTTCCCTGAATTAACAGCCACAGCTGAGAGAGATGAGAGAGCCACAGTAGAAGTGTATGTCTTCAACTGAGGGCTTCCTCTGGGGTTCCTCATGGTAATTCCATATTTAGTGATAAATGTTAATGGAAACTACCCCTGTCCATCACAGGTGGGACTGCTATGGGTTCAGACCCTTGAGGATTGAAGCTTAATATCACTCTATCAGTAGGGAAGTTCTCTGAGGGCAAAAGGAACATGGAACAGGAAGCTATAAACACCAACTATGGTCTTATGAGCAGAGAATAAAGAATCAGAGAAGCTATGCAAGTTTTCTCCTTTGTTTTTATATATGTTAATGAATTTCTTTTGCTTCTCTGTTTCATTTTATATAATATTTATTGTTGATGGCTAATTTTATAAGATAGTCTTTAATTTAGAATGTCTTAAAATGGATTGTGACTAAAATAGAAGATGAAGGAACAACACAGTAATGGGTATAAAGATTTAAGGGATGGGGTGGGCATGTTTTCATTCAAAGGAGAAAATGGTTGTATTCATCAGAGAGGCAATTTTGTAATTGATTGAAAGGTTATTGTTAGAAGGGGTGTACTGTACCAGATATTATTAAATTTTTAAGTTTCTATTCTCATCCCCTTCAATGTCTCTTCATCTCCTGAATTATAATGTATGGAAGTTTAAGCAATTATTTCCATATTTCTGTGGAGTTAAAGTTTTGGATATAAGTTGGGATCTGCCAATGATGGATGAACAGCAATGTAAGTTTTGGGAGATGGAAAGGAGAATAAAGCTATCCTTCTGTGGCAGGATAAACTGACGAGTAAGCTCTGACACTCGGGGGCTTTTGTAAGAGCTGAACTCCTCATACCCTTGTTAGTGTTCTAAGGGTGTTGGACATCTATGGTGGCAGCAAAGAAACCCGCACTGGCAATGGAAGGGTCCTGTGTTTGGGATCACAGCCACAGTGGAAGGTAAGTCTCCTGGTTTCCATTCTGATCAATCCTTCCAACAACTACGGAAGTGTTAATTTCCTACTTCATCTTTCTGCTTATCATACAGTACTTTCTGCTTCTCACACCAAACACTGAATAATAAACAAAACCTCCCTGAAAACAGATTCTACACTGAGGGAGTACAGTTGAGGAATGAAGATTAAGAATCAGGTCCTTATGTGAGCCCTAGATCAAACCTCACTTGAAACCAGATCCAGTGATAAGATCATTCCATTGTTTTCTTCCCTCAAAAACTAATTTGTATTGTATTTTCTATTTGTTATAGAAAGCATCCTAACTGAGCTGATATTCTGAAACACATTTCTTAGAAAATTTTCTCCATTAATTTATTTAATAAAATGTGTATTGAAAGCCTAGCATGGGCAGTATAATAATGGAAATAAAATGATGGTCCAAAGTAATATTGTGCCCTTAAAAATTTTTTTTATCTGGAAATGGGTTGCTAAAAGAGGGACTGTCCTAGGAAGGGAATAAACTGGTGCTTAGGAGATGGAAAGAGAGGTAGGTAGATACATGGATAGATTAGAAGCATCTTGGATCTTTTTTTAAAATTTATTTATTTATTTATTTTAGGTGTAGATGGACACAACACAATGCCTTTATTTTTATGTGGTCCTGAGGATGGAACCCGGGTCCCACCCGTGCTAGACGGGCACTCTACTGCTGAGCCACAATCCCAGCCCTTGGATCATTTTTGTTAATTTTCAGAGATGACCTTACTTATATGTAACTCATGACCTATAGGTGATCTCATGGGATTTTTGGTCACTTTTTTTTTTCCTTTCCTTTTCTGTGTGTGTGTGTGTGTGTGTGTGTGTGTGTTTGCTGGGAATTGAACCCAGAGCCTCATGCTTGCTAGGCAAATACATCACTGAGCTTCATTCCCTTTCTACCCCCATTTATCCCTTTTGATGTTCACAGCAACTTTTAAACCAAACTTTATAATGTTAAAGCAACTAACAGGACAAAGATAAAGAATCTCATGCCAAGTATTTTTAACCTTCTTTAACTAGCAGAGGAAACACAATTATTATTGTTCCTGCTATGGGACATTGCAGAGTGGTCAGTATCTATGCCATCTCCCATGTCTGATGGCTCTCTTTCTCAGACGTCGTTATTTTATTTATTTTTAACCTCACTTCTAAACTCTTCTTATCAAGAGTCCACTGATGCCCAGGATGGTCAAGTTCCCATTCTCCAAGTCTTCGTGAATGGGATTAGTGCCCTCATAAAAGAGTCCCCAGAGGGCTGCCTTGTCCCTTTTGTCATGTGAAGACACAGTGAAAAGACACCAGCTAGGAACCAGGAAACCATGAAACAGGCCCTGGCCAGACACTGGGTCTGCAGACACCTCCATCCTGGGCTTCCCAGGTTGTTCATATGCCACAGTCTATGGCATTTTGTTAGAGCAGCCTGAATGGACTGAGAAAGTCCTCATCAGATAACCTGAATGCTATGTAGTGAGTGGACCTTATGCAAGACCCAACCTCTCAGATTCTCCTTCATTCATCAGTTTGTTCCTTTCATGAGAATTTGCCCAGTGATCCCCCTGGACCAGGCATCTGCTACCTAAGGGTAATTTGGAAAAAAAAAAAATTGCCCTCAAGGTGCTTGTTGTCTTTATCTTCATCATGGGGGCACAATGCGAAATGCTCAACAAACTTCCTTCCAGACATGACTCGAACCTCACATTAGTTCATTTCACCACTTCTACATATGCACCAGGAAAGTGGAATCTCATTTTGAGAGTAGAGGTAAAATACACCAAAGTCACATCATTTTTAAAATCACCTTAAATTTTTTGTCTTTTTCTCTGTTTCTTTAATTTTATTGTGATTTAAACTGCAAATTGGCATAAACACTATGGAAAGCAGTATGGAGATTCCTCAGAAAATTTGGAATGGAACCACCATTTTGACCTACCTACTCACTCCTGGGTTTACACCCAAAGAACTTAAAATCAGCATATTACAGTGATGCAGCCACATCAATGTTTATAGCAGCTCAATTCACAATAGCTAATCTATGGAACCAGCGTAGGTGCCCTTCAACAGATGAATGGATAAAGAAAATGTGGTACATATACACAAATGTGTATATGAAAATGTGGTACATATTACTCAGCCTTAAAGAAGAATGAAATCATGGCATTTGCAGGTAAATGGATGGAACTAGAGGATATCATGTTAAGTGAAAATAAGTCAATCCCAAAAAAACCAAAGGCCAAATGTTTTTTGGTTTTTTTCTGATAAGCAGATGCTGATCCATAGTGGGGGCGGGAGGAGGGGAAAAAATGAAGGAACTCTGGGTTGTACAGAGGGCAGTGAGAGAAGAGAGAGTGTGGGGATGGGAAGGACGGTAGAATGAGACAGATAATTTTTACCCTATATACATGTATGATCATACTACCAGTGTGACTCAGCACCATGTACAGCCAGAGGAAGGAGAAGTTGTGCTCCATTTGTGTGCAATGTGTCAAAATGCATTCTACTGTTATGTAGAACTAATTAGAACAAATTTTAAAAATTATAGAGCATTTCAAACACACAGAAAGCCTAGAGGATAATATGAATACTTGCAGGTCCACCCGCAGCCTTATCACCCGTCAATATCACATTATCAGTGCCTCTCAGTAACATTTGATTTGTGGGTCACTCTCCCTTCTCAGATCATTTTCCTCACTTGGCTTCCAGGACATCAGTTCCTTACTGGCTGCCCATTCTCAGTGCCCTTTTCCTGGTTTCTCCCTTCCTGCCTGCCCTTTCAATGGCTGGAGGGCTCCAGGGCTCAGCCCTTGAATTCCTTCTTTAGATATACCTACTTCTTTAGTTACCCAATCAAGGTTTTGGATTTAAATACTAACTACATCCTGATAATTTACAGTTCTGTATCTTCAGAGAGGAGTATTCCACCGAGTTTCAGTTTCATAAATTTGGTTTTCAATATTCTACCTGGAAGGCTGACAGGTATGCCAGCTTCGTACATTCTCCCTCTGCCCAAGCCTGTTTCAACATGTCTCTATCTCTGCAAATGACAATCCCATCCACCCTGTTACTCTAGAACCTTGTCGTCCTCCTTGTCTCTTTTTCATAGCCTAAATTCAATATGTCATTAAATCCTGTGGGCTCTGTCACATATGTCTAGACTCTGACTAAGCTGTTGAGGCTGGCCTTGAACTTGAGATCCTCTTGTCTTAGCCTTCCAAGTTCCTAGGATTACAGGCATGCACATCTGTGCCCTGCTTAATCTGCTTCCTCTATATCATCACCAATTGCCTTAGCACCAAATGTGAAAGAGTTTAATTTCTTCCTCTGATGTGCAATGCCTCCTCTGTCATATGTCATGTTTCCTGACATGCACGGGTTTGTTTGGTGGCTTTATTTCATTTCACTCTTTGTCCACTCTTGCGCCAATCATCTGGGCTTGGACATTAACACTCAAGGGTCTTTATTACTACAAATCCCTCAGGTCATCTCTGATTCTTACTTGCTCTGGTTCTCTGCTCCTTCTTTGCTCTGGGTCCTGATGATGTATCTACTGGGAGATAAGCTATGTACATAAAGAGTTTTAAAGAACTTTTATCCAACATTTTTTGGAAATTTTTTAAAGGGGGAAATTTTCAGTTTACTTAATTTGCCGTACTTTTAGAAATTGTAATCCTCAAAACAATTTTACTTAACATTTCTATGAATCATTCTATTCTTAACTGCACATAATTTAATTTTATAGTAGAAGTAGCTGCAGTGTAAACAGTAAAGATTATTAAGAGGTTGGGAGGTATCAAACAGCAGATCCATTTTAGAATATTCTCTATTTCTTAATTCCATGGGCTTTGTGGCAAGAAGTCCTTTATGATAGAATAATACAATCTCTCACCTTTAATTTGAATTAAAAATTGTATTCAGGGGCTGGGGTTGTGACTCAGTGGTAGTGTGCTTGCCTAGCATGTTTGAGGCACTGGGTTTGATTATCAGCACCACATAAAATAAGTAGATAAATAAAATAAAGATATTATGTCTATTACCACCAAAAATATTTTTTAAATGAATTCAGTAGGGCTGGGGTTGTGGCTCAGTGGCAAAGCGTTTGCCTCACACATGTATGGCACTGGATTCAGTCCTCAGCACCACATAAAAATAAATAAACAAAATGAAGATATTGTGTCCATGTATAAATTATAAATTCAATTATAAATTTAAAAAATTAAAAATTTTTAATGTATTCAATAGAAAAATAAAGTTTCTTGACAGCTTCCATATGGCCTTCTGCAGTGATATACACAGAGCAGTTCAGCAGTGCATTTTTCTTGAATCAAACATAATATCATTTATTCAACTAATGTCAATACAGAGTCAGAATTAAATTTTCCCCAACAATAAGTTGAAGAGTTACCAGTGCTTTGATCCATAGTGGGAAAAAGTAAGAGTAATTACAAGGAAAGTACAAAAAATGGTGCATCGCATGAAGAGCTCTTCCTCTATGCTCAAACACAGATCTAGGCACGTTTCTGATAGTATCTACTAATGCCCTTTTGTGAATTCAGAGCACAAGAGAAGTTAAAATCCCAATGTAGCCTGGTGCGGTGGCACACACCTGTAATCACAGCAGCTCGGGAGGCTCATACAGGAGGGTCGCAGGTTCAAAGTCAGTCTCAGCAAAAGCAAGGCACTAAGCAATTCAGTGAGACCCCATCTCCTGGGGATGTAGCTCAGTGGGAGAGTACCCCTGAGTTCAATCCCCGTATACCCCCTCCCCGCAAAAGAAACCAGTATAACACATTAATAATAGTGTCCTTTTGGGACAGATAAGTGGACCTTTTCTTCAAAAGGTGAACAAACTTAAATTTGCGCTCAAAGACTTCGGATATTATCATTATTATTGAATTTATATTATTCGGATTTAAATGTTATCATTATTTAATTATTTGAATTTTTCATAATTATCTAAATTCAATTATGATTAAGGAAAAGAAAACATTCAGGCCTGCTGACTTGGCCAGAATCAAGCCTGGCAATATGATTCATACTTCAGCTTTACTCCCAGGGGAGTGCCTGTTAAGAGCTCTTGGAATTTTTCATCCATTTCCTGGTTCTGAGTTTCACTGAACAAGTTTTTCCAATCACCAACTTCACCTACAACACAAAAAACGTGGCAGACCCAGACATCTGTTAGAATATTTTTTTCATGGTTTTAAGGTATTCCCTACCTGATTTTATTATTTTTGTGCATGCAGTATTTCAGCTTTGAAATGTGAAAATGAACACATGAAAAAAAAAATAGCATTAAAAACTAATATAATTTTCCTTGTAAAATGAACACTATCCACTGGGGCTCCTGCAAGGTGGTGTGACATCAGTGGGGGAGAAAAGATTCATCATCGATGATGTCCTACCACCACTCCTCTCACAATGTCTGGGATCTAAAATTCCACTTTGTGAGGTTAATTTTTTTCCTCTCTAAAGTCTTTTAAATACTTTAAATACCCTTTGAAAAGTAGCAATTTTTATCAGGTTTTGGTTAAGATACTGAAAATTTTGCAAAAATTTAATAATTCTACCTACCATGAGGGTATGTTATTTCTATCTTTAGGATCTTTTGATGGTTTGTGTTGAAATTGTAAGTTCTATGTTGCATAGCCTTTGAAATATACGTTGATATAGAGGGTTTCATGACACAAGGAAAGGCTTATCATATATTAAGGAAATGAAATAAAACACAAAACTGTTTACAAATGTCAACTATATAAAACATGAACAGAAAAAGACTGGGAGAAAATGTGCCTTTGTTGGGAAACATTTAAACTTTTGACAACTTTTGTAAATGGTTTTGTGTTATATTTTAATGCTTTCCCACATTTTTTCTGTGCTGTGAATTTTCTACAAAAAAAATCAGAAATATTTAAAACTATTACTTTGTTGACTTCAGAATTTTTCTATCCTGAATAGTATTTGATTAACAATATATAGAAAGGTTCAATTTTTCCCCTCCTTAAAGCTAATAAAATAAGGCATAAAAATTAGGAGTAGTTAGGAATCAGACCAAAGCCAGGTTTGTGTTTAACGTTCCTTTCATACTGGATTTTTTAAAATGGGTCTCCAACTGAAAATGTATAGTAGAGTAATGCAAATGAGGCTCTATTCCTGACTCCATTGTTTATTAGCTATGTAACAAAGGAAAAGTAATAGCTTTGACTCCTTTCCTACATTTGTAAAATGAGGATTTTGGGGGCTGGGGTTATAGGTCAGCAGTAGAGCATTTGCCTAGCATATATATGATGCATTGGGTTTGATCCTCAGTACCACATAAAAGAAAAGAAACAAAATAAAGGTGTTGTGTCCATCTAAAACTAAAAATAAATAAATAAATTAGGGATTTCGTATCCTTTTTATTATGAAATTTGATCCCAACAATATGTTTAATAGACTATCAAATGCCCAATGTTGGCAGGTGTCCTTGCTGTTACATGTGCTGCCTTTAAGTTTTGTTATAACATCTTTTCATTGCTTTATATGCAAAAAAAAAAAAAAAAAAGAAAGACTGGCACAAGACTTTAGAGTACTTTGATGAAACTCAATAAATCGTCTGTGTCAGGGACACCTAGTTGTCTCTCCAACACTCATTTTCTTCTCTTACATTTAAACAGAATCCTGATTCTAATTGGGTAACAATGTGCCCAGGTTTTGTTGTTATTGTTGTTGTTGTTTAAATCACATTTTCTAACTATTGCTGCAGAGAGAGAGGTGATCAATGAAATGTAAGCAGTCCCTGAATGGCGCCTCCAGAAAGCTCTTTTTAAAGGGGGTTCATTCAGATAATGCGCATGATTCTTTCCCTTGATGTTTCCTTCAACCTGCCTGGACTTTTTTTTTTCTTAATTGATTTTATTTTTAAAATAAATGACAGCAGAATGCATTACAATTCTTATTACACACATAGAGCCCAATTTTTCATATCTCTGTATATAAAGTATGTTCACACCAATTCATGTCTTCATTCACATACTTTGGATCATGATGTCCATCACATTCCACCATCGTTGCCAACTCCCTGCCCCCTCTCTTCTCCTCACACTCCTCTGCCCTGTCTAGAGTTCATCTATTCCTCCCATGCTCCCCCTCCCTACCCCACTATAAGTCAGCCTCCTTATATCAGAGTAAACATTGGCATTTGTCTTTTTGGGATTGGCTAATTTCACTTAGCATTATCTTCTCCAACTCCATCCATTTACCTGCAAATGCCATGATTTTTTTCTCTTTTATTGCTGAGTAATATTCCATTGTGTATATATGCCACATTTTTTTTATCCACTCCTCTACTGAAGGGCAATTAGGTTGGTTCCACAGTTTAGCTATTGTGAATTGTACTGCTATAAACTTTGATGTGGCTGTGTCCCTGTAGTATGCTGTTTTTAAGTCCTTTGTGTATAGACCGAGGAAAGGGATAGCTGGGTCAAATGGTGGTTCCATTCCCAGTTTTCCAAGGAATCTCCATACTACTTTCCATATTGGCTGCACCAATTTGCTGCCTGGATTTTGAATGCAATGGTGGAGTACAGCTGCTCTCTGTGTCATCACAGGTGACAAGCAGAAAGACAGAAGGCACTCGGTACAATAAAAGGTTATGTGGAGCTGCCAGTTAAACAGCTCTGCACTGCCTATTCCAGACTTCTTATCGTGCAAGAGGAAAATGCAATTGTCTTACTGAAAATGAAGTTATTGAGATTGCCTGTTATGTGCAAATTTATTCCCCAAGTGACATGATACCCCAGAAATGAAAGCAAGTTTACCTTTGCGGAACAGGAATGGGCCAACAGCACCATGCGTCTCCTGAGATTTTTCTCTCATCGCTTGGAAGGTACTCTGGGCTGAGATGGTTTGAATCTGTTCCCCAGTTACAGAGAATCCTAAGAACTCAGCAATTTGTTTTATTCCAGCAGTCAGATTCTGAAAATACAAAATTTAAAGGATAAATATTTTTCCATGGAAATTAAACTGGTGCAAAGAGAAACTCAGAGGGGATTAAGTTTATTAATCAGAGTGGATTAAGATTATAAAGTCTAACTCCCTAGTTAATTTGCTTCTCTCTTAGATTTCTTTGATACTTTTATGTAAGTATTCAAGATATCATTATAATATATTCTATATTGATTGTACTTTGTAGTTTCAATTTATGACACTCACTGAACTAGACTGTACTATTTAGAATATAAATAATGATAGTAGCATTAATTAGGTAGATTAGAATTTCATGTAGGATGATATCCATTGTATTAAAAAGCATCAGCTTAGACCACCCAAGGAAACAAATGTATTTATATGAGTTTATTCAAATCTTTCTTCAGAATCCTATTTGTAGCTAATGTTTAATTCCACCAAATAAGTCTAATTTTAAAAGTCATAAAAGCTTGGAGTTGGGTAAAGTGGTGCATGCCTATAATCCCAGTGACTTAGGGAGCTAAGGCAGGAGGATGGCAAATTTGAGACCAGCCTCAGAAACTTAGCAAGATCCTGTCTCCAAAAATAAAAAGGGTGCTTGGGGCTGGGGCTCAGTGGTAAATAAAGGTATTGTGTCCACCTACAACAACAACAAAAAATACATTATAAAATTTAAAAAAATAAAAAGGGCTGTGGATGTAGTTAAGTGATAGAGGAGCCTCCAAGTTTAATCCCCTGTACTAGGGGGAAAAAAAGAAAAAACCTTGAAAGAATCTTAAAATTTATCTTGTCTAATTAACCATGTAAATCATGATCCACCCAACACTGTGTCTGACTGATGTAAATTCATAAATATTCTAAAACAGGTTTTTAAACTGTATTCTACAAAACGCGAATGTACTGTAAGACAGCTGTAGACGTTTCATAGAGGGAAAAAAGAAGGGTGATGGGGGTCAAATTCGTTTAAAATCCTTGAGATAAATGAAGGCAAGATCATTTTTTCTTTAGACTCTCTCAGAGCCTTTAATGTACCGATCAATCTACAGTGTGGCTCTCCAGAGGAGCTGGCTATGTAATATAGCACTTCCTAAATCTGTTTGTACAAACAACCTCCTTCCAATTTCCAAAAAAGAAATACTAACATTCTGGGGCAACACTGCTAGTCTATGGAGCACAAGTTTCAGAAGCATTATTTTAAACTAGAGGCAGAAAAGACTAACTTAAAATGTCTTCCATGTAATATAAATGCATCCTATAAACAGAAAAGGTGGATTAAATTGCATGTGCTTTTGATAAGAATATCTCAGGAAAATAGTGTGAACTCAAATTAGGGAGCATTTAACACACTCCCTTCCCTTTGACACACTTTCTTCCTTGAGGATCCAGGACTCTGGTTTCCCTCCTCCCTCACTAACTGCTTCTCTACTGATTCCTCCTCTTCTCAAATTCTTTATATCAGCCATCTCCAGGACTCAGTTCTCGGTCATCTTCTCTTTTCTCTCTCTACACCTAGGTATGAAATCTCTGCCTTAAATGCCATCTGTGTGTCAGTGATGCCCAAATTTTATCTACACCTCACAACTCTCTATATTCAAGACTTTTATGCTCGACTGCCTACTTGACCTTTTCATTAGGCTGACTAATAACCATCTTACTTAAGCTTATCATGCCCCAAACAAAACCTCTGATTTTCCCCACAGCCCTGCTTCACCTAATGCCATCTCCGACTCACTCGATGGCATTGGAACCTTATTTGACTCCTCTTTCTCTCCACATCTTCTCTTCCATCCAATCCACCAGAAAATCCTATTGACTCTTCCTTCAACATTTATCCAGCATTTAACCACTTCTCCTGCCTACACTGCCCCTTCCTGGCCTAAGTTTCCATCTTCCCTGGAAGATGCCTGGATTAGGGCAACAGCCTCTTCACAGGTCTCTCTGCACTATCTTTGCTCCAGTCTATACTCACATACCAGCCAAAACAATCCTGTTAAAAACACACCATTGGCTTCCTGTTCCATTCAGAGTGAAAGCAGGAGTCATTTCAATGTCCTGCCATCCTAATGCTTTCACTCCACCCTCATGGTGACTCTCTCAATTCTCTTCTACTGGCCTAGGCCTGGCTGCCTTCTTGCTGTACCTTAATCACATGTGAAGAAATCAGGGACTCTGCTCTGGTTGATTTCCTCAGCCTGCAAAGCTCTTCCTCCAGTTACCTATTTGGCCCACTCCCTCACCTCCTTCTCAGCTTTGTTCAGATCACATCCCCCCATAGGAACCCAACTGACCACCTTATTTTATATGGGGAGTTGTGCAGCATTCTAATCCCCCACCCGCTGGCACTTCTAATCTTTCTTAACCAGTTATGTGTGTTCTTTTTCCTCATATACTACGTACATTTTCAAATTTTCAATTTCATTGTATTTATTGTTTATCATTCTGTCTTCCGTCCTTCTCCTGGTAAGTAAGCTCCTCCAAAGCACTGAACTTTGTCTAGCCGGAGATTGATATATCACTCAGGCCAACACAATGTTGAGTAAACAGTTTTTTAAAAATAACAGTAACTGGTGCATGCCTGTAATCCCAGCTACCCAAAAGGCTGGAACAGGAGGATGGCAAGTTTGAGGCCAACTTGGGCAATTTAATGAGACTCTGTCTTAAAATAAGATTTTTTTAAAAAATATATTTATTTTTTAGTTGTAGTTGGACTCAATATCTTTATTTATTTATTTTTATGTGGTGCTGAGGATCGAACCCAGGGCCTTGCAAGTGGCTCAGTGAGTGCTCTACCACTGAGCCACAACCCTAGCCCTTAAAATAAGATTTTAAAAGGGATGGGAATGTTACTCAGTGGTAGAGTGCTCTCAAGTTCAATCCCCAGTATTGCAAAAATAAATAGACAAACAAAGAAATAAAAATAACATAAGCTGGAAAAAATCAATTCACAATCAAATGCATATTCAATTAGATCAACTGACACTAACCTAATTTTTTTCCATTACTAATTTGGACTATCCATTATGAAGAAAGAATAAATCAGTTACTCTTAAGTTGTTAAGTGTTGTTTTATTTGTGTTAAGTAACAACTTAAGCATTTATGTATGGTTAGATTGTTTTCTAGTAGTGTGTTGCATATTTGGAATATTTTAAAATTGAATATCATATTTGACCATACAACCAGACCTGGTAAATATGTGCCGCACATTGTAACTTATAATAAGTCTTGCTCCAGAATATCAATGTGCATAGTCTTACCTCTTTCAGGTCTTCATATAGTATGAACTTAACATTTTCATTGTCCAGGTGTTTGTTCCAATTGATTCCAAAATCAAAATAGCTTCCCCAAGAAACTAAAAACACAGGGAAAAAGACTTCATATATAGGGAATTTTACAAGACTGAGGTAAAAATGATAGTTAATTTATGCCCTAAAAATTGTTAATAAAGCAGACATATTATTTCTATATTCTGGTCTTCAAAAGCTGGTGGGTATTTTACATATATACAGAATCTCAATTTAAATGCTAAAGTTTTATTGTCAATACTTAAGTATATTTATTTTTCACAAAACTCACAGTTGAAAAAGCATATTTATACATTCAGTGCATAAAAAAAATCAGGGAGAGGATAAGTAACCACTTTAAGGCCACACCATTAGTACACTACAGGTATTGCTATCATTCAGTCAGTCTGACAACAGAGCTGGTACTGCTTAAGGGAGGTAGAAAAATGCGAAACAGAATTCTCTATACTGTCTTACCTCCTGAAGGCTGAATACGTATCTTCACTTTACAATTAAGGAGGTTGAAGTTCAGAGAGATCAAGTGTCTTGCTTACATCACTCAGGTATAAAGTCACGTGAATCTGGGTTTACTTTTGAGCTCTACTACTTAATGGCTATGTAACCTTGCCATGCCTCTACTTTCTTCATTAGGAGATGGGGATAATAAGAATATTATCCTATGAGGATAATACTTTTCTCCAGTATTATCCTTAATAATTATAGTGAGAATTAAAGTTAAATACTGGGTTTTGTCATACCACCTGACATGTAGTAACTTCTTAGTAACTGGTATCTATCGTAATTTGTCCAATATTAATTATTATTATATAATAAGTGATGAAGCCCAATCCAGGCCTTCTCATTCCAAATCTGATGTTTCCAGTACATTCAGTTGCCTTTATAAGTTGCATCTAAGAAATGTGCAAGGCAGAGCTTCTATCCAAGTTATCACTGCCACATATTATCACTGCCAATCAACTAATTGTGGTAAGAGAATGGATAGGGTGACAAAGATTCCCTAAAACACGTTGCCCCACCCATAACAAATTTCTCATCATTGACTGTTCTCTTGTGTCATTAATTGAATGACATTTCAGATTTGCTTTAACTGCATCTGTACAGTCTTAGTGAAGAGTTATTAGACAAAACAAAGCATTCTTTTAAAAATTTTTTTTCTTAGTTGTCAATGGACCTTTATTTTATTTATTGATACGTAGTGCTGAGAATCAAGCCCAGTGCCTAACACATGCTAGGCAAGCGCTCTGCCACTGAGCCACAACCCCAGCCCCAAAACAAAGCATTCTTAATGGTGCTTCCTATGTACCTTTTATGGACTTTTCTTTCTGCTCTTCTCAATCTCAATATTTAATCTTTGCTTGGGAGCCAGCACTGTGCCCAGTGTTCACACAGGTGGGATGTTACAGCATTTTCTGTGCTGATCACCTTTTTAAAAAGTCCTTTTGGTTGATGTGTGTGTGTATAATGTATACATATAATATATACATATTATATATTACTCAGCCTTAAAAAAGAAATACATGGTGCCTTTTATTTGTTTGTTTATTTATTTATTTATTGGAGCTGGGCATTGAACCCAGGACCTTGTGTATGCAAGGGAAGCACTTGGTGAACTGAGCTATATCCCCAGTCCTTATTTCTAATAATATGAATGACCCTGAAGAACATTTTGCTAACTGAAAGAAGCCAGACACACACACACATACACACATACCTATATTTTCTCACCTTAATGTGGAACCTAGAAAAAGTTGAATACATAGAAATAGAGAGTAGGGGGGGCTGGAGTTGTAACTCAGTGGTACAGTGCTTGCCTAGCACATGTGAGGCACTGGGTTCAGCACCACATAAAAATAAATAAATAAAATAAAGGTGTTATGTCCATCTATAACTAAAAATAAAAAGAAATAGTAGGATGGTGTTTCCCAGGTGTGAGGGAGAGAGGTAATGGGAAGATGTAGATCAGAAGGTACAAACTTGTAGGTATGCAGTTTTGAATTATTCAGTTGTAAATTGGTCTAGAGATCCAGTGTACAGCATGAGGACTAGATAGTTAATAACATTGTACACTGAAAATTTGGTAGGATAGTAGATTTTGGCTGCTGTCTCCACATACAAAAAAAAAGTAGCTATGTAACATGATGCATGTGTTCATTTGCTTGACTGTAATTATCATTTCTATATATATAATAACATAATGCTGTGGTGCATGCTTGCAATCCCAACAACTCATGAGGCTAAGACAGGAACATCACAAATTTGAGGCCAGCCTCAGCAGCTTAGTGGTGTCCTGTCTCAAAATAAAAAAAGGGCTGGGGGGTATGGCTCAGTGATAGTGGGCCTCTATTTCCAGTACTGAAAAAAAGAAAAGAAAGCAAGAAAGAAGGAAAATGGTTCTTTAAAAGTAAACTGACAGGGCTGGAGATGTGGCTCAAGCGGTAGCACACTCGCTTGGCATGCATGTGGCCCGGGTTCAATCCTCAGCACCACATACAAACAAAAATGTTGTGTCCGCCGAAAAGTAAAAAATAAATAAATAATTTTTTTTAAAAAGTAAACTGACAAAACTTCTCCCCTAGGGTCATCTGGCGTCAGTTCTTTCTTCTACTACACTGCAAAGACTCAAAGAAGATACTATTAATGAAAGTCTTTATTGTTCCACCACTGTACTCATGGCCACTTATAGTCAGTGGTACCACAGGCAAATAATCTAATTTTTTTGATTAGTTTCATCATCTGTGAATGGGGCCTTACTCATGGTTTGTTATGTAAGTGAAATTATGCACATAGGACACTTAATTTAGTGCCGAAGGATTGGTAGACACTAGCAAACTGTGATTATAAATGACCAGAGGTAAAATATTAACACGTTCTAATGAAAACTTACTTCCTTTCTGGCAAACAAATGTCTTACACGTAGCTGCTCTGAGTCAGGGTTTTTTTAAAAATCTTTTTTGGTTTTTATCATTGTGTTACCTAGTGATTAAGAGACTGAACTAGAAATGCTTTTCTACGTGACTCCATTAAAGACCTTGTCCCACCCCCTGTTCCATAGCCATTCAATACTCCTAGTCAACATACGAATTGTCCAGCTTATTTTTAAATCAGTAATGCATTGTAATTTCTTGATGCCCAGAACTAGTGGTGCTATAAAACTTCATTTGAATGCAACTTTTTAGTTCCTGGATCTACCTAAAACGTTTCTTTCTTACTCTAAAACACCTTTGAGTTTTCATATATAGGTGGTCATCGGTTTTGAAATAAGGAGGATTCTTTTACCAATAGCCATACCTTGTCCTTTCATGAACTGTCTGAAGAATTCATCCCAAGAGGCATAGCTTGGAATATCAGGGACATCATTGTGGAAATGGAAAAAAGATACCGCTGTATCTTTAGGGTTGCGGAATATCACCAATATCTGGGGAGTGAAAACCAAGTTAATTTATTTAGGTCTACGTTTTGAACACTGGAAGAGTGAAAGGGAGAGCAGTGTCATTGTGTCCAGATGTATATTTTGCACAATTGTGTTAAGAGAGAGAGAAAGAAGGACAGACAGAAAGAAGTCGCAGATGGGGAAGCCTGGGCAGAGGGGAGGAAGAAAGAGGAAGGCAAGGAAGATGGATGTGGTCGCAGGGGGCCTTGGCTAAGGATGACTTCAGAAAGTAAAAACGTGTGTGCAGATGATAGAAATAAGGAAAACAGAGCACATGCACCAGAGGAGTCACAGGAGTATTCTGTGAAAGGCTACTCCCCCAAATAAAATTAAAATTGCAAAATAACTTTAAAGACCATAAGATTAGAACTGGTGGAGAAGATCAAAGAATGGCAAGGCGCACTGTCTGGGGACCAAGGTATGAGGTTTGTGCAAGAAGAAGAACCACTAAATTGCCACCTTCTGTCTTCTCTGACGATGACAGAGTTTTTTTGGATGAAAATAAAAAGCCAAATAAACACTGTAAAGAGCAAATTGAAAGAGAATCAAATATTGTGGTAAGGTGCCTGGCGGCTCTCCCAGTATTCTGGCTTCCAATCTGATACTTTATGTTTCAAACCAAGGATTCGGGAGAAGGTCACTGAGCATGTTGGTGAAAACTCTGGGTATTCTAGGTCACACAGAAGAGCTCAGGTGACTAGAAGCAGGCAGAGGTCATTTCACTTACAGAACGTGTGGGAGACACAGATGGTGCAAAGTTCCAATTGCAATTCTGACCTCCATGTAGGCCAAGCTTCTCCAGCTGGCTAAATAGATTCAAGGCAACATAAAGGAGGAGGCAGTGACCAGTAGGGGGCAACCTGGGTCCACTCAGATACGGGCACTGCTGAGAGCAGGGTTTTTGGACATGGTTTCTAATTAATAGATTTGAGTTGCTTTTGATTGCTTGTATGAAAATAGAAGAACGTCAGTGGGAAGCAGGAGCAATTAGGCATATAAAGCTGACCAGTACTCAAGTGCAAAGGAGGCTAAATCATTAATGAATATAAACCTATCTGAATTTTATTTTATCCTGAGAGGACCATCGTTAACAATTTCATGGGTGATTGACCTAAAGATTCAGATCTATTTCTATCAAATCAGTAGATGATATGAAACTGAGAGGGAAATAGGATCCCCAAACACCTTGTGCATCTAAAAAAATGAACTAATGCTAACAGTATAAATTTTTTTCCCTGAGCTGGAGGTGTGGCTCAGTGATAGAGTGCTTGCCTAGCATGTGCAAAGCCCTGGGTCAGTCCCTTTACTTGGGAAAAAATTTTCCCGTGCAGGGAATCAACCCAGGGCTACGCACATGCTAGGCATGTGCTCTCCTACTGAGCTACACCCCAGCTTCTTCTTTTTTATTATTATTATTTTAGCAGGGACTCACTAAATTATGGAGGTTAGCCCTGAACTTGCATTCCTCCAGCTTGAGCCTCCTGAGTCTCAGAGATTAAAAGAGGGTGGACCACTGTGCTGGCCATAACAGGGTAAAATTGAATAGAGATAAATGGGCTGGGGTTTTGACTCTGATTTAAAGCTTACCATTCCCCCCTATCCAAATTTAGTATATTCTTGTCATTTGAAGGATTTTATGTTTGAGGCTTTAACTGACACTCATTGAACACTTTGGTTTGCAGTAATTCATAATTTCACAAAGACAGGAATTTGAATTGAGAAAGCCAATAGGCGAGAGTATGGACAAATCCTAAGCATCCACCTCTTAACCCATCTGTTGCTCTTTTCTTGCCCTTGTATCTTTTTTTAATATTTATTTTTTAGTTATAGGTGGACACATATCTTTATTTTTGTGTGGTGCTGAGGATCGAATCTAGTGCCTCATGCGTGTTAGGCAAGCACTCTACCTCTGAGCCACAATCCCAGCCCCGCCCTTGTATCCTTTTGAAGAGTCACTCTGCCAGGTGCAGTGGTGCACATCTGTAATCCCAGCTATTAGGCAGGAAGATTTCAAATCCAAGGCCGGTCTCCTCTACATCTTGACCAGAGTTGTCTCAAAATTTTAAAAAGTAAAAAGGGCTAGGAATGTAGTTTAGTAATAGAGCAAAGCCTGGGTTCAATCTCCAGTAACCCTCCCCCCTACAAAAGAGAGAGAGAGAGAAAGAAAAGAAAGTGACCAAATGCATTATAAATTACTTCAGCTCTGTTTGTAATGAAATCATTAAGAGGAAAAAAAAAGGCCATCTAGATTTGTGATTATGTTAACTGCAATAAACAGAAAATTGTACGTTAAAGTATTATTTCTAATTTTGTAGATTTTCAACATAAGGAAAAACTGTTTTACAGAGTTGTACAAAGCTGGCTTAGTACAATTTAGGGAATAGAGGATTTATAATTGGATGTGCTCAGTCTTGGTCCAGACAATCACTTAATGGAATTAAAACACCCACTGGGAATAGAGTAGACCATTTTTAAGGTATTTTCCAATTCTAGGCTCCCAGGATTCTTGTAGCCACAGGTGGCTAATTCTAGTTCCCACTTTCCTAATGTTTTCCATCCTACTCTTCTTTCCTCCTCTATTCCTCTTGTCTCTCACCCCTGGCAGTTTAACCCAACTGTTTTCTTTTCCTTTCTTTGACGTTACTTCACTATTTCCCATTCTTCTTTGTGGCATTCAAAAGTTTAAATCTTGATTTTTAACTCACTCTCATTCTTACCTTCTGAGACAGAGAAAAGAGGCACCAAGAAAAAAGAATGGGGCAGGAGGAGACCAGGGAACAGAAAACAAAAAGGACCAGGTAAGAACTAATAATTATAAGAAATAGATTAATGAATCAAGATTTTTCAACAAATGATGAGACTAGCCAAAGCACAAATAGTTCTGCATGCATGGCATGAAATTTGTTATTATGTGTGAAATGCAGAAATAAAATAGTTTCAGATCTCAGGCAAGGAGTGCTTACCAGAAATAATCAAAGGAAAATTTCTGCTCATCTTACTAGGCTGTATTCTTTTGTTAAATACTCTAAAATAGTCTAGTGGGGTTCTGAAATCTACTAATTGTATAAAACAGATTACAAAATGCTACACCTTTCATTCTATGCATTTGTCTTATATCTTAGTCAAAAACGCATTGGACTTGAACATAACCATAGCAAATATATCTGAAAAAAGAAACAACAGCAAAAGAAATACTAAATCTCACATTTTGATTATCAGCTTTCTATGAGAAAACTCATCATGTTTCTCAAAAAGCTAATAGCTACGGAGCTAGAGTATAACTCAGTGGTAAAGTGCTTTTCAGGCATATACAAGACTTTGGGTTCCTTCCCTGGTACCACAGTAAAAACAAATGGAAAAAAAAACCCAGCCAATATATACACATAAAAATTGCAAATTCAAATACCAGTAGGAAGGGACACTCACCTTGACTTTATGTTCCAGGATGGATCCAGGTAATTTGTCATAATGGAGGTGAGTTGTCAAAATCCTTGGTGACGGAAACTGTTTCATTCTCTTTAAAACATACAAAGTAAGATGAAAGAGCAGGTGTCGTGCATGTGTGTGTGTGTGTGTGTGTGTGTTGAATCACCCCTAGGTGTGGTATCTAACTAAGAGCTTCAAGCACCACTATCACTGCTTCTTCATTTCTCCTGCTCCCCCTGCAAGCAATTCAATAAAATGTCCTTGCTGGATCCTGCCTATTAATTTCCAATGTTTGTTGTTGCTTAATATTTTTTTGTTTATTTTTTTCTACAGTTGTTTCAAATCTCTTTTGTTCAAGACAGTTTACAATTTGCAATCCGCTCTTTCACTTATTTGGAGCTTTTTACATTCAAGTTCTTTTAATGGAAATATTCAAGTCTTTCCACAGCTTCTGTAAATCCATTTTTAACATCTAGATCTTTTTTTAACCAACTAAATTTCCATGCAAATATCCCAATAGGGGGCTGGGGCTGGGCCTCAGCTGTAGCTCACTTGCCTGGCATGTGGGAGGCACTGGGTGTGATTCTCAGCACCGCATATAAATAAATAAAATAAAGGTCTATCAACAACTAAAATAGATATATAAATAAATAATCCAACAGAACTTGAAAGTCCAAAGAATTACTTAAATATCTAGAAAATATATTACAAAAGAAATTCTTGTCAGTATGAGACTTATAAGGTGATTGATTCTTTGTGTGTGTGTGTGTGTGTGTATGTGTGTGTGTGTGTGGTGTTGGGGACTGAACCCAGGGCTTTGTGCATGCGAGGCAAGCACTCTACCAACTGAACTATGTCCCCAGCCCTGGTGATTGATTTTTTTCTGTTATGTATCTCTACTGATAATTTTGGAAATCAAGTTTTCTATTTAATCTGCCAGGATAAAGGGTTTTAACTTAAAATCAGACCTTTAGATCATGTCATGGTGTGGGTGGGGGATGACACTAAGTTTTCATGTTTAAGTTCCACATGTTTAGCGGTCACTCTGTTTGCTATGGCTACGGTACACCTACTTTTTTCAAGTGATAAAATGATATTTGAACATTTGTAGCCAATTGTTTCTGTAAACATTTAGCACAAACCTCAACTCAAGAAGGGAAGTAAAAAATGATATTTTTTAAAGGAAAATATTTAAGTCAACAATATTTAAGTCAACAATTGGGTCCAAGTGGTGATTAGCAGTGATCATATCTTATTTACATCAAATTGTACTTTTTAGTATTTGAAGTACTTTTACATTCATTCACAACAATCCTTTCAAGTAGATATTGAAACCCCCATTTTAGAGATTAAGACCAGGCTTTGAGATTTTAAATGCTTTGTGTAAAATTACACAGGTGGTAATTTTCAGATTAAGTGATAGAGTACTGTTTCTACTAAATTACATGGCCCCAAATCACACTGTGACACATGAGAGATAGTAAGGTTATTCAAAGAAATATATTAGAAATATATCCCCAGGGAAAATGACAGTTAACTGCCACAAAATTAGATAATTATATAATACTGTGTTTATGAAAATGTATAGTATAGCCAAACTATGCCATGTAAAGACTATTTTGTTTCAGGAAATATATGCATTTTAGAAAGGTTTTCTGTAAATTGAAAAGATTTGTTTGAGGTTACTTGTTTGGAAATTAAAATAGACTTTCCTAGAGAAACAATTAAAAATGTGAAAACTTATGACTCAGCATCCCAAACCCAATTTCAATTTTTAAAATTTTATTTACTTATTTTGGTGCTGGGGATTGAACCCAGAGCCTTGTACATGCAAGGCACACACTCTACCAACTGAGCTATACCCCCAGCCCTCCTATTTCAATTTTAAGAAGAACCTGCTTATCTCAGTGATAGGTAATAACACAAGCAAATACAATAAGAAAGGTTATATTAGTAAGGTGCATAACAACAAGTGAGATGACCTGTGACCCACATAATAAGTTTTTAAAAGAGAAACTGGAAAGCTAGACATGTGTTAGCATCATTTCAAATGGTTGATGTTAAGCACGGTCATTAGGGGAAAGGTTTTGCAAGGACCTGGAGAAGTTAATGGGATTTTTCATTGGTTTTTCCAATTAAAAAAAAAAAAAAAGCTTCTTAAATCTCCTGTCCACCCATCCTGCCTGCATGTCTGAACCTGTCCTGACTGAGCCTCCACCAATTGTCCTTTAGTGCAGATGACCCTCCCAGGTGTGGGACCTGCAGGCCTGATGTGCCTGCTAGTCCTTCTGATGACTCCTGATGTTCCTTTGCCACCAACCAGACCCAGGACTTGGCACTTGCCTCCCCACCCCACTCCCGGTCAATTATTTCTGCTACTTGGGCCCAATCCATGGAAATGGGCTATCTAGTTTCCAATTTCTAAAGTTTGTACTTGTCATCGTGGTAAGAGTCTCAGTCACTTTCCAGGAGCTGTTCCCTAAGTCCCAGTCCAATGACTTTCTTTATAGTAACAGCTTTGTCTGCCTGGTGGGAGATTTGGTGGTGAGCACTTCTGAAGTTTTATTGAGACTGTGGTCCCCTTAAATACAGCGTATCTTTCCCACTGCATTCTGATGTGTCCAGGGGCAGGGAGAGGATGCTCCTCCTCACTCCTGTTCTGTGTAAGCACTAAGGTCCTCAGGTATGTCCTCACTTCTACCACTTTCTTGCCTTCCCTAAGCTGCCAGGGAGCAGAACATCCTGACTCACACCCAAGTCCCAGTATTGGAAAGGTGAGAAATACCAGGTCGGGTGAGTTGTTAATGCCTTCCTACACAGCAGTGACCTAGTCTCTAAGCTATCACTTGGCCCCTTCCCATCCCTCAAACATAAATACCAGTTCATAATTGAGATAGGGAAATAAAAAATAATGTCTTGTGAGGAAAAGACCAAAAATGATTCCCATAGTGTCCTGCCCTTGTCTGTGTCTTCAGAGGTGAAGCTTTTTTAATTTCAGTTCATTTCCAGAGGTTTCTTAGTCTACTTTCCCCCACTACATTAAAATAACAATAATAATATGGATGGTTATGCAGTGTAATCTTTTTTTTTTTTTTTTTTTTGGAGGCGGGGTGCAGGGATTGAACTCAGGGGCACTTGACCACTGAGCCACACCTCCAGCCCTATTTTGTATTTTATTTAGAGACAGGGTCTCATCGAGTTGCTTAGCACCTCATTAAATTGCTGAGGCTGGCTTTGAACTCAAGATCCTCCTGCCTCAGACTCTCAAACTGCTGGGATTAAAGGCGTGAGCCACTGAGCCCAGCATGCAATGTAATCTTTAAGAGCTCAAATCAGAAAGTGTGGGTTCAAATTCTGGTACTTATTAGCCTCTTAACCTTAGGTAAATCTCTAACAGTTGTTTTGTTTGTGAAATGGTAATAAAGGTTGTTTAGTGATAAAATCAGATAATAGCTAGAAAGCACTGAGGATATGGCAAGCACACAATAAATTGTAGCAATTGTTACCATTATTCTAACTGAATTCAGCATTGAGGAATCTCCAATGAGGAAGAAATCCTTCTATGATAATTTTTTGCAAGTTTAAAGTCTGTTGTACTAACCTGATATTTTTCTGAGTCCCCACATTCAAGAACTGGGAATTCTGGACATTCATATTTTTTTTTAGAAACAGCAAATATTAATTCACTGACAATGTGAAGAATCCAATTTGAACCTATAATAAAATCCAGAAAATAAAAGCTCATTAAGGAATCTTAATATAACAAAGGCATGTGGGTTTAGTACATTCATGATAAAAATGAAAATGTACAATGAAAAAAGAAAACGTCCAACCATTACCCAATGGGTAGCTTTAGTTCTCCTGTGTTTGAAATAACTCAGGCTATAGAAAGAAACCATTTTGTAATAAACAGCATTTACTAATATTAGTGTAATATCCAATTTATTTTTAAAATTTAAGTTATTTCTCAGATGTCTCCTTTAACAAGAGACATGCTTCCTTTTGAATCTAAAATGTGTCCTTAAAAAAAAGTTGTTCTAGAAATGGTTGTTTATTATATCTCATATGTATTATTTTACCTTAAATTAACAAATATTTTCCATAGGAGAATATAATTTTCTTTCTTTTTTTGGTGGTGCTGGGGGTGTATAATTTTGATTTTTATCAAAACCCAGCAGTGGGTACAAGAAAGAGAAATATTAAATGAAGCTGACTTTAATAAGCAACAGTTCAAAGAATTAAAAATAGATGGTATCAAAAAAGGGTAATTTAGACTCTTAATATCTCATCCTCCGTTGATAAAGGACTTTTGTAAAAATGATCTGAGAAACTGGAGGATCCATGTTTGATCCTGAAAAATAACCGGTGATCCAAAAATCATTGCATAAATTACAGAAACAGCCATGCTTTTGCCTTGGGTCAAAAACCAAGATGAAACTCTCTACCACTATCCAAGCTCCATGGCAACTGGACTTTCCCTCCTTCTGCTTCACCTCTGCAGCCCCATCACCCCACACTTCCACCACCCATCATCCACCATGCCATTTACACAGACCTCTTCCTTCAGACACTGGGCGTTTTTAAACCCAGCTATTCTAGCTTTTGATCTTACCACCTGTGTATTTTAGCCTTCTTGAACCCTCCTCACTGGTATCCAGCCAGCTTCATAGAAAGATGAACTGTCTTCGTCCCACTTTATCTTGCACCCACCTCCAACCTACTCATTGTTAAAAATGCGCTTACAGGAAATGATTGGCTATTTACCACACTTTGGGTAAGATGCTAGCACAATGTCATCGCTCCTGGCTTCAAAAGTGTCCATCGCTTGGAAAGTTTCTGAGGTACACATGGTAACTGGGTAAGGAATCCCCTGATAGGTGAAGAATAAGCGAGAAAGTGCAGTTTCTTTTGATTTTTCTAAAGCATCATCAATGTACTCAATAAATTTGGACTTATCTGCCATGCTGACTTCCTGCTAGTGAATCTGCTCTGTGCTTGTCCAGGTGCAGGGATTGCTTTTAATGGAGTTAGAATAAAGAACTCCTCCCATTCATCATTTAATTCTCATCCACCTCTTCCCCCTTTTGACATATAATCCTCAACAAAAGGAAAGCCACAGGTGCAAACCAGTGTGAGGATCAAGCAATATTAACCCTGAGTATCGATTATATTACCATCTAGGTAACCCGCCCAGTGAAAGTAAGAATGAAATCTTCTAATAGAGGATTAATACATATTAAATATCTAACGATAGGTATTTAGCTGAATCAGGCATACTATTTTCCTATTAGCCATCCACAGAATGAAACCCAGTTTTCTTCTTGGTGGGCAGTTTTCCACACACATCCTAGTCAGTGTGACAGGGAAGCAATGGGGTTGCCGTGTAATAACTCGGGGGACAGCCTGGGCATCAGGCTCAGGTCTACCATTTATTGGCTCGATGGATTTAGAAGTCTCTTCTTCACCTATTAACAAAAGAACATTATGGTTCATAGGGGGAACTGCTCTATGAGGGGAAGAACTCAATTTGGCCCCATCTCCAGCCCTCTGGGTTCTGCTCCTGCTGGTTAAGGTCTCTAGGATGAGATCCTGCTCTCTGTAGCAGTTTCCCTGGCAGCTCTTCTCCCCTGTTCCCTTGGGTGAGTTGGCCCACAGTTCCCACCTCCCTTACAGCTTACTGTGGGCCTGGGGCTAATGGGAAGTGAACATAAGTGACATGTCCAACTTCTGGGTCATGTCCTTAAGACAGAAGTTGATGGTTTTTCCAATTCATATCTATTTCCTTTCCCACATCTGGATAGCAGACCTGATGCTGGAGAGCCACACTTATTAATTTGGATAAAAACATCATTTCAGAGGATGGTAGAGCAACAAAACAGAGGAAACCTGGCTACCGGACAACCTAGGAACACAGAATCATGACTCACATCTATGACAAGTCTTCATCTGAAGTGTATATGTTTTTTTTTTTTTTATCTTCAAATTCTGGTATTTAATAAACATGTAAAGATCCTCTGAATATAAAAGTTATAATTAGTCACTTGTGCCTGTAAGTATAAAACTGATAGCAGTAGAAATGAAGAACAATTTGCAATTCTAACAACATGAGTAAAAGGAAAATTCTGTAAGATTTGATTCAGAGTTTTAACTGCTTGTGGTCAACACAAACCACTGGTTTTTTGTTTGTTTGTTTTTGGGTAGTGGGAGTTAAACTCAGGGGCACTCGACCACTGAGCCAATCCCCAGTCCTATTTTTTTTTTTTGTATTTTATTTAGAGACAGGGTCTCACTGAGTTGTTCAGAGCCTCGCTTTTTGCTGAGGCTGGCTTTGAACTTGGGATTCTCCTGTCTCAGCCTCCCAAACTGCTGGGATTACAGGTGTGTGCCACCACACCTGGCAGTACAAACCACTGTTTAAATTCACAAGTTTTACCAATCTTGGGGATTTTATTTTCATTTATATGAATTATGAATTTTACTAGTGTTATTAAATACTACTTTCAGCATACAGCCTCAGAAGATTTTTTTAGTTATTAAGTGGTAGGTAGATAAGGTAGGGTGTTCCCTATGGTAAGTTCTCATCAATGGGTTATTTGCTGCTGTGTTCTTTTTCTGACATTTCTCGCTGGTGAATTGTATCCTGTGCTGCTTGCTGCATTTTCTCCAGTTTTTCCAGAGTCAAAGATTTTAAGGGTAAAAGTTGGGTTTACACAGCACCATTGTGATTACGCATTCCCCAGACAACTGCCCTTGGTTTGGAAGAATTTTCTGGAACATTGACTTCACTTCTGCCATATCTGAATTGTTGGATACATTAATTTTTTTCCCTCAAGTTCTGGTCATTTTCTTGCTGTTTTAGCATCTAATCTGGTAATATCAAGATGTCAGAGTTCCTGACTAAAGTCTACGGAAGGAACTACATGATGTAATGTCGTAATCTTGTAAAGACGCATCCCTTCCAGACCAATCAGCTGTTGCCCAGGGTAACACAAAGGAAAAAAATCTGTGTCATGCTGGAGACAGGAAGTCAGGAAGCTCTCTGGACTCTATATATCCTGTCTAGTAAATTGCTAGGTCAAAATTTACTCTTTAACTTTTTAAATCAAATTTCCATAAATACACATTGTGCCTTTCTTCTTCCTTCTCACTCTCTTTTCCACATCATTACCTTTCTTTCATTTTTCTCCCCAACTCTAAGAGCATGGTCTTTTACTCCGTTTACCTTTCTCTAAACCAATTCTAGCCTGTTAAGAAGCTAACTCCTGGGTATGCCTCATTTCCTTGCTGTAATCATTCGTTTATCAGTTAACATAATAGCTCACATTATTGAACGCTTACATGTACCACACCCTCTACCACACTGCTGAGATGACATGCATGATGTAAGGTAACTTCCTAACAGACCTATGAAATTGGTGTTACTTCATTACCAATTGGCCGATTGAGGCTTGTAGGGTCAAAGTAACTAACTGGAATTTGCAAAGCCCTTGGAGGAGCTGGTATCAGAATGCAGGCCGGACAGCTCAGACTAGTGAGAAGAGCAGCTATTGAGAGATCTCAAAAGTCCCAGGTTTAGTTGTTAGTGCTGGTATATTTTCTTTTCTTTCTTTTTGGTTTTGCCCACCCCGCCTTGGGCCTCTGGATTGAACCCAGGGTGCTTAACCATTGAGCCTCATCTCCAGCCCTCTTTTGCTTTTTTATTTTGAGACAGGGTCTCACTTAGTTGCTTAGGACCTCACCAAGTTGCCGAGGCTGGCTTTGAACTTGTGATCCTCCTGCTTCAGCCTCCCGAGAGGCTGAGTTTACAGGCATGAGCCACCACACCCTGTGCTGGTATGTTTTCTGATGCTTCTTTACCTGCTCAGAACAAGAATACCAGCCCTTTCACTGGAGGCCGGGGGAGGGGGAACTTACCTTCTGAAGAGAAAGATTTTTATGACCACAAGGGAAAAAATTTTTTTGGTTTCTAGAATATTTTATTTAAAAACAACATTTTGACCAAACGCTACATTGAATGTTTACACTAATTGTAAGACTCATTTAATTTCAGAAATGTAACATATGGAAACATATATATCTTAGGACTGAGGAAATCTTATATTTCAACAGAAAGTAGTTTACTGAGCAGGGTGTGGATGTGGGAGAGTAGATTTTTGTCTTTATTTTACAAGAGGAAAGAACTAATACAAGAGGGTCCCTAGCTAGGAACAAATATCTGAATATAATCAAATTTGTAAATATTTTTGGTACTGAGGATTGAACCCAGAGGTGCTTTACCACTGAGCTATATTTCCAGCCATTTTTAAAATTTGAAGACAGGTTCTAAGTTGCTTAGGGCCTCACTAAGTTTCTGAGGCTGACCTCAAACATGTGAGCTGAGTTGCTGGGATTACAAGTGTGTACCACTGTGCCTGGCTGTGAATATTTATTTTTAAAAAATTGACTTGTGAAAAGGTAAAAATCAGAATAGCTGAGTATCTTAATATTTGTATATTCCACTCCCTCTTGAAGGTCTTATTGTCTTACACAATAATGAGATGATGGTCACTGTGGTTGGGAAGGTGTTTTAAGAATCTCCCTCTCAGAAAAGAAAGGAATAGGACTGGTCTCCTGCAAATTGGCTCAGTGGGATTATCCAATTCAACACAAAGAGTCTTTGTTTTCCTCTAGCATAGAATTTAAGACATTGATTCAGACATGATTATTGTTTGCTTGCTTCTTGGTGAGTGAAATATTTAAAAAGACAATGGTCTGGATCCTGTTCTGAAAGTAATATTGTGATTATAAGAGGATTTGGGGGCCTCTTTGGGATGGGTAATGTGACCTCGATTCTTGTTTGTCTCCCCAGGGTTAGGTCATTCTGTCAATTGGCAATTCCACATACTAAACTCTGAATTGTCTGGCACGTATGATGAAGGCAAAGGGCAGGAAAGTAGATGTATTAGCACTGCCCACCTTCCAGCGCAGGTGGGCCTCATGTTATGTGCAATCCCGCCCTCCCATTCAGCACCTGTCTTATCCACAGTAAGGGTAAATGGCCTAGACTTTCTAGACTTTGTTTCCTTGTCACTAGATGGGGTCCAAAGAGATCCTCAAAAGAGAAAAGGGGATCTCAACTCTTTCATCCCTCTGGCAGGTTCTTGACCTACATCACAGAAAGATATGTCAAAAGAAAGAATCACAAGTGGAGGCCTGGGGTTTTGGCTCAGTGATAGAGCCCTTGCCTCACATGCCTGAGGCACTGGGATCGATCCTCACCACCACCTAAAAATAAATAAATAAAATGAAGATATTGTGTCCATCTATAACTAAAAATTTTTTTTGAAAAAAAATGCACAAGTGGAGATTTGTTTAGGACAGCAAGATTTATTCAGGAAAACAAACACTAGAGCAGGATACGCACTCAAAGGTAGAGGGGTACAGGAAATGGAAATTCAGACATGCTTTGGGGTCTCAATCTTTTTTTTTTTAAAGGAAACTATGTAAATGGGGACCATGAAAGCATACAGGTAGCATCAGCCTAATGAACTTGATTCTTTTGATGGTGGAGCACAGAGTGGGCCACAGAGATCTGGTTCTTCTTAGAATCTTCAGGTTGATATTATCTAGTCAATAGCTGCTGCTGCTATCATCTAGTCAATTAGATTGCTCCCATATCATGGATCTTTAACAACATTTCTCTCTAGGCTTCTTTTACTTAGTCTATAAATACATTCTGTAAGCAAATGAGATACTCTACAATTTTATTGGATGTTTTAAGAATTTAGGCCTAGATTAAAAAAAAAAAAAAAAAAAAAAAACAGGCCTGGGAGGTTGAAGGGAAGGGTGTTCATGGAGTTTTTAGATTGGAAGTTAGAGTCTCTCATTCCCTGTTCGTCTCCTTCTACCTATTCTATTTCTTCAATCCCTCCTCACCCTGACTGCTCTGGGATATAGCTGCAAAGGAGGCTTATTTAAATGTCCCTCCTTTGCATTAAGATCTTTCCTGCTTACCTTCTCTTTTTCTTGGCTACAGGCTTGTTATCCACCTTCTCATGAGAAAACAGATGGGAAAAAAAAAAGTCTAGTGTGATTGAAATGAAGTCGGATTAGTAAAGCAGGGTCAAATAGCACAGGGTTTCTGTGAGACAGCCAGCCTCACTGCCCGTGGTTTGGACAGTAGTGTCAACCCCCTCTGACTATGGCCCTCGATATGCAGCAGTGTTCCTTCTGGATGAAGTTGTGCTTTTTCTTTTCTTTAGCAAGAGATGAGCTTTTTTTTCCAGTGTAGCTCAAGAGTGAGGTTTACCTTGGAATTCCTCAGACAGGGAGAGACTGAAATCTTTTTCTTTTGGGGATTTACTAAAGATTGGCCCACCAGGCAGGTGATGCCCTGAGACAGTGGAGGCGGAAGCATTTGAAATCCAGGATGGCTTGTCTGGTATGCTACTTTGGCCTTTGTAAGGAAGGAGAAATTCCTTTTCCTTCCCCATCCTGTGTTCCTGGCTGAGGTCCCTAGGACAAAAGACAGCTTAACCAGAGAAACTATATTAAAATTTTACATCATATAGACTTCATCAAGAACTGAAGCCTCCCAAAGAAACAGTTAAACTTGTATATTTTTGTGTTATTTGATGAATAGTGGACAATTATGGAGAAATGTAATTGTACAAAGCGGTGTGATCCAAGAGGAATACATTTAGGGGAACTTAGCCAGGCCTATAGTTCTGATTCTTTCCTTTGATCCTGTGTCTTCAGGGATAAGAATGTTCCTTTCTTCTGGGCATAGGGAGGGCACCCCACTAAGAAGGGTCTTATGATTTATTTTAGTGGAAGGTCAGAAAATCCTTCCTAGATCTTATGATCTTATGCCTTGGGGGAAAAGGGTAAAGACATGGAAAGGTGAGAGAGACCTTCCTGCATCTGCTGTTTTCTCAAATGCCAAGTTGCCCTCTTTGGGGGTAGCATGTTCTGAAACCCATCACCTCCTTGACTGAGGGTGATGGAGGACTGCTCCATTCCAAAGCCCAGCAGCTAGCAGGGCAGGGTCCTAACCACCTCCCATTGTTCCTGCTGCAGAAACAGTGCCCACTGCTCTTGACTACTCTGTGGTCTTCTGCAGGGAAGACTCAGCCACTTCCCAAACCCTGGGCCCCTCCTCTTTGAGAAGGTGTCCTTTGGTGTCCAGCGGTAAGGGATCATTGCTGCCTCATGTCAGATAATGAAAGAGCTTTTCCCTCCAGTATCCTCCAGACCAGCTGCTTTTTCTCTTGAGGTGAGCATGGAAGAACCTCTATGTATTCGTTATGGGGAGATTTCTGGTGCCCTATAGTCATTTCAGAAGATGGAGACTTTGGTTAGCTTCTGTGTCTCTGCATGATGCAACAAGAACTTCTAGTCACTGGTATCCATCTACTAGCAAATCAGGACAGGACCAGGAATGCACTGCCCCCAAAGGACCCTTTGGGAGAGGTGCTGGAGACTTGGAGGAGGATCAACTGGACTTCTGAATTAGGGAGCTTGAACATTTGCATTCTGGGGCTGGGGTAAAACAGGTTTAGTTGCCTCCTCCCCTCAGTTATGTAGAAGGACAGCCTTTACACCTGCTATCTGTGAGTCCCTCCATTTGACACTCAAAAGAACCAGTGCCACCTTGAAAAATCTGACACAAGAGTCTCTCCCACATGCCCAAACACCCTCTGCCCAATTCTTTGATCAAATCAACTTAGCTTCCTTCACCTGGTCTCCACTGAATCTCCACTTTTCTTGCCCTAAACCTTGTGGCCAAATGTTCCTTGCCTCAAAACATGATTGTGGAATCTATAAATGTATGTGTTCCCCTAAAATTCATATGTTGAAATCTTAACCCCCAAAGTGATATTAAAAGTTGGGGTCTTTGGGAGGTGATGAACTCAGGAGAGTAGGGCCTTAAGGACTGGAGTTAGTGTCCTTATGTAAGAGAATCCTTCGCCTCTTCTACTAGGATATAAGTCATCTTTGAAACCAGAAAGTTAGCTTTCATCAGACACTGAATCTGCCTAATGCTTTGTTGTTGGACTTCTCAACCTCTAGAGCTGTGAGAAATAAATATTTATCATTTACAACACCTAGTTTATATTTCTCTACTATCGAATAGTGTTTTAATTGATAAATATTTAAGAAAAGTCTAATGAACATAATGGGGTTTCTTTTGCTATGAAAATATTGTGGAAAAAATGAATGAGAATGATCCCTTAAAGATTATGGCTGTCTTAAAGAAATATTAAATAGAATGAAAGTTCAATCCAGAGATGGTTTCTTTAGCAGACAGGTCAAGGGGATGCACATAGCCCAAATATTAAGATACTAGAAAAGTTGATTTAGGGCTGCTACGTGAAACGACTCTGGATCTGTGTAGATCTGAGTGCTATCGACCAATATGACATAATTTAATATAGTTTATGCATCAATATTTCTCATAATTGATGGTAGTTGTACTATGTGGTAGTTGTCCACATAGGTTGGACTTGGAGTCTTGGATTTGGCTGGGGTTGGGGCACGTGTGGTGAGTGTTGCAGAGGCCGTCAGAGCTTCCTTCACCTGGTATTGACAAAAACAGCTCCAATTATCACCTCTTCTCTGAAAAACTTCATGGCTTCCTGGGCTCCGAAACAAGGTCTTTAGCATTGTGTATTTTTCTCCAGTCATTTGTGGATATATTTTACTTTTCATTAGACTATACTTCGGTGAAGGTATATCTAAATATTTGGGGTAATCCAGGTTTTGTGTTACCCGTGGTATCTCAATAGACCTCTCATTTTCCCTCTCCTCCCTTTGCGTCATCTCTTTCTCTTCTTACCTAGTGGACAGTATATACTGCAAGAGCTTCTTGAATTTTGAATGGCAAAGGAATTGTCTAGGGATACGGATAGACCGCAGATCCTGGTTCAGTGGGCTTGCATTTCTGTCCAGTTCCGAGGCGATGAGGTGTTGCTGATCCTGAGACTTTGTGGCTTAGGATGCAGAAAGATGATACTCATCCCAGGCTTCTGAGTTTGGTTCTTGGCTCCGAATTATTTCTTCACACTTGATTTTAGCCTAAAGGCCGAGAAATGATCCGAATTCTTTCTCTTACTAGATGTGTGATTGTGTGCAGGGTAAATCTCCTATCTCTTCTGTAAAATGAGCTACTCGCAGCGCCTGCTAAACAGGGTTACCGTGGGGGCTTAGTAAAATAACACGCAGGGGCGGTCAGACTGGCTGCAGGACTGGCTGCTGGTGGGTACGCAAAACGGCCAGCGAATGGGGGCGGGGCCACAGCGGAGGGGCGGGCACTGCAGCCTCGCGCACGCGCTGCTTGGGTGCGTGCACTTCAGGTAAGAGCGGCTGGTGGCACCAGCAAGGCTGCCTTAGTTGTAACTCCCGGGAGACCACAGGGACAGGTTTATTTTTGTTTTTAAGTTTTTATTTTGGAAGCGAGGCCTTGCCAAGTTATGAGATCTCGGACACTCCAGTGTCACTGTGTCCCGTGCTCGGGAGGCCGAGCATTTCCGGGTCGCTGGTCGACCTTGGCTGGGGTGGTGCAGCCAGTTCACCGCGCGCGTGTCGGTGCAGACCCGCCCCGAGAGCACCCGGCGGAAGGCAGGGAGGCCCGGGAATCCCAGAGGGGTGGGAGCGGAGCTGAGGCGTCCGCCGGGAGCTTGGTTCCCTACCGCGGGAATCTGCGCGACTGCTTTTGCTCTTCAAGCCCAGGGCCGAGATGCTGGGAAACGTCGCTCTTCGCTTCTACACTGGGAGGCCTTGCTGTTCCGATTCGTGTCGCCCTGAGATGCTGGGCCTTGTAGGCCACTTCTCAAATCAGCGACTTTGATTTGCAGCCTTCACTCACAGACTCAGGTCAGGGGTTTCGGGACAGCGCTGCGCAATCCGGACACTTCAGCACTGCAGCGTGTGCACCGGAAGCCAGTTTGCCAGGACAGCATGATGTTAACCCATGACACTCACCCCTTCTTTTCTTTGAGCTTGACTGATTGCTTCATTTTAAATTTCATCTAAGCCCCACGCGCTTTGGCAATCCTGGGTATTCTGGTGCTGAAAATACCCAGGTGCTCCCTTGCCACATTTTCTGGTCAGGGCACCCCTGGTGGTTTTTAACCAAAGGGTATTTGTGAGCTGATAGAAACTCTGTCCCTGAAGCTCAGAGTTTATATTTTTAAAGAAAGGCAAATGTTTTATTATCACAGTGTTATTATTATTATTTTTTAAATCCTTAGCATCAATCTCTTCCAGCGACATTTTTTTTTTTTTTGGCTTGGATTCCTTAAGCTGTAGACCTGGTTGCAGGCAGGTCTTGTTGTCTTGAACTTAAAAAATAACTCCAAGAGGGCTGGGGTTATGGCTCAGCACTTGCCATGGCATTGTGTTTGATTCTCAGCACCACATATAAATAAATGAATGAAATAAAGGTTCATCAATAACTAGAAAATACATAAAAAACCAAGAGAGCTCTCTGCTGAGCATGACTTATTTTGTCAGTAATGCACAGTATTGTAGAGAATAGAACAAAACCATTCTCACCTACTCATCCAAAGTTCTAACTTCTTTTGCTTCATTTCTTGTAAGAATAATAAAAAATTTAATCTTTTGGTCCCTAGGCGAGCACATTATCAAAACGAGAGTTGGTTATTTGGGTGGGGAGTTGGGGTGGTGAATACTTGATGAAGATATGATGGTATTGGAAGGAGATGCCTACACGCTTGTAAAACTAAGATTTTAAAATTGTCTGAAGGATCTAGAATGGTGGAAGACAGGTTAAATCAACTTTTTAGCTCTCTAGGAACTAGGAGATTCCCACCCTACTCCTAGGTATTGTGAAAAGAAGGCAGAAACGGAGTAAGCATCTGCCAGTGATGAGAGACAACTGGGATTGGATAGTGTTAAGACAACAAACTGCCACTGTACAGAGAGAAAAAGGATGGGGGTGGGGGCAAGGGAGAATCACAATGTAAGATTAAAAACTAGTGGTTCTCCCATTCTTGATTTTGAGATTATATGGAGGCAGGACAAGAACTTGGACTTAGGTTTCGTATATTCAGTAAGTCTCATATTGCCCATTTCTTGCCCATCTCATTTTTAGTTTTTACACTAATTAGAAAGACTCTTTCTCCCTTTTAAGCTTTCTGGGGATTGAATTGAGGGCCTCACATATGCTAAACATATACTCTACCTAGGAATTACACTCCCAGCCCACTAAACTTTTTTCATGTTTTGTGATGCTTAACCCTGTTGTGCTCTACCACCAAGCTTGACACTCAGCCTTTTCTTATTTTTGAGACAGGGTCTCACTAAATTGCTGAGGCTGATCTGGAACTTGTGATTCTCCTGCCTCAGCCTCACTAGTCTCTGGCATTACAGGTGTGTCACTGCTCCTGGCTTCAACTTTCTTGATTAGTTTTTATTTCAATTACAGGAAGAGAATCAAGATCTAGTCTGTGTTGCCACTTATTGGGTCATCACCTAATCAGTTTTTCCCCTTATGTGGCCCATGAGCTTCTTGCATAAAAATTACTTGGAGTGCCTACTAAAGGGCAGATTACTGGGGTGCCAACCTTAGACTTGCTGAATGAGAATTGAGATTGGGAGTGGAGGATTGCAGGCTGAGCCTCTTGGGCAATGCAATTCAAGTTTTAAGACTTAGAATAGTATCTCCCCAGGAAGAGGAAGCAGTTAGCTTACTGCTCAACTTTGTATCCTTAGTGTCTAGCAAAATGCATGAACTGTATAGCACATACTTCAACTTCTTTAAAAATTTTTATAAGTTGTTAAGTTTTTTTTAATAATGCCTTCTTGGATTTTAAATCCCTTTCTGTGCTTTATGCAGTCTTGAATCTTTGGTTATTGTGCTGCTTAGGCATTGAGATGAAAACTAGGTATGTAGGATGTGTCTAAAACAATGTAGTAATTTTGGGGTCTAATTCCTATAAAGTATTTCACACTGTGTGAATGGAGTTATTTTTTTATAGATGTGGCAAAATAAATTTAAGCATGTTCATTTGAGTTTATACATATTTGTTATTGTTAAATGTAGGATGGCCCACAAAATGGAATCAATGGCAAAGAAGATGTTTAAAGGAATTTTAGTAGCTGAATTGATGGGCGTTTTTGGAGCTTATTTTTTGTTTAATAAGATGAATACAAGTCAAGGTAATCATAATTCAGTAGTTAATGCTTTCAAGACAGACATAATGCATTTTAGTTATTAAATGCTATTGGCATTTTTGGAAAAATGTTCCTTCAGATTCAATGTATTAGATATTTTTATGGGCAGAGAGGAAGCAAGGTATTTATTATGGTAGATGAGGTGACTCTCACATTTTTCACATGCTAATTTGCTTTTAGACTTGGGAAACTTCCAAAACTATGGGTTTTACTTGTGGGAAGGGGAGGGTCAGCATTAGTTTGGGAGCAGCCTGCCCATTGTATTTCCTTGCTTGGTAGACTTACAGAAAGCAGGAAGTAATATCACCGTATTCTCAGGATAACCAGTTTACTTGGGCTATAGTAATCTTCCTATACATTAATAGTGAGCCCTTCCCTGTGCAACACTGAAAGTGATTTATATTAGAGTTCTCAACATTTTAAATTAGGAAGTACTGCTTTTTCTTGCCCTAAAACTGAATGAAGCAAAGAGTAGGGTGGTGACTTATCTTTGAAGTGTGTCACTTCTCTTCCTCAAAGTATCTTATTGGAACACTGTGTACCAGAGTGCTACTGGATAATTACAAATTTTTATACAGAGTTAATACATATTAAACTATAAAGTAATACATATTAAACTATATACATATATGTGAACTATATATAAGAAAGGGCATAAAGAAAACATACCAACAGTTTTTAAAAGCAAATTAAAGTTTGGTATTAGTTTAAAAAACTAGGTATGATTTTATTTCCAATTCCTTGTCAAGACAAAATAACACCCATAAAAATTCATAGTTATGTTTAATGAAAATTTACATTTCTAAATTACATCACATTTAAAACTCTTTGTATCATAAAGACTCTAAATTACAAAATTGTGCCTTTATGTTTTACTAAGATGAATATCTGATCATGTCTAACTTCCTTTTTTTCATTAGATTTCAGGCAAACAATGAGCAAGAAATTTCCCTTCATCTTGGAAGGTATGTTTTCCTTAAGTAAAAAGGAGTACATAACAACTTTTTCAGGTAATCTGTAAATTCTGCAGTAAATTATGACTGAGGACTAAATGGCTTTATTTTATCGTATTTCAGTTTCCAAAAAAACTATTCACCCCTATTTTAGCTCCTTCTGAGACCATAGTGGGGAAAATTCTTACTTAGTTATCTAGATGAGAGCTGAGTTAGATATGGGCAGATTCTTAGTACTTCCAGTGATTAAGAATGTAGAATGAGACCCATCTGGGTGAAGCAAACCACAACTTAAACCTCAGTTTTAAAAATTTGTTTTATCTCAAGTTTGCTATCTCTCAGAGCTGCTTCTGTCAAGTAATGTTAATCCTCAGGTGATTGTTACAAGGACAGAACAAGATTATGTTATAACACTTGATCAGTGCTCATTACGGTAATTAGTTAGAACTTACACAGGTTACACAGTAGTTAGAACTTACATATTAACATATGTTAATATTATTGTTGTTTTCATTTAATTATTAGCAATATGGAAAAAAGATTATTTTTCTCAATGAAAGTTTAACATTTTATATGATTTTTATAAATGGCAGTTACTTTTATTTATAGTTTACTATAAAGCCATCGAACAGTCTGGAATATATGAAATCAGAAGGCAAGACCAAGAGAAATGGATGAATAGCAAAAATTAAGAGTAAGTATAAGTAGAATTTTAAGTTATAATTTAATAATTCATTTCCTTTGCTTTTTAGTTTTATGAGTGGGTTTCTGCCTCTTCTTCTTGAAATTTTTCTTTTTCTTGATAATACTTTTCACATCTCTGTTATGTAGCCAGTCATCACGTTCAGCCTCCCATCTAAGCTGTTTGAGACCTTTGAGAGGAGAAGAAAGATGAATTTAATCCCATTATAGACTCTGAACTACCACAGAACATCCTACCAAGTAACAGGAACTTCAGGTCTGCTTTGGCCTGTGGCTTCCCACCCACTATGCAAACCCACTCCTTGTTTGTTGCTCTTCTGTTTTTATTGTCAAAGATTAATATTTTACAAATAAATGACTAAGGAAGGAAAAGGAAAAAATGTTCCGAAGATTTCATTTCCCTGGAACACTTTTAATAAAGAATAGAAACAGTAACTATTAAGATTAGAAATGCTAGGCAAATGCTCTACCACTACCACTGAACTACAGCCCTAGACAAGGCTATTTTTAAAAATTTCAATTAAAAAATTCAAGTTACTTACTTGCATTATCTTTATTAGCCATGGCATTTATGCCAATATTATCAAACTTGGATCCCACATTCTCATCCAACAGGTGGCCAAACTTAAAAAAAAAAAAAAAAAAAGTTTATTAGAAAATGTAAAAATGTAGAATAGCTAACTTCTAAAAACAGTATATTAGCCTTACCTCTTCAGCAGATACAAACAGGCTGGAGTCACTGAGGTTTCTTTTCTTTTTTTTTCTTGGTCCTAAAAAAACAGTGTCCAGTTATTCAATTCTAAATCCCATATATATATATTTTTAAAAAATGTAAATCTTTCAACATGAGCTTATGTAAAAAATTATAGTTGAGTAAAGATATAATTGCAATTATCTTCTAGCACTGTTAGGAAGCAGATACTTGAATAAACATAATTTAAGAATTACTACATACAATTTTTAAGAAAGCTGATATTCTAATAGAATTTTTCAGATGACAATAGTATGTTCTTATTTTTCAGATCTGGCCACTGATCAGAATTTGCCCTTAAGCGAAATATTATCAACCCAGATTAAAATTCCAAGGTTGACATGGATGGGTTTTTGGAATATTTAAGGCAAATACAATTTAAAAAAAATTTTTTTTGTAGTTGTAAATGGACAGCATGCCTTTATTTTTATTTATTTTTATGTGGTAATGAGGATTTTAAAAAATTTTTAAAAATTATAATTTAAAAATTCAGCTGCCTGAAGTAACATTAATTCAATTTTTTAATAAACTTACAGAGTTGTTCAACCATGACCATAAACCAATTTAGAACATTTCCATCAACTCCAAAAGATCCTTGGTGCCCATTTGCAGCCATGCTACCCCTATTTCCCTGGATTTACATTGTTTTTGATTTGCCTTTTCTAACTATTTCATATAAATGGAGTAATTTATATGGTTGCCTATATCTTCCTAGCTGGTATAATATTTTTGAGGCTCATCCATGTTATGTATCAGTACTTCATTCCATTGGCTGAATACATCCTAGTGTATGGATATATCACATTCTTTTTTATCCATTTATCAGTTAATGGACATTTGTTTTATGTTGATTTAGCGTTAATGAATAAGGCTGGTACGATCAATCCTGTATAAGTCTTTGTGTTGACACATCAGAGCCACTTTAAAAAAAAAATTTTTTTTTAGTTATAGATGGACACGATATCTTTATTTATTTATTTTTTTATGTGGTGCTGAGGATCAAACCCAGGGCCTCACCCATGTAAGGCAAGCGCTCCACCACTGACTGAGCATTTCTTCTTCATTTTTATTAAGGTGAAAAGTATATTACATAAGAATTGAGTAAATACTAGCATAGCAGTATCTGTGTGAACTCTATGAATAAGTATGTCTGTACCATTTTCTTAAAAGTTCCCTTAGGTTGTTTGGTCTTTTTTCTTTTTCCCTCTTTTTTTAATGGTACTAAGGCTTGAACCCAGGGCCTTGCACATGCCAGGGAAGCGCTCTATACCCCAGCCCTGAGGGACGAGCCTCAGGAAAACTGCATTTGAGCATATGCTCTTAATAAAATGTGATTTACTATCACTCAAGGGGAGTAAAAATCTGGAAAATAACTTATTATAATGTAAATTTTTATCAGTTAAATCATTTAAGTATTAGGGGATAATACCAGCAGTATTTTTAAGAGCTGATAAAAAAATTTTGTAGGCTTAAATATGAGACTACTACCAAAATGCAAATAGTTTCTTTAAAAATATTTAAATTGTTTTTATTTAACTTTGCAAATCTATTTTTTATTTTTATCAGTATCTTCCAGTAAGTACAAGCTAGAAAGACATTAGAAACAAAGCATTTAGTGCTTTCCATATTTTTATCAAAAACTTGGAAGTGTCACTTGACATAGCACTTTTTCTTTTATTTGTACTTTGCAAATGTTAATACTATAAAGCATAATCTTATGCAATATAAAGAATATTAGAGAATTAATCATAAAGGAGAATGTAATTAATGAAGGAGCATGAATTCTTTTTTCTTTTTTAAAAATATTTATTATTTTGTTTTAGTTGTAGGTGGACACCATAATATCTTTATTTCATTTTTATGTGGTGCTGAGGTTTGAACCCAGTGCCTCACATGTGCTAGGTGAGCATTCTACCACTGAACCACAACCACAGCCCCAAGGAGCATGAATTCTGACAAGGGTCAAATGGCAAAGAAAACATTTTGCTGAGGAAAGGAAAAAGCAACACTCTGAGAATCCAGGGCTTATATATGATGAAGTGCTTTAAACATGAATGAAAAGATGATCTAGATAGAGATATTTAAATGTGAGAAGAAGAAACTTAGGAAGATGAAAATGATTTAAGGTGAATGTCAACAATTTTCACATTAAAAGAAAAAACCCTATTACCAATTATAGAAACATCTTTAAGGAAAAAAAAATCCTAAATCTTATTAACCAATAGAAAAGTTTATCTCCAAAAATGATAATGAATAATACTTTTCACATGGATAATGTTTCAGTTTAAAAGATTAAATGCATTTTCTTACCTTGAAATGACCCAGCAAAGTCAAAATCGTCATCATCCTTTCTCTTGCTTCTCTTAGTATTGACTTTTGAGCTGTCTTCATCAGACTCTGTTACCCAAATAAATTTGTTATTAAGCCATTTCAAAACAAAAGAACTTCAAGTTATGTTAAAATCTTAGTCTGATGGCAAGGATTGAACCCAGGGCCTCGCATGTGTTAGGGGAGTGCTCTACCGCTGAGCCATAACCTCAGCCCGTTAATTATTATTCTAACATTAAAAAGATACAATATACACACTCAACTAGTATTGTATAGAGAGGCTAATTATTGATTAAAAGTCCCAAACTTGGGGCTTGGGATGTGGCTCAAGTGGAAGCGCGCTTGCCTAGCATGCGTGAGGCACTGGGTTCGATCCTCAGCACCACATTAAAAAATAAATAAATAAATAAAGATATTGTGTCCACCTAAAACTAAAAAATAAAAAAAAATTAAAAAAAAAAAAGTTCCAAACTCAAAACTCAACAAAAAAATACTGCCTTTAAACCTTTGGTTTGAAATAAGAAAAAGGTCCTCTTTAAAAATTCTAGTTTATTGCATTAATTTGAATACAGATTACATTAGAAATCTTTATTAGAAAAAGTAGCCAAGACTGAGAAAGGATTTTTTTTGTATTTGTATTTTATTAAAAACAAGAACAACAAAAACTCACCTGGAATGCTCTCATTTTCATCATCTAACACATCCATGAATGTTCCTCCATCTTCATCAATTTCAGCAAATTCTTCATCATTCATACTTCCCAAAGAAACTTCATCATCATCCAGGTTATCGAATTCATCATCGCTATCCTCTGAATCCTCATATTCCAAGTTATCCTTAGCTTTTTTTGTTTTTTTCTTCATATTGCTAGAAAAAAATCCCAAACTTATAATGTAATGAGGGTATTGTTTTCTAAAGTGTTTAGGGCCTAATATGGTACAAGGCTACTGAATGACTTAAAAGGAAAATTAAAGACTACTCAGAGTATACTTACATGTATTACAAATGTCCAAAATAAAAGTACTACACTCACTTCCCAAACTTAGTTGAATACAATTTCCCCATAACATCATATAGATCTAGGTCTGCTGCTGTGGGGGACAACAATTTGGGAAGTATTAGGAAACAGTAAAGAGAAGATTGAAGTAAAGTATTTTACCTGGCAAAATCAAGATCATCCTTTCCAGGGGTGAAACAGTTATCATCTTCAAATGTGTCTGTCAGAGAACAAGATTCAAATTGTGAAACACAGCAAAGAATAACAAAGTTGACATGTCTTATATCTGAATCAATTATAGTAGCAGAAATTATGGTTCTGTCGTTTATGACAAGCACCAAAATGACAGAAACATGATTACTATTGGTGTGTCTTAGAATGTATAAGTCTGTTAAAAGCTGATTTTAATGAAGTGTCTATACTAAAACGGGTTCTACTTCTTTTTACAGTTGCTTTATGGAGAAAAAAGTACATTAAATAAAATGACTTGTAGTAACTTCAGTTCTTTTTTACTTTATAAGAACTATTTAGCTGCTTATTTTTAGTAGATATAATGTAACAAAAGTGAAATCAATGTTAAGTCTTTCCAATTTTGCATGTATTTTGTTTTAGTCTGTTACATTTCAATTAAAATTTCAAGTGCTGTGGGAAGATAAAATAGATAAGACAGTAGACTAATTCTAGCAATAGTATTATGAGACTGTGAACAATAAATATGGTTCTTATTTGGCCTTAGGAATTATATACCATATAAATAGAAACTTTCTCACTTAGACTGTCTATTTTTTAGATTACATGTGGTTGAGTTACCATATACCATCAAAATATTTCTTAATCCTTCATTATGACTTACATGATATTCTTAGCTAAATGATTTTTTAAACACTAAGCTCACTTCTGCCACTAAGGTTCCATGTTCTAATAATAAATATTAATAGATCTAAAACTGAGATTCAATAAAAACAAATTACCAATCATCTTTTCAAATTCCTCATCATCCACATCTTCTATACTCTCTTCATCAGCACTCCGTTTTTGTTTCTCTTTAACAATAGCAACTTTTTTATAATACCTAAAACAAAAATGCATCTTATGTATTTATTAAAGGTCTGATCTTGATATAATCAAAACACTGAAGACAAACCACAATTATAATAAATTTTTTATGTATAGACTCAATTGGAGATGAGTGAAATTTGTCAATATACAAAAAATAATTCGATTTCAACAAAATAGATATAAACTTGAGAAATTTCAACAATCTTAGTTTCTTATAAACTATTTCTTAACAACTCACTGATTAACTCATCTTAATCAGCGTGGCACAGTGGGGGATGGGGGGTGCAGCTCAGTAGTACAGCAATTGCCTAGCATGCACAAGGACCTGGTTTGATCATCAGTATGTGAAAAAAGTAAGGACGACAACAGAAAACACAAAAGTAGAGCAATAGGTTGTTTCAGCTTCAATACTGACAATCTAAGTATTAGAATATTTTGGTCTAAATGATCTCAAAATCACAATAGTTTGTCAGCCCTACTCTTATACTAGGACACAGCAAAAAAAGAAAAAAAAAAGGAATTTTCCAGATGATATCCATACCTTTAAAATTAAGTCAAATTAACCTATTAACCAGCTAAAATAATTTTACTTTTATAAGTTATTAACAGTCATTCTAGTAGATTTAGAACTTATTTCTACGAAGGCACAATGAATCTGGCCAATTCTGCTTTAAAGGCCATGATCTGGCCAAATTACTGATGAGTTATCACTATATTAAACTAATATAGATTTTTTTTTTTTTTGGTAGCAGGAATTGAACTCGGGGGCACTCGACCACTGAGGCATATCCTCAGCCCTATTTTGTATCTTATTAAGAGACAGGGCCTCTCTGAGTTGCTTAGTGCCTTGCTGTTGCTGAGGGTGGCTTTGAACTCACGATCCTCCTGTTTCAGCTTCCTGAGCTGCTGGGATTACAGGTGTGCACCACTGCGCCTGGCCTAAACTAATGTAGATTTTAAGTCTATAAAATTACTGTATTAAAAAAAAGACGAAATTCTATAAATTCAAGATCATAAACAAAAATTTATATGCTAAATTATTAAAAATTCCTCAAGCTGACTGTATTTTCATTAAGGTATCTTAAGATTAGCAAAATGAGTAATCTTAATTTCCTTTACAAAATAGAATTATAGACACATTATTCTCTGATCTTTTCAAACTATAACAATGTCAATGAAGGATTTTAGGGGATCTAAAAATTTAAAAAGTTCCCCAATGAAACTACATTAAATATATTACCTATGGAAAAACACTTCATCCACTGGTATTTGGCTTTCTTCTTTTGCGAGGAACTCCTTACTATTCACTGTAAAAATAAAGCATTTTAATTTACCTTAGTAATCTCCTTTATGTGACAACCTCTGAGGACCAAATACAACACATCTATAATTCTAATATCTTAAAATGTGAGGAAGGTGGACAGAAGGGATCCTGAAATGCAAAGAACAATCTTGGGAAAAGTTGTTGTGGAGAGGATTCAACATATGAGACTGTTGATGTCACAGAGAAAAGTAGGCAGTTCATAGCCCAGTCACAGTAAAAGTAAAGGATTCTTTGAGTCTTCCAGTTGCTTCCAGCATCCAAATTTTAAGAGAAATAAAAATTCAAAGAGTTATTTAACTTTATTTTTATGTGGTGCTGAGGATTGAACCCAGTGCTTCACATATGCTGGGCAAGCACTCTGCCACTGAGGCACCACCCCAGCTCCATAGTTATTCTAATGTATAATCATTTTAAACTTGTGCTTGTCATTCTAAGAACAGGAAGTAAAGGTAAACAGAATTTTCTATAATTTTACTTATTAAGAAAATTAAGAAACAAGAATAATGAATGACAAAAACATTAGCTTTCGCCCTTCAGAATTAAAGACATCTGATTCATCCTCAATGAAAGAAAATCTGACTTCTAATTCTACTTTTAATTTTGAGTAAGCTTTTATATCTGTAGCTCTTTGTGAGGTCAGTCAGTTGGAAATTAAATGATTTATAAAGTTCATCTTAATCCTACTCTCAGAACAAAGGGAAGGTAGGATTTCACATGCAAAGAAATGTCTGCTCCGAATAGAAAAGCAGAATCAGATCCTGTTTAACAGAAGTAGAAGGATTATCAATGAAGTTTAAAATGATACTCCATGACAAAGTCAACTTTTTTTTTTCCTGCTAAGCCTATATCAGAGAACTTAAAATGATTTGAGCCATAAAAGAACATTTATGAAGGAGTTACTGATAGAGCTATAGATAATACAAGAAAGGAAAATGGTAATAAGTGCTAAGCTGGGAGGCTTCATCATACTGTTTGGTTTTACTTTTGGATATGTTTGAAATTTTTACTTTGGTAAAGTAGAGCAAAGAATAATATAATTTATGTTTTATTGTCTTGTACCATCTTTTCTGTTTCAATTGTCCAACCTTTATACTTACCAGCAAGACCATGAGTATCCTTTGAAAAATGTTTCCTTTTTGGCTGCATCACAACACTGTCAGTATTTTCTGAAATATAAATCAGGACAGTCTAATATAAGACCTGTGTTCATGTTGTTTACTAAGTATCAACATCGAACACTGAATAATTCATTAAACAGAAGCCTACCTTTGCCTTTATGTGGCTTTGGATTTCGGTATACGAATCGATCCAAGAATCTCATTAGGGTGAAATCCTGCAGTGGGTCCCCGGAATACTGGATATAATTTCCCTGAAAAGAAAAAATGGGGGAAAAAATCAGTCTCTCCAGGTAAGAAAATAAAAAAGAAAAACATAAGCTTCTATTATCTTGTATCAAAGGCACAGATAATCGTTCAAATATCCCTCAAATACACATTGTACTACAAATGAATTAAATATACATATACATACACATTATATGATGCTATGTTGATTTTGTGTGTAGGTAAATAAGAATAATGTGGCCATCTAACCATTAGCTGGGAATCAAACCCTAAAGTGGGAAACTCAGCAAATAGGGAGAGGGCAATCTTTCTCCAGAAAATGTAATGAATAACCATTGTGGTTTTCTAATGTCCCACATTTCTATTCATCTCAGACATTGGGAAGAATTATTTGCTGCTCTGTATTAAACAAGTTGTTGTTCCTCTACAAGAGTAGTGGAAAAAAAAATATATATATATATATATATATGATTCTAGATGGTGGAGAAAATATCATATGACCAATTATTGATTATCAAAACCTATATCACTTTTGAATATTTTAGACTTACCTGAAGGATAGTTTTTGCAAAAAGGGCCACGGAGGGATGAAAATGCTCCGATAACTAGGAAGAAAAATGTGAATAATGTCAATTTCTTTTCTTTCCTAATATTGGGATTGAACCTAGTAGTGCTCTATCACTGGACTATATCTGAACTCTACTCATTTTTTGAGACAGGGTCTCACTGAGTTGCTGAGGCCAACCTCGAACCTGTGATCCTCCTTCTCCTCAGCTTCCTGAGGTGCTGGGATTATAGGCGTGCACCACCATGCCTGGCTAATGCCAATATTTCTAAGGTTGTCTCTTACTGCAATTAAACTTAAATTGAGGACAATCCAAAGAACTGAAACTTAATACATCAGAAAGATGATTCTCAAGCATTTCAGTGCCAGGACCATTTTATACACTTAAAAATCAAGGATCCCAGAAATTTTATTTTAGTGGGTTATATGTGTTGGTATTTATTAGCAATTACAACAGAAAACTTTTAAATAATTATAGTTATTTAAAATAATAAACCCATTACCTATTAATGTAAACCGCATGTTTATGAAAAATAGTTTTCAGACAAAAAAAATTACTATGTCAAGAAGAATAGCATTGTCTTAGGTTATTTTTCTTTACTTTTTAAAAAATATTTATTTTTTAGTTGTAGTTCGACACAATACCTTCATTTTATTTATTTATTTTTACGTGGTGCTGAGGATCAAACCCAGGGCCTCACACCAGCTAGGCAAGCACTTGACTGCTGAGCCACAACCCCAGCCTTTGTTTTGCTTTTGAAGGTAATGGGGATTGAGCCCAGGGGCTGGCACATACTATCACTGAGCTGAATCCCCAACCCTTTTTTAAAATTTTATTTTGAGACAGGGACTTGACCTCAAACTTGCAATCCTCCTGCCTCAGATTTCTGAGTAACTAGAATTAGAAGTGTAGGACATTGCCCCTGGCTTAAATTACAGCTTTACAAATCTCTTCAATATCTGGCTTAATAAAAGACAATGGATTCTTTTTATCTGCTACTGTATTCCATGTTATTTTACTTGAAGTATATGAAGAAAATGTGGCCTCACATGGATATGTTGTTGGAAAATGAGGATTTAAATAATACCCTTTCACAAAAGCATGGAGATTTTCTTCTTCGATGCCACTGAAGATTAATTACAATTTGAAACTAAGTCAAGCTGTTAGCATTGTTTACTTATAATTATTTGGTCTACTTTGTATGTTATACATTGGTCATCTGAAAAATACCAACTGACTTAGGTAGTCTTCCAAATGTTGGTACATTTTATTATAGAACGATCATAGTGTCACCACTAATTTCATCAGAAAAGTTTTTTTTTTTTTTACCTAGGGATATGCTGTTATACTGTCAAGCTCAAGATAGTGGTTATAAGATTTCTAAAAATTTTAATCTTTGCTTGAGATCTTGAATTTCATTATTAACAACAAATAATGTTGGTTGTTTTCCTTGAGTCAACAGGACTGATTCATTTTCAAAAAAATGCCTCCCAGATCCCCATGTATGAGTAAGCCGTTTGTCAGTTTTATGAAAAAGCAGTTACACGAGTTTGGATTGGCTACCCAAGAGTTCCCTGAGACATGAAAGAATCTTCACACTACAGAAATGTGCTATGCATACTTGCTGTGTAAGCATGTGGAAAATCGAATAGACATGCACTTTAAGGTGAAGACTCACTGAAAAGGGATCAGGGATCCTGAGAGGTCCGTGATAACATTTTAATAATAGTTGTATAGGAAGAAAATATTTATCATTTACAGGAAAAATGGAAACTTTGATGTGTTAAATCCACAAGATCAAGACTATACATAGCACAAATGAAGTGAAAGATAATTTGGAATTATTTTACCTTTTTGAGTTCCCAAAGACTTGTATTTTCAGCTCCACAGAACAAAGGGTTTCTACTGAATGGATCATATGTTTTCAGTTGTTTGCCACCTAAAACCCAAAAATAGTATTTTTCAAATGCTTTATTTCTAGTCCAAGATGCCATTAAAACTACTATGATCAATATTTTCATAGATAGATAATCTTAATTAGCCAGGCTTCCTAGCTTGAAAACTCCAAATCTCTTCAAGAATTTATCTTGGTATCTAAGCTAACATTTGTTCTTGAATAAACCAAGCTCAGGTACTAACATATCCCTTCATTACTTTTCAAATAGCAACAGAAGGTGCTGAGCCACAAATCCAGGTTCATAAATGTAAAGATGGAAATTACCTGAAGATAGAATAGGTTTAAAGTCTTCTGGATTTGTAGAGTGCTCCAATTATTTGTCTTTAGAGTGTTTCTAGAAATAATTCTTACTTGGAACAGATTTATACTATGTTCACGTTTTCAGAAACTCAGCATTGGGCTGTGATTGTAGCTCAGTGGTAAAATGCTTGCCTAGCATGTGTGAAGCACTAGATTCGATCCTCAGCACCACATAAAAATAAATAAATAAAATAAAGGTATTCTGTCCATTTACAATTACAAAAAAAAAAAAAAAAAAAAATAGGGCTGGGGATGTGGCTCAATGACAGAGTGTCCCTGAGTTCAATCCCCAGTACACCCCCCCCCCCCGCCCCCCGGCAAAAAGAACGAAGCTCACCGTTATTCAAAAACCCAGTGTAAACTATCTCACAATGCACACCTTGTCATCCTTCTAAAGGATTTTTCTCAGGTTAGTCTTCATGATAACTGATGAATTCTTATAAAAACATTCTACGATAGATTTAATTCAGTTTGTGTATGTGGAAAACCACTTAAGGTTTCTAAGTCACAGAAAGTTTTACTATCTGAAAACACTGCTTTAAGAAACTGTAGATGGGCTGGGATTGTGGCTTAATGGTAGAGCGCTCGCCTAGCATGCGTGGGGTCCTGGGTTCGATCCTTAACAACACATATAAATAAATGAATGGAATAAAGGTATTGTGTCCAACTACAACTAAAAAAATAAATAAATATAAAAAAAAGAAACTGTAGATGGTCAAATAAAAGAACAAAAAGGTCTACACAATTAACAACTTATGACAAAATGCTTCTGTTCAGAAACTACTTGTTTATATTCATGTATTTAAGGGCTTTGCATGTAAAGATAAAAGGTCATGAAATTAAAATTGGCTCAACTTTTATATAGCTGAAGGAAATGAGATTTATTGTACATCTCAAATGTCCAATTTTTTCACTTAATCCTCACAGCTCTACTTGCTTTAATTTCTGATTATCTATTTTAAAATGCATAGTTATCAAAGTCTTGCTATATTTAAAATTTACTTCTACGCCTGGGGATACAGTTTCATGGTAGAATATTTGCCTAGTATAGACAAGTATATAGTTTGATCCTCTACATCACCAAAAAGAAAAGAAAATTTCTGTGCAGATCAAAGAGAAAACTAATTAGCTGGTTTAAGAATTCAAGAAAAAAATTTAAAGATTCAAAAGCCCTCACCTTTCAAATTATCAAAATGTACCCAGGAAGGAGTCTTTGGTTTTGTGGTGTCTGTGTCACTTTCAGGCACTGCTTCTTCTGTTTGCACTTTTTTCATTGTATCCATTTCTATTTCTTTGTCTGCATCAGTGAATTTTTCTATGTCTTCATCATCTCCTATGTCAACAAAATTTTCTTCATCATCAGACTCCTAAAAAAAAATGGTTTAATAAATTTATGTTAATTAACTGGAAGTTGCAATAAAGTCAGTCTTCAATCATGTGATATAGAACTCTGAAGAAATACTTTTGCAATTTGGTGAAACATGAAAAGTCTAATAAACAAAATGTTGGGCTTGAATGATATGTAGATTAAGAGAGATCATCCTTTTATTTCTAAATGAAAAAGTGTTAAATTTTGAGCCAAGAGCTCCTGAGATTTTGGAACTTTACTACTTAGCCCACAAATAAATATTTGGTATGTTGTAAATAACCCTATGAGGTGCTATAATTTTTTTTTCATTTTGCAATTGAGGAAACAAATTAAGAGATCTATTAGTTCTATAATCTTCTATAACATTCTCACAATATTGGAGTTTCTAGTGTAATACAATTTATTACAAGTAAAGGGATCAAGCAACCTTTCCCCACCTAGCTAATTATATACCTGGCATTAAAATCTAGGTCTGTCTGACTCTAGACCGCACACTGTGCTCCAGAGAACTAAGTTACCTTCACTGAAGCAAAGAAAAATAAAACAAACCACCAATATATTTTAGCTCATAGTTGATTTAAAAAACAGTTTTCAAACATACCGGGTGATCATTTAATTGACTTCTTAAACCTGGTTTTGCTTTAAAGATCTCAGACACAAGATATAAAGCTCCACATATGAAAGGTGGCATCTGTGTGCAAGTAACCTGAAGCAACCGCTTCACAAAAGCCTTCACACGACGCAACACAATGTCAGCTTTCAGAGATTTGTAGACAAGGTTAAGAAACATAGCTTGCTTGGAACACATCATCAACCCAGGATCCAACATCTTTCTGTAAAATAAAATCAATACAGAGGTATAACTTTCCTACTTACATTAGAGGAAATAGGTAAAACATAAATTAATGACCTGAAGAGAAAGAGTGATGATGGTAACAAGGGAAAAAAAGTCACAGGAGCAAAAGGCATTTTGTTTTATGGTTTCCTCTCCTTTCTGTTTTATAAACTAATTGGACACAACCCTAATAGTGTAAAGTTTATAAGAATATAGCACCCCACTAAAAGGCTAATCTGAAACCAAATAATGAAAAAGCAGTGAGCCAGAAGATCTGCTTTTCTCCACGTATTACTACCTACTTGCTGGGTGACCAGAGGTGTCCCCACATGGTTCTAGTGAACACTATCTATGAATAATAGAAAACTAAATTGTGAGGACTTCAGAGAATCTCTGGTCCAATGTATTAGCTGTACAGAATCCCTTCCATACATGCTATTCTCTCTGTCCAAAATGCTTTTCTCCACTTAGAGAGTATCTAAAATCAATGCCTCCTCTATTATCCTCTCATTTTCATATTCATGTTCTTCACAGTTTCACAAACTTTTGTTTCTTTGGCTTTCCTGCCTTTCTCCTAAGTTCCAATAGAACACGGATTATGCCTATTTTTTTACTGTGTCCTTAATATCTGAACTAAGTGCTCAATGTTTTTTGAGTGAATAAATGAATATCCAAAGTAAATGTTTGTGCATTCCTCACTCTCACTAGGAATCCAATCCCATTTTGGACAGCTAGAAATCTCCTTACTCATTTGGGGGGTGCTGAGGCTCAAACTCATATGCTAGGCAAGTCTCTTACCATTTAGTCCCCAGAAATCCCTTCTTTATCCAAAGCTGAAATCTGTTCCTATATAATTTACAAACATGAATTCTAATATCCTCTGAAGCAACAGAACCGAATTATACATGAACCTATATAGCTATTATGTGTTTCTCTCTCCTCAGAGTCTTCTATGGGGTGCTCAATTCTAATATCATTAACTTTTATTTTTGGGAATGCTGGAAATTGAATCTAGGGCCTCTTACCATTGTTCTACCACCAAACTATACCCTATTATGATAATTTAAAATACTCTTCAACTAGATTCCCACAGATGCCCCAACTGGTCTGGACCTCTACATATCAGGTCATCTAACTAGATTAGCTTTAATAACATGTGGGATCATTGCGCCCTTTACTCTTAAGCATTTCCATTAACTTCTTTTCATTAGTAGTAGAAATGAAAATACATGTTTCTATATTGCTCTGTATACCCATTTTCCATGTTGTCAGTTCTATAATTCTAGAATATCTCAGTGATAAGAGAATATTGTATTACTCAGATTTCTTCCTTCACATTTTTCAATATTTTTACCCATGCAACTCAGTTTTAATCATAAATTCCATCCCAGGTCAACAGATTTGAGAATTTAGATATGTTTTCATCATGACAGAGAGCATTTTCCTTAAGTTTTTAAAATTTATTTTAGTTGTAAATGGATACAGTATCTTTTTATGTCTTTATTTGTATTTAGTCCTGAGGAGTTACACGTGTGAGGCAAGTGCTCTACTACTGAGTTACAGCCCTAGCCTTCCTTAAGTTTTTGATAAATCATATTTTTTGTCATGCAAATCACATTTCTTTGATCCTTCAATTAAGCAGGATTTTTAAAATTTAATGAATTCTTAGTAAAGCCAAGAGCAAATAGATCATTTAAGAGGGCTTAAAAGTTTTAAAGAAATTCATCTCTGAGAGGTGTTGGCTAACAGTAATTGAAAAGAACTTGGGAATATACTTGTCCTCAGAGATAGACTGTTGCATTAAACACACTGCTGTTACATGGATGAGAAAACATTTTTCAAATAGATTCCAAACATTTTCTAAAAATATTTCTATGACCCTCAAAAATTAAACAAAACTCCCAAATTTCTACACTTTCAGCTTTGAACTTTTGTTTTCTCAGTGGTAGAGCGCTCGCCTAGCACGGGTGGGACCCGGGTTCGATCCTCAGTACCACATAAAAATAAAGGCATTGTGTTGTGTCCATCTACACCTAAAAATAAATATTAAAAAAAAATCTAAATTTCTTTTTAGTTATACAGTAGAATGCATTTTGATATATTATACATACATGGAGTATAATCCCATTCTTGTGGCTGTACATGATGTGGAGTTACACTGGTCTTGTATTCATATATGAACATAGGAAGGTTATGTCTGTCTGATTGATTCTACCGTCTTTCCTATTCCTATCCCCCATCCTTTCCTTCATTCCCCTTTGTCTAATCCAAAGAACTTCTATTCTTCCCTTCCCTTCTTAATGTGTTAGCATCCACATACATTTGGCTTTTGTATTTTTGGGATTGGCTTATTTCACTTAGCATGACAATCTTAAGTTCCAGCCACTTACTGGTAACTGCCATTATTTCATTCTTTAGTAATATTCCATTGTGTACATATGCCACATTTTCTTTTTTGGAACTCTTCTTAAATTATGAATGGTAAGTATCAATTACTTTAAAAAAAAATCACAGATTCTTTAAAAAGTGTTGTGTAAGATCTTTGAGATTCTTTTTAGTGTACCAAAGAAATGACTTCCATTACATCTCCAGTTCTATTTCCTTAATATCCCAAAAGATTTAAAACAAAATATTAATTTTCAAATACAGGTGGTAAGATATGACTTAGTTAAAGTTCGTGAGTAGCAAGTTGCTGAGGGAGGTCTAACTCCAGTTTTCTAACTCTTCCTTGAGCTCTACACAGGGAACTGCACGTGCTATATTAGATCAAGTTATTTGTCATGTTTATGTATTAGAATGCTTTGTACCTACCTGTATAAGGCTGTATAATATCGATCTGATATTGTCTGCTGAGAATTCATTACCTGGAAAAGCAACATTAAAGCCTGCACACTGGTATTAAAGTTTACAACATGCAACACTTTGAACAAAGTATCAACCTGCTCTTTCACTTTCTCATCACCTGTCTCTGAATAAGGGTATGCCCTATTCACACCTGTTAGAAGGGCACTAAGCATTTTTGACTCAATATCTTTTTTCTTGATACAAGTCCGAAAAAAACAAAAATAAAGAGTTATTAATTTGTTGGCCAATTCACTTTCTTCATGGGAGAGGACCATTTGATTTAAAAAGCAAATTGCATAATATTGAGCTTTGGAGCTGATATTTGAACGAAAGAGTAGCCTTTCTACCTCACCACACACAATTCCTTTCATATTGGGATGTTTACAAAGTAATGTCTCTAACAGGTGAGAGGCTTTTGTGGCTATTCTGTTCTGAGGATCTCCCAGTTTATTTACCACCTGAACAAGAAGAGCCTTTTCTTCCTCAGGCTTGTTACAAAGAAGCTCATGAGCAGCTGTAAGTGCTCGAGTTTTAGTGGTTACTAATGAATCATGACTTAAAGTTTCTAAGACCTGAACAAATTCAGCTACTAAGTGTTTTAGTTGGTGTTCAAAATACCACAATATCAACCTTCTATCTCTTGAATCCTTGTTGCCACTGGACAACTGTTCTAATTTGTTGAATGGACGCTGACTGAAAATCCGTAACTTTCGACTTTCTGGCAAAAGGTCTGTAATGAGTAACTCTTTGAAAGTATCCAAAGCCATGAGGCACTGCTGTTTGCTGCCCTTCTTTTTAACAAGGTTCACAAGAGTTTCTACAAATTGGAGTGTGTGAATAGCATCATCCTGGATGAGAAGGATCATGGCTGCCATCCGGTCACCTAGTGTCCCTGATGATACAATCGCCTTCATCCAGGTAGAAGAGGCTCCCTTTTGATTATTCGTCTTACTTTTGAATAAGTTAACTTCATGCTCATATAGCTTCTGAGCCAGAGTTTTGTACTTAGACACAATATCTTGAGGCTGAGGTTCCAAAGAATATTCACTGGTATAATCCAAATCATACCATTTGCCCCCAGGCTTGAGTAACAATGTCTGTCTCTCAAAAAATTCAAAGATGTCTTGTTGTTTATCTTTCTTTACTTTTGATATGGTACCACTGTTCTTATCAGAACGCTGTTCTGGCCTCTTATTTTTCACCTTATTGATTGATGTCCGTTCTCTTTCTGCTGCATTTTGCTTTTTATTATCAATGTTAGATACTTTTGATTCTTTTTTGCTGGCATTTTCCTTTTTAGGTTGTTCATCATCTTCAATGAAAGAGTTTGCATATTTGGCCAAACTAAGATTTTGAATAAACGCTTCCAGTTCACCTTGTTGAAGATCATCAACTGCTCCCTTTTTTCCTCCATCCACCACTTCCTCATTTTCATCCAAAGTAGCCAGCATAAGGTAATCTTGCTGTATAAAAACATAAAAAGTTAAAAATATATCACCAATCCAACACTTCAGTTACAACTTCATCTTTGAAATCAATGAAACTTTGAATTACAATATTACCTGGGCTTCCACCCTACCTCCAAATTTAAGTGTGCCAAAACCATAAAATAATGGAAGAAGGTACAATATAAAAAAAAAAATTTAGAATGGGAAAAATCTTAAAATTCAATGTAAAACTCAGGGCCCACAAAAGATAAGATCAGTAAATTTATCATTCTCTCACACATAAAACATATAGAAAAATAAAAAGACAAATGAAAACTGAAAAGAGAATTGTAGCAACTCATAAAAGTAAAGCTCATTACCTTAATACAAAAGGTTTTGCGTATCAGTAAAAAAGTGAGAAGTACCCAACAGGAAAACATACAAAGGATAGCAACATGATAGAGAAAGTATCCAAAGCCATGAGGCACTGCTGTTTGCTGCCCTTCTTTTTAACAAGGTTCACAAGAGTTTCTACAAATTGGAGTGTGTGAATAGCATCATCCTGGATGAGAAGGATCATGGCTGCCATGTTCTTTAAAAGCTATGAAAAGATGCTCAACTTTGTTAGCATTTGTACAAATTCAAGTTAAACTGCATTTGGTGAAGGCAGGAGCACTTTCACATATGGTTGATGTGAATGTAAACTGGTACAACCTCTATGGAGGGTGATTTATCAACTTTAATCAAAACACAAGGCACACACATATCCGTTAACCCAGCATTTCCATTTCTGCAAATTTAAATTACACATATACTTACAAATATGGGGGTGAAAAATGTCTAAATTTATTTACTGCGTTATTTAAAATATCGAATCATTGGCAACAATTTAAATATTCATAATAGATAAATTAAGACACAAAATGATTTATGCAGTTACAAGTCCACAGAATTTTATACACCCACACAGAAGGATCTCTAAAACAGAAAAAAAGATGCAAAATATACGGCAACATCTGTGTAAAGAATAACAATACATGCGTATATTTCATTTACATAATTGTGCATGTGTGAGGTCTAGGATATACCTGGAAGATACAAAATAAAGTATAAAATATAATTGCTCCCTAGAAGATAAATTGCATATCAGGAGATAAAAGTGGGACAGAAGATTTTTCATTGTGTGCCACCCCAATAACCTTTTAAAGTTTATATCGTATATATATCACTTATTCAAGAATTAAATATAACCCAAGTATGAAATAAACAATAAATCTGTCCATATGATTACATTTATCCTTCCTCTAACAGCACCCCCACCCCCCCACCCCCCCACCCCTCTCCAAACTTAGTTAGGCACAATTCTGTCTTTGACTTTACACTGTCTGTTCCATCTGACTGGACAGACACATGGCTCACCTTTCTTTTTCCTCAGGTTTTTGCTCAAGTATCTTCAGACATGCGTTTACAGGTCATCTCATTTAAAACTCTAATGCCCTCTCAACTGTGTATCCTCCTCCTTTTTCTCTGGCACTACTTAGCATCTGATGTACTATCTAAAGTTTGTTTACTGTTTCTCTTAACTTGGAAAGTGAATTCCATAAAAGGGAGGCTCTTGGGGCGTACAGCGAGCATGCCCAAGCCCCCTTTGAGTACAGAAGTTCCAACACCGGCCATCAAAACATTAAAATCACGAGGTCAGGACCAAGAAGTCCGTTTTCTCGGACCTGATGGAGTGATGGTTACACCACGTCAATAACATGAGGATCGCTTATTCCCTGAAGAAGGCCACAGCATAAAACGTTCAATCCAGACTTTTTCTCTTGCAAAGAGCGGTGGAAAGAAGCGAGGGAAGCGCACCGAGCACATTCTACAGCTCTGATCTGGATCCGCAGGGCTGGAGCGGCGGACCATTGCCCTGATACTCTCAGAACTGCTCCGACACCCGCCCGGGTCTCCCTTCCGTGGAAGCCTCTGGCCGTTACCTTTGTGCCTCCGAGCCGTAACACCTCTTCCAGGGAGAACCCATTCTCGGCTTCACCGCTATCATCTTCGTCCTCCTCATCCGGATCGCCTACCGCCTCTTGCCCAGCCCAGGGCCGCTTGGCATGGAACTCCCAAGGCGCCTTCGCAGCCGCCATGCCTAGCGGAGCACGCGCGCGCAATCTGCGGGCCACTTCCGCTTGTCACGTGACGTACTTCCCCGTGGGGGCGTGTCATCTCCCGGAAGCGACCGCAATCCCCGCCCTCGGGGCGGTGCATGGATGCTTGAGACGGTCAGCATGAGAGTCCCAGTGAGGTCCGCTGTGCGGCCTCTGTGGAACGCCGCGCGCGTTGGTAAGCGTCGGCTCCGCAGAATCCGGGCTCCAGTGGAATCGACTAGAGCGCCTCCGGTGCTCCTTTGGGGTCTCCTGGGGCTCAGGGGCTCACCTCCAGCCCGAAGGCGCTCGGGGCCGGAGACTGGAGTCCCGCCAGACACTAAATGGCTGTGAGATTGTGGCCAAAGTGCGTGCCTTCTCTGCGCCTTTTGGGCGCGCTGCACACGGTATTCTGCTTTCAGGGCTGGACTTAGTGAAGCTGCCTTGAAACTTGTCAGGCTGCTTGCACATACAGATACTGAGATTTATAATGGGTCCTACTTGACCTGTGTTTTTCAGTCATTCCCTGCATTTGGAGAGGGAAACACTTCAGTTCCGGGAATGAACCGGCAGAAAACAACCGGGTGACCCCAATGCTGCGGCATCTTATGTACAAAATAAAATCTACTGGTCCCATCACCGTGGCCGAGTATATGAAGGAGGTGTTGACCAACCCAGCCAAGGTATGGGTTGACTCTGAGGTTGGAGAGGCCCCGTCTTTCCTGTTCTAAAGTCCTGTTAAGGACTGCCATAAATTTTTTTTTGACCTAAATTTCCTTGTCAGCTCTACAAATCCATTTGGTGGAAGCCTGTAATTCTTTGTTTTAGACGTTTTTACATTTTGCTGGGTTAAATGTGATATCTGTAGAATTCTGGGATTGGTTCTGCCAATTACTGTTGGAATTGGTGGAGAGACCCAAGTATACAGAGGTTTTCTAAAGGCAGGGATACTTGAATGTTTGTGAGCAGTGCTACAAGATAGGCGGCTTAGATGAGTGTGAAAAGTGAAAGGTGAGTGGTTTAGAAACAAAACTTGGACTCACAGGATCTGCTGATGGATTAAGTATGGAAAGGTGAAGGAAAGGAAGGAATCAAGACTGATTCCTAGATTCTTCAGCTATTGTGTGATGGTGGTGATTTGAGGTTAAGATAGAGTTGATCAGGTTTGAAGGAGCATTGGGGAAGAAGGTCTACATCAGGAGCTGCATCTTATACATACTGTGTTGGCAGTGACATCCAGGTGGAGATAGTAAGTAGGCAATTGGCTATAGGAGTCTAGAGTTCAGGTGAAAGTTTAGGGGTGTGTGTGTGAATTTGATTGTCATCATTGTATGGTGATTAAAGACAAGGAACTGGAAAGTGTGTACTTACAGAAAGAAAGATTTCCAAAATTAAGATTTGGACTAACTCTAAAATTTAGTGTTGAGGTTCCTAACCTAAGGATCCTTGAATGGAAATCTGGGGAGTTTGTGAACTTGAACTGAAAAAAAAAAAAAAAATTTCTCCTTCATTTTCATTAACTTCTAACAGCAGCTTAGTATTTCTTCAATTATGAACAGGAAGAACCAGTAACATCCCACAATATCTGTGACTTTGTTATTAGTGGAAATCACTGATATCATATATTATATAGATCACAGCTGTTTCAAAATACCATTGTACTCATTCCTACTTAAAAACTTAGTCTTTGGTTTGATTTTTGTATCTTAATAAACTAATAAAGAAGTATATATATTTTATCACAAATGTATTTTTTAACATTTGATAATTATTTTTAACTTGATTTTTACAATGCTGTATATTTAAAATTTTGTGCATTTAAAAACACTGTGAGGCAGGAGGGGTAGGCAGGGTCTTACTATGGTGGACTGTAAGAGCAGGGAGAGGGGAAAAGTAGGGAGGACAGAGATGGAACACTACATGGCTGAAAAATTGAGGAGTAATTGTTTTTTGTCAGTTCTGTAAAATCATTATTACTTTGTAAAATTTAGGTAAATAGTATACTGTCTTTATCTTGCCTAGTTACAAGAGAGAACTTTGATACTTTGAATTGCTTTGCTGCATATTATATAAGATTTCGAAGGAGTGTTTTTAAAAAGCCTTAATTGAAAATTAATTTTTCTCCATTTTCTCTTTTTACTCAGGGATATTATGTACACCATGACATGCTAGGAGAAAAAGGAGATTTCATTACTTCACCTGAAATAAGTCAGATCTTTGGCGAGGTAATACCCAATGTAATCTATAACAGACACTATAATATTTAATATCATAAACATTGGAGAGCACAGCTGATCAAGTTGTACTAGTTTATAATAGTTTTTTACAAGTTTTTTTGTGTGTGTGTCTGTGAGATTCATCAAGTTTTAAAAGCTTTTAGAGGGAATAGAGAGGCAATAGAGGAAAATGGTAGAGAAGACATTTGAAAAGTTTATACTTCTCTGTGGAAAAGGAAATGAAGAGATGAGAGGGACAAAGAGAAGGAAAGATGTTGAAAGTAAAGAGGTTGGAAGAGGAGAACCAGAAGAAATATTAGAATGGAAGCAGGAAAAAAAGAAAATATAAAAAAGAACACTGAAGAATTAGTAGACTCAAGATGAGGTCTAAAGCTCCCAATCATGATTTATCCATAGTTACAGTAAAAATCTTCTTTCCACTAAAACAGAATTTTAGTTCATTTATTTCCATAAAGTACCTTTGGTGATTTAGAAATAAGAAATTATACACAAGTGGAAGTAGAATACAGGTATTGAAAAACTAATTATATCTAAGAATTATGTATTTATAAAATCATGTGAGTATGAAGAAATGGCATAATGGCATTTCATGTCTGTCTACTTTCAAATCTTGAGAATCTTTCTGTAAGTGGTTATCTCTTATTTGTTTCATGGGGCCTTTTACAGTGAAGACTGTCATATTACTTTCTCCTGTTGATAAGCTTCCTACATGGTGTATATTATGACAACCTTGGTGAAGTTCATGTGTTTATGTGTGTGTGTGTGTGTGTGTGTGTATCTATCAAATAACAGAGTTATTTGCAAATATTTTGCTTTCTGGCATAAAGTGCATTATTTATGAGGAGTTTTATATTCTTTAATACTTTATAATGCTTTATGTTTTTCCATGTCATAGCTAATAGGAATATGGTTCATTAGTGAATGGATCGCTGCTGGAAAAAGTGCAGCTTTCCAGCTGGTGGAACTGGGCCCAGGTCGGGGTACCCTCACAGGAGATATTTTGAGGGTAAGTAATAAAAAAAAGTCTGTAAGTCACATGTAGATTAGTCTTCTTAATATGATGTTTGAATTCCTCAGCATTCAGTTGTACCTCCTTAATCTTATATTTCTCAGGTAAAATATAATAATGTCAGAGAAATGTAATGGATCATCTTTATTTATTATCTGTAAGCTTAAAAAATATGGTAGGGAGAATATAAAGCTAAAATTATGAAATGTTTAAAGACGTTATGGGAGAGTATATTTGTCTCCTCAGTAAGGAAGATTTTTAAAAATTATATAAAAAGCAGAAGCTGGGCTAGGGATGTAGTTCAGTGGTAGAGTGCTTACCTAGCACATGCAAGGCCTTGGGTTCAACCCCCAGCACCACAAAACCAAAAAAAAAAAGTCCAGAAGCCATAAAGGAAAAGAGTAATAATTTAATTTCAACTATATTAAAATTAAGAACTTATTGTTAAAGAAATTATGAATGTCTTGTTTTTTCAAAGACACTATAGAATGATGAGATAAGACAAAATAGGACAAGTTATTTCTAACACATATAACCAAAATAGTTATAATACATAAAGAACTGCTTTAAATCAATAAGCACATAACAGATAACTAAACAGAAAGATCAGGCTAGAGATGTGAAAAGGTACTTTATAAGAGAATATTGAAATGACTAATAAAAAGATGCTCAGTCTCTGATAGTTAGGAAAATGGAAATTAAAATTAGTGATGTAGCCAGGTATGGTGATCCACACCTGTAATCCCAGCAGCTCAGGAGACTGAGGCAGAAGGATTACCTCTTTGAGACCAGCCTCAGAAACTTAGGAAGACCCTGTCTCAAAATAAAAATGGACTCGGGGTATAGCTTAGCACCCCAGTACCAAAAAACCATAAAGAATATTAGAAAGTCTGGCAGTACCAAGTGTTGGTTAGGATGGGGCTATGTGGAGCATGAGAATATAATTTGGTTCAACCACTTTGAGAAGCTATTGGATATTATCTAACATCAGTTATTTATTTATTCATTTATTCACTTATTTATTTATTTATTTTGGGGGTGGGTACCAGGGCACTCAACCACTGAACCACATCCCATGCCTATTTTGTATTTTATTTAGAGGCAGGGTCTCACTGAGTTGTTTAGCTCTTCCCTGTTACTGAGACTGGCTTTGAACTCATGATCCCTTTGTTTCAGCCTCCTGAGCAGCTCGGATTACAGGCGGGTGCCTGGCCAGAATTATTTGTATTGTATGACCCAGCAGTTTTACTGCGATTCATACACCCTAGAGAATCTAACATGTATGTGTACCAGGAGATATGTGAAAGATCATAGCAACATTATTTGAAATAGCAAAAAATTAGAAACAACCCATATAGTGAGAAATAAGCCAAATTATATTGAACATGAAATAAAATATTGAGCGAAAATACAATCTGCAAAATAATTCATATCATGATTGTATTTATATAAAATACAAAAACAGTCAACAGTAAGTAATATATATTTGATGATACAAATATATTTAGTAATGTTCATAAAGAAAAGTCAGGAAGAAGTGAATTGGACAATCAGAATGGTAGTGACTTCTAAGGGTACAGGGAAAATGTAAGAGCTTTAGAGACTAGGTCATATCTCATTTCTTTTAAAGTGGATATTCTTATTTAAGTGGGTATTCTTTCTTCTATTATTCTATGTAGTACTTCATACAAACATTTAAAGAGCATTACTGTTTATTGTACCTGGCAAATAATAATTAAAAATAGTTTTTACTATTTTGGAATCCATTGTACCTGGCAATTCATTAAAAAAAATACAATGTACTCATTATGAATTTCTATTTATATTTCTGTTCTTTTTTTTTTCCCTTTTGGTACTGGCGATTGAATCCAGAGCTGCTTTTTACCACTGAGCCACATCCCCAGCCTTTTTAAAATTTTTACACAGGGTCTCACTGAGCTGCTTAGGGCTGTGTTAAGTTGCTGAGACTGGCCTTGAACTTGTGATCCTCCTGCCATAGCCTCCTGAGTTGCGGGGATTAGAGGCATGCACTGCTGTGCCTGGTTATAAATTAAACATTTCTTGATGCTATATGAATTTTGATTGAATTAGAAATTAGAGGAGTTTTTGAAAGAAGATTTATAAACATCTGACAAGAATTTTGATTATATCAAATTGGGGGGTGGGATAGAATAACATTGATGATTTTAATTTCCAGGGTTCTGCTTTATTTAAGTTGGTAGTCATTTGCACATGATATATTTTAATAAGGTTTTTAAGTAATATTTGTTAAAAGTATTTTTAAAAAATCAAGTCCATCACTCCTAAAATGTATAAGGAATGTTTCTCTAGATCAAGTCTTAAGAACTCTTTAAGAGTCAAAGAATTTAAAGAAATGTTAAAAAAATATATAGCCAAAATATTACCTGTATTTTAGTTTTGATATTACTTTGAGATATTATTCTCTTGGCAAGTCTTTTCATGTATAATTCCATCTCAAAATTATATTTTGGATAAAATCATCTCATTCAAATGAATAGTCTGTCTGTACATTCATATCTCAAAGGTAGTAGGCCATTAACCCATCAAATTTAAGTTCAAATAAAAATACTGTTGCACTGGCATTCAGATTTGAGTCTCAGAAAATACAGTTTAATCATCTTGAAGACAAGATTATTTTATAGACATACAGGTGTTCTTTTTTTTTTTTTAGATTTCATAATCTGAAACATTGTTTTTATTGGATGCCAAATCTTTTTATTTGTTAATCATGATTTATCATTAAGAAACCAAATTGTGCTCTGTTCATTTCTTGTATAGATTACTCTTAATAACTAATAGGTTGTGATTCTTATAGACTTCTGGAGGGTGGCTTGGGCCAGAAACAAATCTCTCTGAGGGAACATATTACTTATATTGTGACATAATTGAATTACTGTATTAAGTGGACAGAAAAACCTAAAATTTACTTACATATTGTATCTTGCCAATATTTATTTCTTTCTGTATTTAGGTGTTCAGTCAACTTGGATCTGTGCTGAAAAACTGTGACATTTCAATACACTTGGTAGAGGTGAGCCAAAAATTAAGTGAGATTCAAGCACTGACACTGACTGAACAGAAGATCCCCTTAGAGCGAAATGCTGAATCCCTAGTATATATGAAGGGTGTTTCTAAATCTGGGATTCCAATTTCCTGGTACCGAAATTTACAGGATGTTCCAAAAGGTAATTACTTTACATTGTATAATGAAAGATTTTTTATCACAATAATGTTAGTTGACCATAACCTTTTACAGCAATATTGTATATAATTGCTGCTGAAACCTATTACCCATAGAGAACATCTTCTTTTTTTCCCTCTAGAAAAGAACACTGTAATGGAAGAGAAAATTTTCTAACATTAAGGAGCAGTATATTTTATGTAGTCTTATAAAACAAAACAAAACGAAAACCCCAAACCAACCAAAAACCAAAATGTGAATCTCTATTGTATTCTTTAGTGTTTCTTTGTAGTTACAATAGTACTGATTATAAAGCAGCCCAACACAGCAAGGTCTGAAGGAAGCAGTATTAGTAGATGGGTTTAGCTTAATGAGTTAATCTTTTGAAAATCCTACTTCCTAAAGGCAAGCAAAGTGTCGTGGTGGTGATCAGGAATTTGAGTCTCAGCTCAAACCTAAAGTGTGGGTGATAGGATCTTGGGCAAGAAATCTAAGCCATTCCTCCATTCAGTCTTGTCAGTTGATTGTATGATTTAGATTTTTTCCTGCTAACAACTTTTGAGTTTTAATTTCTTTTAGGCCTTGTGATGAGTAGATTTAACTGATAATTCAGGTATGAAAGTTCTCTGACCTTGTTATGTGGAAAATGAGAATAGTAATATTATTCCTTTCTATATTTTATAAAGTATATTTTTCATGAAAAGCAGGACAGAGTTTTGGTAGTAATGTGTATAGAAGTATCTCAGGCTCCAATACTGAGGAATTAGGCATTTTCTTTTTTACAGTTAATGTTTAAAACCAATTAATTGTCTCAAAATGCTGAATCATTAATTTTCTTGTTTTGTTTTTAAATAGGATACAGCTTTTATCTTGCACATGAATTTTTTGATGTTCTTCCTGTGCATAAATTTCAGGTATTGATGAAAAAAAATTTATGTTTATAATTAAATAATGAAACGTCTTGAGTTGCAAGAATGAATATTTACATATGGACATTACTTGTTGAAGTTATTCTTTTTTTTTTTGTACTGAGGATTGAACCCAGGTGTGCTCTACTACTGAGCTACATCCCCAGTCCTTTTTATTTTTTATCTTAAGACAGAATTTCACTAAGTTGCCCAGGCTGGCCTCCAACTTGTGATCCTTTTGCTTCAGCCTCCCAGGTTGTTGGGATTACAGGCATGTACCACCACAACTGGCTGTTGAAGTTATTTTTAACTGTTTATTTGGAACTTTGATGAACATGAATAATTAAAAAGCAAAAATGATATATTAACTATAACTCTTAATTATCTTTGGATAATTATTAAAAAATTATTTAATTCTGAGAAATGATACATTTAGAAAATTTTATATAGAAAATACTCAGTATTATATTTATGGTATGAGGAGAAAGCTAACAGTTTGGGAAAAGCATTCTGAGAACTTGAAAAAATTTATTCTTATGTGTTACTTTGTTTAGAAAACACCACAAGGATGGAGAGAAGTATTTATTGATATTGATCCACAAGTTTCTGATAAATTGAGGTTTGTTTTGGCTCCTTGTGCCACCCCTGCAGAAGCCTTCTTACAGGTAAGAATATAGTTTTTTCTTCTTTTTCTTATTGCTGGCTATTCAAATTCTTCTGAGTTACTGTTTTAGAATTTTTTCACAGGGTGAATTGCTAGCAATTGCTTTTTATTGAAAGTGAAAGTGCAGAGCTTCTAGAGTTAGGAGAATTCTTAAAACAATTTCTTAAGTGTGTCACCTTAATGGCAACTAGTAAGAGAGAAAGCTAGTAATTACGCATTAAATCATACAAGTCCCTCACTTTCTCTGTACCTGTTTCCTTACTATCAAATGGTGACAATATGGTCTACAAGATGAGTTCCATATCTGTGAAAGCAGTATATTATAGGTCACAGAAAAATAACAATAACAGATCATATTTATTGAGTTCTTTGTATGTATTACTCTGTATTTTCTTATTTAGCTTTCAAAGCAACTGTTGGGTAAGTTCTGTTGTAATCCCCGTCTTTGGGTGTAATGTGGCTTTTCCTTCATGCTTCCACCAAATTCAAATTTGATTGTAGACTGCCAAAAAGATTCACTGCAGCATTCTATTCTCCTCAAGGAATAATTGGAAGAGCATATCTATCTTGGAGTTGTGTTTTAAAGATCTCCAAATACCTATATTTGGGAATGTCTAAAGCTTCAGAACACCTTTTTGATTCCTTTTCACCAAGAGGGGAAAAACTAATTTTCTGGACAGTAATTAAGAATTTCCTACCTCAGAAGTTATCAGTTTTAAAAGCACAGTTGCTTTTAAACATACAACTATGAATTAAGATTTCTTTGTCAAGTGTAAGTTAAAATATAAACACTTGTGAACATTTCTATTTTTTAATATTCTCTTTTTTGAGGGGGTACTGGGGATTAAGTCCAGAGGCACTCTACCATTGAGCTACATCTCCAGCACTTTTTAGTTTTATTTTGAGACAGGGACTTGCTAAATTTGCTGAGACTGGCCTGGAATTTGCAATTTTCCTGTGTCAGCCTCCCAAGTTTCGAGTTGCAGGCATTATAGATATGTGCCACCACACCTGGTTTCTATTTTCACATTATATTTCATATTCTACCTAATTTTACTTGAATGACAAAAACGTATTTATAAAGCTATCGAGAGTAAACCTTGCCGGTGGGGTGGCGCACACTTGTAATCCTAGAAGCCAGGAGGCTGAGACAGAGGATTGAGAGTTCAAAGCCAGCCTCAGCAAAAGCAAGGCTCTAAGCAACTCAGTGAGACCCTGTCTCTTAGTAAACTGCAAAAATAGGGCTGGGGATGTGGCTTAGTGGGCGAGTGTCCTTGAGTTCAATCCGTGTTGCTGCCCTCCTCCCCTGCCAAAAAAAGAGGGAATCCTTGTGGCCCTGGGAGTTGTGATTCTTTTTAGTTCTTAACTTGGTTAGCATTTATAGATGAGGCAGAGTTTTCTCTTTTCACTTGAATGGGGTGAATGGTTGTGCTGTCTGTCTTGTTGAAGAGCAGTTCAAGGTGGTTCAAACAGCACAGTAAGCTGAGGTTTGTCAGCTGATGCCTGAAGAGGCTAGCTTCATGATTTTTATAGCAACATTATAATAATTTATTTGTATTAATCAGCACTTAGAGGAGCTGAGATTCAATCTTAAGTCTGTCTTGACTGTACACATGTTATGCTTGTGACATCTGGGCAGGTCATTACTTCATTTTTAGGAGAGAGGGAACAAAAGATAATGTATGATTTTACCATGAAAAAATCTCCAAATTTTCATTCATTTGAGGTATCAGTGAAAATTCAAATATATTAGTAAAGTTGACAAGCGTATTTGTCATTTATTAATGTCAACTTATTGTCACTTCATTTTTAAAGCTAGTAAGCACTTCTTGTGAACCTTTAGGCACTGGTTGAACATGTTGGGTAATACGGGTCTCAGGTATTCTGATACTAGTTTACAAGCTGATATCTCTAGATATAGTGCATATCATTGGGATACTTTCTGCCCAAGAGAAGGCATCATAATATACCTGTTTAATAGAATTGTTTTGTTATATTGGGTTTATATTATTTGTTATTTTGTCACAATTTTTTGAGTGCCTGTTAATGCTAGGCACTGTTCCATGCAGACAGAAATCCCTTTCTCTGGCTTTCAGCCCAGTGGAGTATGTTTATATATATTACGATGTGAAAGTACTTTTACAGTAAGTAAAATGATAATGTACTTTGCCGTTTGGTGGGTTGGAAGGGCATATCCCTTTTTATTAAGGAGATTAAAATGTGTGTAAACTTAGTGGATAGCATTAAAGCATCAGTTCCATATAATAAAAAGGATGTCATTTGAAGTGTTTAGTGTAGGTAGAGAACATAGTCATATTGAGAAGGAATTTATTTTTATTATAAACACTTATGAAATGCTCATTGTAGAATAATGTGAAAAACCTTAAGGAAACATTTCTTTTTGATTGTTCCAACTATTCCCTCACCAGCATGATGAAACAAGGGATCATGTTGAAGTATGTCCTGATGCTGGGGTTATTATTCAGGAACTTTCTCAACGCATTGCATTAACTGGAGGTGCTGCACTGATTGCTGATTATGGTCATGATGGAACAAAGACAGATACCTTCAGAGTATGTATAATTCATTAACATGGTTGATTGGAATTTCATGGTTAGCTTTGAAGCTCATGGAAGATCTCTGGTTTTTACATTGTTTAGAACTAATGATTCATGTTTTAATTTTTTTTTTTTGAATTTTTTAATATTTATTTTTTAGTTATCGGCGGACACAACATCTTTGTATGTGGTGCTGAGGATCGAACCCGGGCCGCACGCATGCCAGGCAAGCGCGCTACCGCTTGAGCCACATCACAGCCCCCTCCAAAACTTTTTTTTTTTTTTTTTAATTTTTTATTGTTGGCTGTTCAAAACATTACATAGTTCTTGATATATCATATTTCACAATTTGATTCAAGTGGGTTATGAGCTCCCATTTTTACCCCATATACAGATTGCAGAATCACATCAGTTACACATCCATTGATTTACATATTGCCATACTAGTGTCTGTTGTATTCTGCTGCCTTTCCTATCCTCTACTATCCCCCCTCCCCTCCCCTCCCCTCCCCTCCCCTCTTCTCTCTCTGCTCCCTCTACTGACATTCGTTTGTCCCCCTTATATTATTTTTCCCCTTCCCCTCACTTCCTCTTGTATGTACTTTTGTATAACTCTGAGGGTCTCCTTCCATTTCCATGCATTTTCCCTTCTCTCTCCCTTTCCCTCCCATCTCTCATCCCTGTTTAATGTTAATCTTCTTCTCATGCTCTTCGTCCCTACTCTGTTCTTAGTTACTCTCCTTATATCAAAGAAGACATTTGGCATTTGTTTTTTAGGGATTGGCTAGCTTCACTTAGCATAATCTGCTCTAATGCCATCCATTTCCCTGTAAATTCTATGATTTTGTCATTTTTTAATGCAGAGTAATACTCCATTGTGTATAAATGCCACATTTTTTTTATCCATTCATCCATTGAAGGGCATCTAGGTTGGTTCCACAGTCTAGCTATTGTGAATTGTGCTGCTATGAACATCGATGTAGCAGTGTCCCTGTAGCATGCTCTTTTTAGGTCTTTAGGGAATAGACCGAGAAGGGGAATAGCTGGGTCAAATGGTGGCTCCATTCCCAGCTTTCCAAGAAATCTCCATACTGCTTTCCAAATTGGCTGCACCAATTTGCAGTCCCACCAGCAATGTACAAGTGTACCCTTTTCCCCACATCCTCGCCAGCACTTGTTGTTGTTTGACTTCATAATGGCTGCCAATCTAACTGGAGTGAGATGGTATCTTAGGGTGGTTTTGATTTGCATTTCTCTGACTGCTAGAGATGGTGAGCATTTTTTCATGTACTTGTTGATTGATTGTATGTGCTCCTCTGAGAAGTGTCTGTTCAGGTCCTTGGCCCATTTGTTGATTGGGTTGTTTGTTATCTTATTGTCTAATTTTTTGAGTTCTTTGTATACTCTGGATATTAGGGCTCTATCTGAAGTGTGAGGAGTAAAGATTTGTTCCCAGGATGTAGGCTCTCTATTTACCTCTCTTATTGTATCTTTTGCTGAGAAAAAACTTTTTAGTTTGAGTAAGTCCCATTTGTTGATTCTAGTTATTAACTTTTGTGCTATGGGTGTCCTATTGAGGAATTTGGAGCCCGACCCCACCGACTGTAGATCGTAGCCAACTTTTTCTTCTATCAGAGGGCGTGTCTCTGATTTGATATCAAGCTCCTTGATCCATTTTGAATTCACTTTTGTGCATGGCGAGAGAAAGGGATTCAGTTTCATTTTGTTGCATATGGATTTCCAGTTTTCCCAGCACCATTTGTTGAAGATGCTATCCTTCCTCCATTGCATGCTTTTAGCCCCTTTATCAAATATAAGGTAGTTGTAGTTTTGTGGATTGGTTTCTGTGTCCTCTATTCTGTACCACTGGTCCACCCGCCTGTTTTGGTACCAGTACCATGCTGTTTTTGTTACTATTGCTCTGTAGTATAGTTTGAAGTCTGGTATCACTATACCGCCTGATTCACACTTCCTGCTTAGCATTGTTTTTGCTATTCTGGGTCTTTTGTTTTTCCATATGAATTTCATGATTGCTTTCTCTATTTCTACAAGAAATGCCGTTGGGATTTTGATTGGCATTGCATTAAACCTATAGAGAACTTTTGGTAATATCGCCATTTTGATGATGTTAGTTCTGCCTATCCATGAACAGGGTATATTTTTCCATCTTCTAAGATCTTCATGTTTTAATTATCTTTTTTTAATATATATTTTTTTAGTTGTAGTTGGACATAACATCTTTATTTTATTTATTTTTTATGTGGTGCTGAGGATTGAACCGAGTGCCTCACACATGCTAGGTGAGCACTCTACCACTGAGCTACAACCCCAGCCCTCATGTTTTAATTATCTTTAATCCTAGATCTTTCTCCTAAGCCCATTGTCCAACCATTGAACAGACTTTGAACTACTTGATTTCTTTAGTTGCAGAACCTATGTTTGCATATATTCTAGTAAGCATCTGAATAATACAAATGGAAGTATTTCCTTTAAGTTCTTAAACTTTTCTGCCTTGCCTTCATTGAAAAAATGCCATTTCTTTTCAGATTTAATCTAGGTATATAATCAAATTTTTTCTATCAGAATTTTTAACATGTCTTTCCTCAACATTATTTTTCAGTGTTTTTTGAATATGATCAATTTTGTTGTATATTCTTTAATCAAAACATACATAACTTGATGTTATTAGTTATTTCCTACATCTGTGGTTCTTAATTTCTAACTTTATTATTTTACATACAAATAACCTGAAGAAGTTTGCTAAAAATCCTGATCTTTATCCTCAAGTCCAAAATTCTGATTAATCAGGTCTGAATGGAGACTAATAAACATGTTCAGGTGATTTCAGGTGTGCATGATTGATAGACACACTTCATAATACTGCCTATGTTCTGATAACCTGAATTAATATAGATAATTAATGAGATCATCTGTTTCATGAGAAGTATTTATGAAAATGTTAAATAACTTTATGTTAAGAGCAGCATCTTTACACTCCAACTTTGCTCTTTATGTTGGGTTTTCCATGCTTGCATCTCATTTGAAGAAAGTGCACTATTGCATGTCTAAAAAACAAATTTAGACCATATTTTCCTTTTCAACAGATGCTATATAAAATGTGCTAATATAATAGTGTTTTAAAGTCTTGATTTTGATAGCTATAAAAAGGCAGAAACTTATTTCTTTATGTTCAAGGGGTTTTGTGGCCACAGGCTCCATGATGTCTTAACTGCACCTGGAACAGCAGACCTTACAGCTGATGTGGACTTCCATTATTTGCGCAGAATGGCAGAAGAAAAAGTAGCCTCTTTGGGTCCAATAGAACAACAAACATTTTTGAAAAATATGGGTATTGATGTCCGGTTGAAGGTAATGGTTTATTTTATTTTACTATCATTAAATTTATTAATTTCATAGTATTTCAAAAATTATTTTACTTAGGTTCATTTGGCTTTAACATTTTTGTAGTTATGCAGCTCCTAGGTATTCCAGTCTTTCGGTAATGTAGAATTTAGTATAACCAGACAGATGGAGGGTGGAACAGCCTGGTAAGTTTCCATATGGGGTAGAGTTAAGGCTTCTAAATAGGGTTCCCGTGTAAGAAAACCACACAGAGCAAATCACCAGGGGATGTTTGTTAAGAGCACAAATCCATAGATTTGGGTCAGAGAAACTTACATTTTTAATAAGCACCCTGTGATTTTTAGGTAATTAGAAATCACATTTTGAGCACTGGAACATTTAAGAATCAATATTGTTTCACCTACTTAGGAATTCTTCTTCTGGTTACTTATGCTAAGAAATTTTTTCTTTTCAGGTTCTTTTAGATAAATCAGATGACCCATCAATGAGACTGCAGTTACTTCAGGGATATGATATGTTAATGAATCCTAAGAAGATGGGAGAAAGATTTAACTTTTTTGCCTTGCTTCCTCATCAGAGACTTCATGGTGGAAGTCATCAGATGAATGCACAGCAGTCAAGACCCTCTGCATCTCCTGTAGCTGGGTTTGATGAACTTACTTGGCGGTGATATTTCAGTTTGGACCTTTTATACCCCTAAATTGGCCTAAGAAATCAAAGTAAAGGGAATATATTTCATACATTAAAGGTAAACAGATGATTTTGGAGTATTTTCTCTCTTCATAGCCAATGAAAATAACCTAAATAATAAACAAAATTATAGATCTTTTGGGTTGGAATGGACTCTTGGTGCAAATGTGTTTTCTCAATTGACTGAAGTAATTAGGTTATTGTGAAATTGAGTTTCTTTTAGTAAAGCTGGTTGCTATATTTCTATTTTATTTTAAAAAGTTACACATGAGACTGGTTGGTTTAATAGAAATTTGAAAAAACCTAAATAGTTATTCCCAAGGAACTGATTAAATAGATCTGTATTTTATTTAAAAAGAGGAGGTAAAGGAGTATTGTCTGAAATAAAAAAATCTCAATTTTAAGATTTAACCCCAGCAGCTTGGGAGACTGAGGCAGGAGGATCACAAGTTCAAAGCCAACCCCAGCAATTTAGCAAGGCCCTAAGTAGTTACAAGACCTTGTCTCCAAACAAAAAGGCGAGAGGGGGTGGCTGGGGTTGTGGCTCAGTGGTTAAGTGCCCTGGGTTCAATCTCTGGTACCAAAAAAAAAGTAGTAATAATTACATGCAAAAGTTTTTATAGTTATGTTTCCATTTCTGTTACGGGGGGTGGGGAGTGGGGAGCTACATTTAAGTTAATATTTCTAACTGTTTTCATAGAAACTAATATACCAGTACAAATTTTACTGTGTTCTGCTCTGTAGTATGTATTTCAATAGAAGTAGTAAGTGCAGAATGCCCAGTAAACACTATTGAATTTCCCATTCTGGAAGTGGGTTTAGAGTGGAGAGAGAGAGTTGGTATTGAATTTCGTACCTCATATTCTATAGATAATTTAAAATTTTTAAAAATCCTATTTTGACGTATCAAAGAGTAAAAATATCACAGTAAACTTGACCTGTACCTGAAATAAGAGTAAATGTAAACAACCTAGGTGGAATAATTTTCTAAATGGAGCTAATTCTCTCTTATTTTCAGAAAAATGTCAAATGTTAGCTCCACATTAGGTTCTCATCTTTTGATTCATACACCTTTATGTTAATGGTAGGAACACAGACTTTTTGAGGAAGTGTATGTTAGCAACACAAATTTCCAAGGGAGATTAAAGAAAAAAATAATACCAGCCATGTTGTGAACTTATGGATTAAATACAGTGGAAGTTCATGGGCAGAGTGATGAAGTATTGATATTTATTGCTGCTTCTGCTTAAATAAGAACATGATTATTCTGTATCTCACTTGAAAGTAAAAGGAGATTAAAACTTTATCTTTTAAATGCTACCCAGCCTTAGGCCATTTGTAGTTGTTCTTATTCTCTTTCCGTATTTACTTTCTTTTTTAAAATATATATTTATTTTTTAGCTTTTAGGTGTACACCATATCTTTATTTTATTTTTATGTGGTGCTGAGGATCGATCCCAGTGCCTCAAGCATGTCAGGCAAGCACGCTACCACTTGAGCCATATCCCCAGCCCCTATTTACTTTCTTTTTAAACATGAAAATGCCCATAGTTGACTCCTCCCAAAGGTAATAGTTTTAAGGGCAAAGAGTCATTTAGTGACTTATAACTCAAATCCTAGAAAAGTAGTTTTGATAATTGTTTTTTTCTAAGTCTTCTGGTAGTTAACAGTAATTGAATATTTGGTGGTAGTTACTAAAAAAATTACAATTACTCTAAACTTTCATTCCAAGAAATAAACCCTCTAGATAATTACCTTAAATGTACTACGTATCACAGTGTAATGAAGGTTTGTTTTTTTTTTTTTTTCCCCCAGATAAATCAGTTCTTTTAAACAAAGCCTTACTTCCATATACAAATGCTATTTTCACAACATTTCTGTGATCAAGGCCTGGGAAAACACAACTGAGTATAATTTTCTTTGGATACTTTTGCTAGAGATAGCCTGAGATTTTTACATGGAAAAGTATAGTGATACAGAAATACATTTTATTATCAAGCTTCTTAGAGCATATTTACAAAAAGTGGGATGTAACAAAAAATATAAAAATGTACTGAAGAATGTCATTAGACTACTTTGTACATTATCAAATGTTTCTAGCAATTATTTCTTATACAAACACAATTTCAAGACAAAAGGTTATGCAAGTTATACAGTATCTGGAGTAATTACTCAACTCCAAATTATCTGACAGTGCCCTTACAAAACTTTTTAGAAAACGTAGGCATTAACAAAAAGAGTGCAATTAATTTCATGGCTTGTAAAGTTTGATTATATAAGAATAGCAAACGAACATTCCAGTTAATTTTTACCTTATGTAGTAAAACCACAGTAGTGACTCAAAATTATTCCATTTTGTGCATGTTGATATAAACAGGCTTACTTTGGAGAAATTTGGGGAAGTCATTCTCTAACACAGGGAAAATCCAAAGTTTTCTCTAATTTGGTTTAATCTTTGCAACTGCTCTAAGAGAACAGATTAACGAGATGTGCGGAATATCCCTCAGTGAAAAAATATATTTGCAAAGGATAGTGTACAGCATAATGGCCAGCAGGGTGAAGAGGGATTCTGGAGACATTCTGCCTGGGTTCATATTCACATACTACTGTGGGAATTTTAGTAGCTAATTTCTTTGTGCCTTAGTTTCCTCATGTATAAAATGGGGTTCGTAATGTACTTACCATGTGATATTGTGAGGATAAATTAAAACACTCAAAGAACTTAGAATATATAACCACTGCATAATCTTTCTATTATTTTCTCAATGATGTTTTTGTCATAGTAGGACAGTTGCTTTTGGGATCTGTAAAAGCCATCTCAGTCTTACTCTGTTGATGTGCAGGAGCATTCTTTTCCTTTACTACCTCAAATTCAGTGGGCAGTAATTCATGTTTATAATTTTGAGCTTACTGAGTACATTCATTCATATCTGATCTTTGCAACCACTGTGAGGAAGGTAGAGGCAAGGACTGTAGTCTTCATTTCATAAACTGAGAACTAAAGACTTAGGTGGGCTATCTACCCAGGCCAGCAGAGCTAATAAATAATGGAGCCAAAGACTTAAATCCAGATTTTCTGACTCCAAATCTTTTACTTTTAGAGTGTGGAAGAAGGAAACAGACAAACAAGGTCTGTGGTGATTACTGAAAAATGAAGAAACAAAAGCCACTATATATATATTTTAAGTGGATCCCAAATCTTAAATTTTCTTTGGGAAAAATACAACTTGACATCCCTAATCTGTGTTCCCCCTACCCCCATGGGGATCAAACCGAGGGCTTTGTGCATACTTGGCAAAAACTACCACTGAGCCCAACATCCCTAATGTGAAAGTAATGCAGAGCTCGAAAAGTTTTGGATTTCAAAGCATTTCAGATTTACAGATCAGGGATGCTCAACCAGTAAAGTTTATATAAATATCGTAAAATCTAAAAAACTCTAAAATCTGGAACACTTTGATCCCAAGCATTTCAAATAAGGGATACTCAACCTGTATTAGTAACTATTTTAAAATAGCTGGCTGCTGGAGCTGAAATGTAAAAAGAAGCACTTACTCCACTCTTTCATTTGCTGGGCTAAGCTAATATAACATAGTGCAACCCTCATAAACTGAGTGTTTCATGTCTATTCCACCCACAAACCAAACCCTAAATTGCTTAAAATGAAAATACTGATTTAAAACATTCCCAACATTTGCAAACCCTCCAATAGGCTGAGGCAAGAAAAAGAGATACTGTTTGCTATACAGTGACGATATAGATAGCATTAACTGACCTACACTGGCCTTCCTTTTAGTATATATTTACTTTTCTCCCTCAAATTATTCAACCTTGGGTAAAGATAGCAATTATGTAATTAAAGTTCAGATCTTCACCCATGCAGTGCTGGGGACACAGTGTGGCATCACAGTGGTATCAGGTGGGAACATCAATGTTAAGCAGCAGAATGAACTACAAGAAGGCACACATAACCACACAGTACTTACACCAGCAGTACCTACTCCTATTTTTTGGTTACTAACACCAATCATTCCAAATTATCTTAGTGGCTATTGCAAAATACTCAAAAGGTGATAATTTCATTCTTATGTTGTAGAGGCCCTAATCAGAGTTGCAGCTCCAAAAAAGTAAGGAATCACTGTTTTAGAGTCTTAACTGACCTAACCAAGAAAGATAAAACAGCCTGGCACTCTGTAGGCATCTAGGAAAAATGCTTCAATGCCCCTATGGTCGGTTAGACAAACATTTAAAAGTCCTTATAGTAAATCACATATTATTAGCCTCACAGTTATTGCTTCAATGAAAATATGTTTAGTAATCAACTTTACAATCTTTGTATGATTTGGTCAAGCTTTGCTAGCTTGCCTTTAAAAAAAAAATGACATAAGATCAGGAAAGGGAAGATAAATTAAGTGGCATTATTGTACTTAAGTGAAGGATCAGGAAACAATACAAAACCAGTTATTACTTATGCTATAAAAATTTATAGAAAGCTTCCCCTTGATTCCATTATGTGTTTTTATTACTTAGCTTCCCTTCCTGTATCTACATATGAACTACAGTATTGATTATCACCAATTCCTTGTATTTCCTCATGTCTTGGCTTCCTTGCAGATGACAACATACAAATAACAGTTATGAAGCAAAATATCAGTCCATAAAATTAAATCCTTCCTTATTGAAGTTAGCTCATTGATAATTAAGGATCTTCTTCCATATCATCTGGATTGGGAGCCATAATGAAGTGCTTTGGGTATACAAGGTTATGTGTATATGCATGTATTTCCCAGCGAGCATCATCACTTTCATGTGTAATGTAACGTTCTCCAATGCGAGTTTCAAATTCTCTAAGGTCAAGCCATGTCTGATAGTCCTAGAAAAAATTGACATGATTATGAACCATAAACTAAATACTGGCTACTATTTTTCCCCCTTTGCTTAGCATCCTAGTTACAGAATTGACAATCTCTACTTGTAAGTTCTTGAATTAGAAATGTTAAAAATCGTTTTTTCAAATCTGAAGTCTCTATTAAAAGAAAGTAACTAGTTTCTTTTTTTTTTAAAGAGAGAGAGAGAGAGAGAGAATTTTAATATTTATTTTTTAGTTTTTCGGCGGACACAACATGTTTATTTTGTATGTGGTGCCGAGGATCGAACTCAGGCCACACGCATGCCAGGCGAGCATGCTACCTCTTGAGCCACATCCCCAGCCCGAAAGTAACTAGTTTCTGAAATTTAAAAAACTGGAAAAAAAACCTGGTCTCTGAGATAACTCGTAATAATCACTAAAAGCTTTTGCCGTATACTGTTATCAGCCTAAACTTTACTCCTCAAAATGTGCAAGTGCTTGGAATACATTATCAGGTTAATTTATAATTGGTGAGCCTAACTATGATTGCATTTATTTTGAAGCTGATTCTACTCTTCATTCCCTTTAAAATACTTGTAAAACTTTTAAAATTTTACTTAGAGAAAGGGTCTTGCTGAGTTGCTTATGGCCTTGCTAAGTTTCAGAGGCTGGTTTTGAACTTTAGTCCTCTTGCTTCAGTCTCCCGAGTTGCTGGGATTATAGGTGTGCACTACCATGCCTGGCAATCCAAATATATTTTAAAGGGCTTTATTTTTTTGTCTCTTCAATGCAAAATGAGCCTTTTAGTGAACATTTAAAATAAACACACCTGACAAAATAGTATGTAATGTTAGTCTTACAAAAAAAAGTAAAATGAATGCATTATGTCTTATAAAAGGCTGTGGTTGCTTTTAGTACATGGGAGTTTAATTGCCTAATGGTACCAGGGATAGAACCCAGTGATGCTTTACCACTGAGCTACATCACCAGCCCTCTTTATTTTGAGACAGCATCTCGCTAAATTGCTTGGGGCCTCACTAAGTTGCTAAGGCTGACCTCAAATTAGTGATGTTCTTGCCTCAGGCTCCCTAGTTGCTGAGATTATAGGCGTGCTGCAGTGTGCTCAGCCTGTCAATACCAATTTGGATGAATACATGAACAACTTCCAGAGGATCAATTATGATATAAATTCATCATAAAAAAGCACTTAAATTATTCTAAGAAAATGCAGAATCTGTTGATCTTGTCTTGTGTCACAGAACTCACAGTGAACCATTCAAATGAGGATTGCTAAACATATATTTTTTTTTACCTGTAGCCAGGGATGACTAAGAGATTTGTCAACACTGTAGCGTTTTCTCATCTTCACTTGAAGCAGGTTGTTTATCAAATCAATTGCTAAGAGAAAAGACAAAATTAGATAAACAAATCTCAGTGTGTAAAATACCCCAAACCTATGATTCTTTCTGGAGGGCAGTTTAATCTAATCTATAGAAATACAGCATTGAAAACCAAGAATCAATAAGTGGGATGAAATCAAACAAAAAAGTTTCTTTTCAGCAAAAGAAACAATCTGTGAGGTGAACATAGAGCCTACAGCAAATTTTTACCCCTCACACATCAGACAGATCTCTAGGGTACATAAAGAACTCAAAAAGCTAAACACCGAAAAAACAAATAACCCAATCAACAAATGGTCTAAGGACCTGAATAGACACTTCTCAGAAGAGGATGTATAATCAATCAACAAATATATGAAAAAATGCTCATCATCTCTAGCAATCAGAGAAATGCAAATCAAAACCACTCTAAGATATCCTCTCTCTCCAGTCAGAATGGCAGCTATTATGAAGACAAACAACAATTAGTGTTGGTGAGGATGTGGGGAAAAAGGCACACTCATACATTGCTGGTGGGACTGCAAATTGGTGCAGCCAATTTGGAAAGCAGTATGGAGATTCATTGGAAAACTGGATATGGAACCACCATTTGACCCAGCTATTCCTCTCCTTGGACTACACCCAAAGGACTTAAAAACAGGGACACAGCCACATGAATGTTTATAGCAGCACAATTCACAATAGCTAAACTTAGGAGCCAACCTAGATGTCCTTCAGTGGATGAATGGCTAAAAAAATGTGGCATATATACACAATGGAATTTTACTCAGCATTAAAAAAGAAGAAAACCATGACATTTGCAGGTAAATGGATGGCACTGGAGAAGATAATGCTAAGTGAAGTCAGCCAATCCCAAAAAAACAAATGCCAAATGTTTTCTCTGATATAAGGAGGTGGGGTAGGGCAGGAGAGCATGGGCAGAATAGATGAATTCTAGATAGTGAAGAAGGGTAGGAAGGAAAGGGAAGGGGCAGGGGATTAGCAAGGATGGTGAAATGTGATGGACATCGTTATACAAAGTACACATATGAAGACTTGAATTGGGTGTCAGCATACTTTATATATAAACAAATACAAAAACTGTGGTATATATGTGTATTAAGAATTGTAATGCAAAAAAAAGAAATTATATCCCATCTATGTATGATATATCAAAGTATATAAGTGCATTCTACTGTCATACATAACTAATTAAAACAAATTAAAAATTAATTTAAAAAAGAAAGCATTGAGAATTTTTGCTTAAGAACATAGACTTGAACAATTAAAATGATCCATAACTAAATTAAGTGTACCTAATTTTCATTTTATTAAGAAGGCAGTACAGAGTATACATTGAATGTATACACTATGAAGCCAGACTGCCTGGATGAATATGTTCCATTTTACACTGATTAGCAGTGTGATATTGGGTCAATTACTATGCCCTACAGTACCTTGGTTTCCTCATCTGTAAAATAAAACTATTGAGAAGATGAAATCAATTTAACACATTTAAAAGCTTAGAACAATGCTTAGCACATAAGTGTGAAATATTAACTAGTATTTCAAGATGCATGAAACACTCCAATTATAGGCTCATCTTCTCTGCCACTTCAAAGGATGCCATGTTGCTCTCTATTTCTTGGTTTTGTCTGGGAAAGTAGCCAAAGCTATTGCCTTGCCTCTACAGATGAGGTTAGAACTTGTTCCCAAAAGTTCATACTCAATAGGTTTTAACAAATAGATTCAGGGTGTTTTGGTGTATATGGTGAGATCTTGGCATACATATTTCATTATTTGGAGAATGAGTCAACTTCAAAACCAAAGGAACTGTTTGGGAGTAGAATAAGATGAAAGTAGTGTTTCCTGAAGACGGACTTAGCAGTAGTGACTGGGAAGAGCCATAAAAGAGAGTCTAGTGGGTAGGACAGTTAAGAAGATATGTATACGGGGTAAAAATGGGAGTTCATAATCTGCTTGAATCAAATGTATGAAATATGATATGTCAAGAGCTTTGTAATGTTTTGAACAACTAATAAAAATAAATAAATAAATAAAAAGAAGATATTTTAGATGTTTCAGAATGAGGCATTTGGGGCCTGCATTATTGCTTTTCCTGGGAATTATAAGGAAAATAGGGATAGAAAAGACAGTGTAAAAGGAAGGAGAGTGCTCAAAATTTGATAACTAAATAGGGAAGTCAGAAGAGACAACCTGGTTTGGAGTCACAAAAAATTTTAGACTACAGGGCAGAGAGTCAAAACTTAACTTTTCTTACCTTCACCAGAAATTTCTCTCCATGGATTTGGTGGATACATAAATGCAGCATTTTGGATCTGGTCATTTATATCTTCATCCTCATTGAATGGAAATGTACCACTGAGGCTCACATAGACAATGACTCCCACTGACCACATATCTAGAGAACGGTTGTAACCTTTGCTTCTGAGAACCTCAGGGGCTAAGTATGCTGGAGTTCCTACTACAGATCTCCGAAATGACTTCTCACCAATAATGCGTGCAAATCCAAAGTCACACAACTTCACCTAGAAATTATGGAAGAATGATGTTAACTTTGTATTGATCTCTATATAAATGCCTCTCCCTAAATATGAAAATGTACTTACCAACTGTATTGATTATGAATACCAAACAACTGTAGATAGGGAAATTGAAATATCATTTTCCCAGAAGGCAGATATATTTATAGCTCTGTGATACTAACATAATGAAGAGCTCTCCTAGTGCTTATTTAAAAAAAGTTTTGTATCCTAGCTTCCACCCTGCTAATTACCAGACTGATGCTACAGGGCTTTAATTTTTTTACGAAGTGGAGAGTACTGCATTTGTCTCATAAGGAGATAACTTTTCTGTTATCTATGAGCAGGAACTCTTTCATTTCTGAATCCTCAGTGACTTCTCAATGTCTGGTCACATAAATATATTCAATAAATGTCTGCTGACCCTGGCACACACCTACAATCCCAGCTACTTAGGAGGCAGAGGCATGAAAGTTGCTAGCTTGGACAGCTTAGTGAGACCCTGTCTCAAAAACATAACACAAACAAAAAAGGGGTGAGATTTGACAAATTCCCACAAATAAATTACAATATTTAGAAAACATCCTTTATTCTGCTTGCTGTAGAATCTCTCTTCCTAAAGATACTGTATATTGGCAAGTAAATAAAACTGAGAAGCATTAAACATTTATAAGTAACTGTTAATGTGAATAGTAAAAGATGTAATTTTGGAGATTTCTCCAAGGAATAAGTGTAGCAGTGTTTTATATTACCATAGAACAAATTATTGCTAGTTAGATGTTTATATTTGAAAAAAAGTTGTACATGAAGGCAGCCATAGTCACTACCATATTCTCTCAGGAAAAGAGTTCTGGAAGTGTGGTGAAATGGGCAGAGCTTTAAATGCTTATCTTGCAGGCTGGAACTGTAACTCAGTGGCAGAGCACTTGCCTAGCATGTGTGAGGCACTGGGTTCAATCCTCAGCAGCACCATATACAAATAAATAAAATAAAAAGTATTTTAAAATACATACATACATACATATTTATCTTGCTACCCAACTTTTTGTAGATTTTGATGATTAATGACTGCATCTATGCTGAATGGGCAAATGTCAAGTAATTTCCACTGGAAGTGCTCTTGACTCAAAATATGATTCAGAAAAAGCATTAAGATAAATTGAGAGAAAAGGGATTTGGTGTCTAGAAAACAGTGGTATAGTGACAGGAGAACAAAGAGGTTAAGGTATATTCAAATGCTGCTTATTATTTCTAGGTTATGGACACTGATGTATGCTTTTATGAATGATATTTGCTGTCACTGTATTTGAAGACTAGTACAAACCCCAAAGAAATGTGAACTCTCTCTTGGTTAAATGCCAAATTTTAGATAACATTTAGATAAAATAAAAATGACTTGGCAGTTGGGCAACTGAATAAAGAAGTGTGGCCATGGCTAGCATGTGAGGAAAAAAAAAAAATTCCCTGTTGCTCCTAATAGGAACACTGTGAATCACAAAAGTAGAGATCAGAAAGTTGGGAGTTTTAGCCTTTAGCTTCACAAGTGTACATCCTTTGCCTATACTATTCTGAAGATTAAATGAAATAATATATGGAAGCAGTTTATATATTTAAAACATTCCACCAACTACTAGGGAACTCTTTAATCTCACAATGATAGGGAATCAATCACTTTAACAACATAAGCTTTATAAAAGAAATGCTTACTACTTTACTTTTTTTATGTTAAAAAGTTTATTTCAGTAACACTGTAAGTCAACATTTAATCCTCAACAAATCAGCAAACCAGTGAAAAGAAATAGACAGAGACAATAATTTTCCCTAGTTTCCTGCTGTAAAAGTGAAAGAGTAGAATGATTTTTTAAAATACATATTTTCCTTTGAAAGACAATTTAAGTTGAATTTATAAATTAAGATAGCTATGTGTTGTCCTTGTTCTAGCCATATGACGACATTTCAGATGTACATAAATGATAGTTTGGCAATAGATATTCTAGTTGATTGGAGGAATCATCAATGGCAATCATGAAAAACAGTCATAGGTACTAAACTAACGGGTTTCTCACTACAATTGTAAAATCTGAATTCTGATTTATTAAGTAGGTTGTGAGATAAACTTAGTTGATCAAGATAAACATTAAAAAAAAAAAAAACAACCACTTCAACTTTATTGAAAAAAAAAAAATCAGAGTATATCATGCATAGCCAGAACACACACACAGATGATATTATTATGTGAGTGTGAGCATCAATGGTTAGGAGAAATTAAATTCTTATGTTAGTTTTGGTGAAAATGCTTAAAATATGCTAAAAAAAAATAAAGAGGTTGGCTGCTTGTCTCAACCAAAATCTTCCCATTTTAGGTACCTGCTCTCAGCTATTTTTAATTTATGGAGAATTCATCCTGAGTACCAGGCACCACCAAGGTTAATTCTCTCTACTCCCAGCCCACAGGGATAGGTGAATTGCCAAGAATTTATTTACAAAAAAGTCATTCCTTGGGATCCATTAAGTCAAAAAACTCTTAATGAACATAACACAATTAATAAAAGAATTAAATTTATTTAGTTATTAATCCTGGCAGTTATAGACTAAAATGTTTCTGTAAGATGGTATACACCTTGAATCCACAACACTTAGTACATTGACTTTTATTATGTGGGTACTTTTTAAGTGTCAGACACTTAAAATGATGCTTCAAAAGAATATCTCACCTGAGGAAAGGGCTCTGCTGATGCAAGCAGCACATTTTCTGGCTTTAAATCACAGTGCACAATATTCTTAAAATGTAGATTCCTCAAAGCAACAAGTATCTGTTAATAAAGAAGAGTTTTTTTTCAATGCCTGAAAAATTAGTTAAATCACAATGTGACTCCTTGAATGGTGCAGTCCTCTGAAAACTTCAGTATAGTTTCAGATTTAGCTGAAAGTGTGATTTTCTTTCTTAAGGTTAACAATTCCTACAACTTCCCAATATTTCAAAGTACTGCTCTTAGTTTTCAATTATTTAGTTTCAAAAAAGAGCTAAAATACCTGTGTGACCATGAATTTTGTAATTCGTTCTGGAAGGCGACTTTTCTCACTGGATAGAATCATTTCCAACATATCTCCATGCAACTTTTCCATTACCACAAAGACTCGTTCTGGTGTTTCAAACATACATTCCAGGTTTACAATCCCAGGATGATGCAAATTCTGGAGCAGTTACAGGATATTAAAACAACCAACTTTAAAAGTAGAGAAGTAGTTTTATTACAGAAATAACATGCTGCAATTAACTATATGAAATCACATTTAAAATGTTTGTAAACAATGTAAAAAGTACAATGATTAGACATGATCATAAATTCTGATTTTCCAAGTTGTGCACAGAAGAGTGGATGTACTACTCCTTCCATTTTTTCTGTATATGTAGTCATCTTTCTATATTTATTTTTTCTTAAGTTCACTACTTTTATTACTTTTTGCACACCTCCCCTCCCCTCCTATCCAGAGAACTGGTTTCTGAATTTATTGTATTCTTTTCTTCACCTACTGATTTCATTTTATCTTTGTTAACACTTCTGCTTTCCTCAAGATTTATGGTTCATTAATTTTTGAGTTGATTAGTTTCATTTCTTTCTTGCTTTAATATTTGAGATTATAAAGCTTCTTTGAATGACAGTCCAAAGACTCTAATATATACAGTATTTTTATCATAATTTTCTAAGTATTCTGAAATTTGTTCTAAGAATTGAGAATTAAGAAGTTTTCATAGTGGGAGCTTTTTGTTTTCTGATTCTATAATTTATGTCTGCTTTTACTGTATTAAGATCAAGGACTTATACTGATTTTGAATTGATGAGGGTTTTTTTCTTTTATTCCATTTTAGGATACAGAATTCAGTATAAAGCAGGTAGATCTTCCTTACTCTGTTTAGGCTTTGTATCTTATTTTTGTCTTCTCCATCTGTGATGCACTACTAAAATGGGCTTGGCTGTCTCTCCTTGTGTTTTTTCTTGCTTTCCTTCATAAATATGATGATGTTATTTGTTATAGTGTGATTTTTACTCTTCCATTTTTAAGGGCCCTTTCTTCATTTCATGTTTTCCCTTGAATTAAATTTTGTCAAATCATGACCCCTTGGCTTTCTTTTGTTTGGGGAAGGGAACTAGAGATGGTACCACAGATGGGAGCTCAGAGAAAAGCAGCACAAACAGCTCTCACTGTGGCCCCTCCTTTATGTAGTCCTGCTTCATCCACTGTTTTTGGAAAATATTCTATGTATTCTAGAAGTCTGAACTTTTCTATTTTTGTTACAGTATACACTTCTGTTAATCATTTTTGTAGCTCTGGAGTAATTTTCAAGAAAATAGGAGGAAGGTACTGAATTCATACCTTAATGTTCAAAAATTTCTAATGTTTTTCCATTTACATAGGTAGCTACAGAATGCTACATATCCACTATTCTACCACTCTCTTCAGGCAATAGCAAATAGCAAAAACATCTTGTATTACCCATATATCTAGGAAACAAAAATACTCCCCTATTTCTTTGCTTCCCCACAATGATCCCCCCAGATGTGGCCATGCTGACTTGTGTATAATACATTCCTTTAAAAAGTCACACAAATGTAATAATTCTACACTTTTTTTCATTTAACAATACATTGTAGATAATGTCCTACCTAAACATATCTATTCAATGAATAGTAAATGAGTATTTGTCATTTTCCTAGAACTATGCAGATAATCTGGATCCATTAATAACACTGAAAAAGAAGCCCTGTCTCATAGAGTTAATTAATTCCAGTGAGGTAAGACATATAGTAGGAAATAGTAGTGAATTACCTACAATGGAAGTGGTTAAGTGCTTTGGAGAAAAGCACTTCTGGTTTAGATATGGGGTGTTCTCCAAAAGCTCATGTGTGAGACAAAAGTTCAGAGGTGAAATGATTGGTGAAAACCTTAACCTAGTCAGTGCATCAATACACTGATGTGGATTAACTGAATAGTAACTTTAGGTAGGTAGGGTATGGTTGGAGAAAGCAGGTCACTGAGGGTGTGCCTTTGGGGTTTATATATTTTCTCTGGTGAGTGGAGCTCTTTCTCTGCTTCCTGGTGGCCATGTCCTGAGCTGATTTCCTTCACCATGTCTGTTAGTCACGATGTTCTTTCTATCTTGGGCCTACAGCAATGGAGTTGGTCATCTATGGACTAAGACTTCTGAAACTGTGACCTCAAATAAATTTTTCCTCCTCGAATTGTTCCTCTCAGGTCTTTTGGTCACTGTGACGAAAAAGCTAACTAAAATAAGAGTGTAGCGGGTGGGAGGGTGGGTTTAGTGCTAATAGAATGTGAAGGCTTCATTAAAGAAATGATATTTGGGCAAAACTGTGAGGGAGACAAGGGAATTTGTCATGCAGATATCTAAGGGGGAAAGCATTCTCAGCAAAGAGAATAGCTAATGCAAAGCCCTTAAAACAGGAGGATGTCTGAGAGACTGCAAGAAAGTGAATGTGATCATCATTTAGAAAAGAGATTAAGTTGGTTGAGTGTGTTATCTACAGTGGAGCCATTTTCAAGGGATTTTGGTTCTGTTTAATTAACAATCCCAGGTATCCAAAAATAGTACATGCTTATTTCTAATATACTGAGAGGAATACAGAGCCTACCAACAAGTGCTTATCAGAGAAGCTTATGTTGCTGCGTATGCTGTACGATCACTTCTAAATTGATTGTTAGGATTTTTCCTTCCTTCTACTGAAAAGGCCAAAGTTATGATCTCAAATAATATGTACACGTGGGCATGGGAAAGGAAAGCTATGGATGTCACTGATGCGTAGGAGAAGATAATACCAGAATAAACCACAGGAATAGTTTGTTTGTTGAAGGCTACATATAGGAACACAGGGAAAAAATGGAAAAGTAAAGATGATACAGCAGGAAGGGAAAGAGCCAAAGTGTGGTGTGTAAGGGTACAGGATAGAGGATTCCTTTCAATCTATGTGAAAGTCTACCTCAATTTTGTGGAACTAATTTCAGTAAATGAGGGATGATTTGAATAGGTTTTCTTTTAAAATATTTACTGCACTCATTCATATTGTACTAACAAAATTATATTTGTGTATTTCATATACAAAATAGGCTAAATTCAACTTTGTGCTATATCTATTGAGTTTATATACTGCAGAGGATTGTTTTAAGTCACTGTTTTACATATGTACACACACATATACAGTAGGTCCAATAAATAAAAAAGAAGGCATATGTGATTTGGAGACAGGTTTAGATTCAAATTCTGAACCTGCCTTCTTCCTATTCAGTTATGCTGAGAAAAAGTAAATTTACATTACAAAATAAGTCATTTACTAAATATAAAATGTACATTTTTTATGTAAAGAATCTACAACAAAGGCAGTGATGTATTAAATTAGTATGAAAGAGTATATTTGAAGATATACTGAAATTACTTAATTTTAGTCTCAGTTTGGCAATATTGATGAAAATAACCAGAAGGATATAATTCTTTTTCATACTTCCAGAGCTGTGTTTGTGATCAAAGTGTCAAGGAGAAATCAATCCTTAGACATATATTCTTAACTTAAAATATTTTTGCATTTTAGTTGGATGATAAGATTCTAAAATTAGGCCTGGGGATGTGGTAGAATGGAGTGGTACAGTACCTTCCTAGCATGTACAAGAACCTGGGTTTGATCCCGGGTACCCCCAACCCCCGCCGCCTCCAGATTTTTATATATGTGTATATATATATGTAGTGTGTGTGTGTGTATGGTTAGGACAATTTGGCTGTGACTCGTCACACCACTGATAGCCAGGTTTGATTTGACTGGCTGGCTATGCAGGCTTCCCCTTCCTCCCTCATTATTCCATGTGCATCACTGCTGAAACTGCTAAAGAAGGACTATTCTTCGGCCAGGGTTTACAAGTAGCTGCAATCCCCTGTCAGAACCTCCAAACAAGCTCTCAAGATTCCAAAATTGAATATCCAAATATATCTCTAACAGAATCTAAATGCTATTAATATTATATTTAAAGGTAGCTCTGCAAGGGAGGAGGTAGGTTTAATGTAACATTAGGTGGCTACGGACTGGCCCACAAGCTTTTTTTTTAGGGCGGGGTGGTACTGGGGATTGAACTCAGGGGCACTTGACCACCATTATTAGCATTCCTCTGAGAAAAAAAAATTGAGGCAAATAGTTACCACTGTGACCAACAATGTAACAAATGAAACATCTTTTGTGTGTAAGTTTCTTACCTTCTTCAAGGAAGCATAAGTAGGCAGTTTTTTTTCTTGAATTTCACTCACAAGTAAAAAGGCATTAACTATTAAATGGCTATGATTTCTTAATGTGCACACAATATGCAATGAATTAATAGACATTTGCATACCATCAATATTATACATGAAACCCAGAAAAATGATCTAAGGATCAAGCTAAAGTTTAGTTTTCATTTTTACCCCCCCAAAGAGGTAAAAATGTTAGATAAAAAGAAAAACGCTTAGTAACTTATTTAATTGGACTTAAATCATTGCTATATTTCTTAATATACCTTATTTGACTACACCATTATAAAATTATTAAATAGGATTTCAAATAAATAAATAATATGCTGCTATTAAAAGGTATTGTTTAGCAGTTTTTATTTTTATAGTAATAGCTATAATAATCAAGCATATAATTTGTGAGAACTGGAAGGGCATAACAATGACCCAATAAAATGTGATGGTTGAAGCAGCAAATTGAAGTTCTTTGATGACTGTTGAATTAAGAATGAAATTTTACCTTTTCTTTTCTTTCTTTCTTTTTAAAGATTTTTACTTTAAAAAATGTGGGCTGGGGCTGTAGCTCAGTGGCAGAGCATTTGCCTCGCACATGTGAGGCACTGGGTTTGATCCTCAGCACCACATAAAAATAAATAAATAAAATAAAGATATTTTAAAAGATTTTACTTAAAAAAATGTGTTCTAAACAAACTGCTACTACAGAGCAAAATAATGGCAGGCATTATTAACTTATACATTACTGTAATATTAAAAAAAGGACTCAGTTAATTCAGTATCTCACCAGCTTTTTTCTAAGCCAGAAGATCATAAGAACAAAATGAAAAACAAGTCCTATTCTTATCTGCATACTAAATAAACTCAGGCTAAAAAAAAAAAAAACCTGGTAAATAAAAAATTAAACCTACACAAGCCACTCTGTTTATTACCTGTAAAATAGCCACTTCATTACGGAGTTGACTTTCCTGCTTTGTGGGAAATCTCATCTTATCAATTACTTTAATAGCCACATCCCTTCCAGTCTTTCTATGTTTTCCTATTAAAAAAAAAAAAAAAAAAAAGAAAGCAGCGAATTGACAGACAACTCACATACAATACAAAAGCTTTACTAGAAAGTTGTCCCTGGACTGAAATTTATGTCCATAGACTGAAATTTACTCATGTACTATGTTCATTTTCTTTTTCCACATGCGTTCACTCATTTTTTATTTTGATAAGTATGTTTTTCCTTTACAGTGTTTCTCCTTAATAACAGCAGTTTCTTATTAAAAAATAAGAAAATTTGAGTTAACTTGTTTGCTGAAAAGTAATCTACCTTGTTAAATAAAAGACAATTGAATGCCCTGACCTAGTGTTCAGACACTATCAAGATGGAAACACTACAAATAATTTTATTATAGGTTTACACAGTGATTAATTACATATTATATCCCCAAATTCCAGGTCCCTATATACTAGAATCTAGATATAACATTTTTAAGGTAGAGTCATGCAATCAACAGCCACTCCTTCATTGATTAATTCAAACTAACTAGATATCTTGTGCCTATTATACAGTAGGTACCTTTAGACACTACAGATTAAGCAGTGAAAATGACAGATTTCTGATATTACTTCTTTTAATCTGTGTGTGACTTGCTATGTACCTGAAAGTAACCCACAGCTATTAGAAGGGCACAGTCATAAAAAATATGACACTTCAAAAGAATAGACAATTCTTTGCATGTTTGGTAAGAAGTCAAAAGTACCTCAGTTCTTTGCCTCCTCAATGAGAAAGTTTTCCAGAGATGTCACTAGTCTTAAAACTGACAAACTGAAAGTTACAAATCATAGATGTTATATATGTATGTATTTTCTAGGTGATTGTTGTATGTCAAACACAATGATATTTGTTAGGATACAAAGAAAAACCAGACATCTTTTCGCCTACCAGAAGAGACTAACAGAAACCCAAAGTTATAGATACTCTAACAGATACATGTCTACTATGCAGCAAAAGGATCAATGAGGAATAATCAGTCTTATCTGATGGAAAGGTAGGGATGGGGAAAAGAAAATCTTAAAGGATTTTTCAGTTGAGCTTTGAAGTATAAATAAATCTTCACTACAGAGATAAAAGGATAGAGAAGGAGCAGAGGCAAGAGATGGAGGCAGGTCAGTAGGTCTGGAAGAAGACAGCAAAGAGGGAATTGTATTAAGAAATTAGAAAGGGCTGGGGATGTGGCTCAAGTGGTAGCGCGCTCGCCTGGCATGCGTGCGGCCCGGGTTCGATCCTCAACACCACATACAAACAAAGATGTTGTGTCCGCCGAAAAACTAAAAAGTAAATATTAAAAAAATTTCTCTCTCTATCTCTCCTCTCTCTTTCTCTCTTAAAAAAAAAAAAAAGAAGTTAGAAATGCTGGGAGAGATCAAAGCAGCTCTGTATGCCTTGCTAAGAACAATGGCCATGAATCTGTAAAAAAATGGTTCTATATGAAGTAGTACTAATTATCAGAAGTGAGTTTTCTGAAAGATTCACTCCAAGAGTGTTATGAATAAAGAATAAGACTGGAGGCGGAAAGGCCAACTACTAACAGTCTACTGTAGAGTTGTAGCAAGGGATAATGAGGTTTAACAATTATTTTGTATCTTGGAGCACATGTTAGATTTAATTAATATTAAATTTAATATAAAATAAAATTAAAATATAAAGTTAATGATATAAAAATTAAAATATTGAATCTGTGAATATGCAGATCAGATTTTATTAGCTCCATTAAACAGATGAACACAGTGATGTAAAAATGACTTCACCAATATAAGTCATAGAGCAGAATAAAATTTAAGGTTTCGATTTGATAGAACATTTATGTCAATACTGGACAAATGAAGACATCTGTGTTGCAGAACTAATAGGGAATATACTTCAATGGACAAGTTCAAACAGCCTATCATAAACTTTATATCCCCACCACACAAACATATATATTTTTTAATTGTAGATGGACACAATACCTTCATTTTGTTTATTTATTTTTCTATGGTGCTGAGGATTGAACCCAGTGTCCCACACATTTGAGGCAAGTGCTCTACTGCTGAGCCCCAGCCCCACCACAAACATCTTTATGTGTGAGATACAAGAGATAAAAACTATTATAAAATTAATTTTCTGATTCTTTGTTACTTTTACAGTGGAATTTAAGGAATAAATACTCAGTTTTAGTGAAAAGAACAGCCAAAAGGATACAAGTAAATCTCTGAGAAAAGGCAACTTAATAAACTATGAGATGATAAAATAGCTGGCAGGCTTAAAATTGCATCATTTTCCTAAAATGATCTACAATACACAAAAGGCTGTAGTTGCTTACCTCCATAAACAATGCCAAACTGGCCAGAACCAAGCACCTCATCTGCAAAGATCTGATAAACGGTACTGATGTCCTATCAGGAAAAAGTAATCATCACTTATGTCTGGAAAACAATGCCAATATCTCTTAACTCAAATACTTAAATACATTTTGTTTTTATGTTAAAGACAACTAATTTTCATAAAGTACAAAATATTTCATGAAACACAGGCTTTTTATATTCTAGAAAAAGTTAAGCTCCAATGTTATGGTATGATATTAATGGGCAAGTATAAAGTATTCCCCAAGAACCTTGAGGAAAAAATGCTTTGAATAAAAAGATGTGGTATTTATTAAGCATTAAAGTATATAAAATATTAAGTATATAAAACAATATTAACATAAAAAATTAAAAACAAAATTTTATCTATTTTGCTTTTAAAAAGACTGCTACAGGGCTGGGGTTGTAGCTTAGTGGTTGAGAGCTTACTTTACATGCATGAAGCACTAGGTTTGATCCTCAGCACCACTTAAAAAATAAATAAATAAATAAATAAATAAAACAAAGCTATTGTGTCCATCTACAACTAAAAAAAAATTTTTTTTGTGGGGGGGGTTGTTGTTGTTTTTAAAGACTACTATGTTTGGGAAGAAAAACTCAGAAGTGTATATTAGGATTAGGCTGATTTTGAAAAATTAATTCAAATTCACTCCTCAATCTTTCTTCCCTCTTTTTTTGATAGTGTTTGTTGCTGTCAGAATATTCATGTACTAACATGGGATGTGTAGTGTCAGAATTGCACTACAGGTGTGACTGAAGAAAGACAAAGTGTAACTTCATTTAGCAGATCACACTTAAAGACAAAGCCTCAGCCCAGCAATTAAGGCCAGTGAATGTGCATATATACATGCCAAGTTGTTATGTGCTTCTCAATTTAAATCAATTTTTTCATATAACTAACCAATTTGGGTTCTAATTAAATTAGACCAGGGGCATCCAATATAAATATAACTGCCAGAAAAGGTTCTTCAACAAATACTAATTCTGGATCTTTTTCTTCTTATCTATGCAAGGATATATCCTTAAGTTCCTGTGAGATCATTCAATTTGTCCTTTCATGTTCTTGGTTTTTTAAATAAACTATTCTACCTACCACCTGGACAAGAAACACATAGATTGTATCTCCTTGAAACCCTCTTATCTCTTATAATACTATTAGATATCCAGTCTACACTGTGATCTTAGAAATTTCAAACATTGTAGGTTAGAGAAATGTAACAGCTGGATGCTCAAGTTAGAGAAAGAGAAATTTTAATTAGAGAAATTACAATTTTCTGGCTTCATTTTCTAGCCTTTGTTCATTCTGATCCAGAGTTGGCAAACTATGGCTAGTGGGACAAATGTAGCCTTCTGTCTCTTTTTGCATGGCCTCTAAAAATGGTCTTTAAATTTTATGACCAAACAAATAATATTTTGCAATGTGAATATTATGAGATACTCAAATTTCAGAGTCTACAAATTTTATTAGAGTAGTCAGGATCTCTCATTTATTTATGTATTGCCTATGGCTGCCTTGTTGCCACAACTGCAGAGTTGAGTAGTTTTATATGGTCCACAAAGCCTAAAATATTTAATATCTAGCCCTGTTCAGAAGTTTGCTGACCAATTATAAAATCCTAGCATACCTATTATTATTATTGTACTAGCCAAACTTAATCTATTTACTATTTCTTAAAAGTCCTGCATTTTCTGCTTCTTTCTATTTGCTCATCTTCTTCCCTGTACTTGCATAAAATGTTGTTCTCCTGTTTTCAGATCCTCAGTACTTCTATCAAAAACCCATTACCATCCCTTTAACATGGATCAAATTGTACTTTATTTAGGAAGCCTTCCCTGCTGACCAAGAAAGAAGTAATCTCTCCTTTTTCTTTAACAAGTCTATTGTTTTAGTGACATTTATTCTAATGTCACTTTTTAAGTGAAAAAGTTTATTCTGCTTCTGTAATTTAAAAAATATGCCTTAGTTTCCTCCATAAAGCAGAACTCTTTAGGTAAGTTCTCACTCAGAAAGTATAATTGTCTTTAGGCAAACTGCTCAATACTTTGGGCTATGAACCTATTTCTCTAGTAAGATCTCACATTTTATTTTTCCCTATTTTAATCACCCAATTTATGAATGTTAGCTTAATTATTACATACCACATTCTCCTGGACCTGACAATTAGATACAGAGATACTGGTAGATAAATCTTCTGTAAAATATAAGAATGGTATATGGGAAAAGAACAAATTATTAGTATATGACTTAACAATATTTATTGACATGTGAATACCCATGGTATAGCAAACTTAAAAAAAATAGGTTAATATATAATATGTACATTAAAATAATTTTCTATGTACAAAATTCTAATCCATCAAGAGGAAACTGGTTAAATAAAATATGATAAATCTATTCAAATGATACTCTAAACACTTAATAAATGACATAGAACTATAAATATGGAATCAGAAAGCTAGCCAGGATGTCATATTGAGTCAGCTGCAGGCATAGCTCAGTGGTAGCATCCATAAGGCTTTGATTTTGATTCCCAGCAACCACCCCGCCGCAAAAAAAGAAAAGCTGCATGGTGGTAGCATCTGAATTAAAAATAAAAATATTACTTCTTGGTAAATGGGGGAGGTAAAGCTGGGTAATGAGGATTTTAGTTTTCATACACGTCTATACTATCTGTACTTTTTAAAACATAAAAAGCATGCATTATTTTTATTTAAAAAATATTAATTAGGTAAGCCTACATACTGTAATTGGAATATATCTAGTATACATTAAATCATGAATAAAAGCAAGTTGCAAAAAGAACACAGGGTATGACTCTATGTTTTTGTAAAAAGAAAACTAAAACAGTATAGCAGATAGTGTAGGTTTCTCTCCCTACCCTGAATTCTTCCCCAATCTAGAAATATATAGCAAATTTAATAATGGTTTCCTGAGGGCAGAGTTACAGGAGTGGGGGGGGGGGCTGGAATTACATATGTATAGGAAGGACTTTCTCTTTTTATATTACATATTTCTTTTCTTTTTAAATTTTTTGCAGTGGGAGTCGACTTGGGTGCTCTACCACTGAGCTACCTCTCCATTTCTTTAATTCTATCTTTACTAAGTTGCCCAGACTGGCCTCAAAATTTCATTACAGGTGTGTGCCACCAGCTAAATTACATATTTCTATAAAATTTAAATATATTGCTTTGGTAAGCAAAGTAAGCAACTGACAAGAAAAAAGGAAAAAAGGAAGTTAGCAAGAGAATAGTATTAAACATATAGAATCTCAGAGAAAACTCAAAAAAAATATGGAGTTTCTTTTATAATCCCAAATATAAAAATATAAAACGTCATTAATACAAAAATGTAAGCAAAGTATTCACCAAAAATAAGTAACATGAAAAAGGTACCATTACATTTTTTAAAGTTGATTTTCAATTGTTTTTTAAATAACTCAAAATTTAAACATTAACGATCAATAAAAGGCAGAACATGAACAAAATTAGTGTCTAACATTCTGCTTTCAGTAGTTTGTTTCCTAGTTTAAGTCTCAGTATTTATTTTCTTTCAAAGGCTTCCTCTATCTAGCTCCAAACTCCATCCAATTTTAATTTCTATTTGTTCCAGAAAGGTTATTTTAAGGACCACAAGAACAACAGCACAGCAATAACAACATTTATGTATCAGGCACTGTCTTAAGCACATTATGTGCATTTATTCTTCTTTCCACTTTAGAGAACTGTAGAGTCTAAGAACACATATCCAGTAAGCATCAGAACTGAGTGTAAACTCTCTAGAATCTTCATCTTTTTTTTGGGGGGGGGGGTGTGTGCATACCCAGGATTGAACCCAGGGGCACTTAACCACTGAGCACATCCTCAGTTCTTTTTTTATATTTTTATTTAGGGACAGGGTCTCACTAAGTTGCTTAGGGCCTCGCTAAATTGCTGAGGCTGCATTTCAACTTGTGATGTTCCTGCCTCAGCCTCTCCTGTGCCTGGGATTACCAGCATGTGTCACAGTGCCTGACTTGCAGTTCTATCTTTAGAGACTCAACTCTAGATAAGAGGTGCATAGATGAGCTTGAAAGGGTTCCTAAACCCTTGGAAACTACATATAAAATGTGTGTGTATGCGTCTTCATTGTTTTCTGGGGAAAGGGTTCTTGGTTTTAATGAGAACGTCTGAGATTCTGTCTAAAACTCCCAGAACTTAAGAATCACTGTCAAATATCCATCTACCTATCCCTCACAATATCAATAGTAAACAGCAAAGATGTACATGGTCATCATCATCCCTTTGATCACCCCTATTCTCCTTATCTAGGGTAATACTACTCTCCTACCTCTTTTATCTAGCTCTGCCTAATCTATTACTCCCTGATGTCCAAAGTCCAAATCAGATTCTACTAAGAAGTCTCTTGCTTTCTCTTCCTATCCACATCAGAGTTTCTTGAGTAATGCATCCATCTACTTACTTATGTATATCATATAGCCCTTTTGATTTTTGTTATTTCTTTTGTATTCTATCTCAGGGCTTAGCATAATACCAAAAAGAGTTGCAAAAAATTATGTAAGTAAAGTGAAATAAACTATATTTGGCAAGCGGCTGGTACTTATTTCAATATGAATGTATTTCTTGAATGACTTTTTTCTCCATATTGCCAATGGAGTATAAGTGGCATTATACTGTGATTTTCTGATTGTTAACTATTCACTCAAACCTTTATCAAATCTAGGGCTAATTTTACAAATTTTCCCACTGTAGAACATGTGTTTCAATAATTCTTAATATTGCTGAATTTTTAAAATTCACTTAAATGAACATTTCTGACTTCACATATATCATGAGTATGGTATGAATTTACTGATTGTAGGTATGGTATGAACATAATACTTTATTGCTTGTTTATATCTCAACATATGCAAAAATACTAACAGAATATTTAATCCAGTGAAACTTCATAGATGCCACGTACTGTTCTGTACTTTATAGATTCCCTTTCATTTAATACTAATAACTCCATGAAACAGTTACTACTACAGAGAGGGAAAGTATTTGACTAAGAACATATAGCAGGTTGGTAAAGCTACTTATATGTAGGGAGACTTACTCTGGAGCCTGGCTCTGGGCTGTGTGTGTGTGTGTGCGCGCGCACACACACGCACATGTGTATATAATAGCATAATTTTATAAAGGAATCAACGATATAAAGCTTAAGCTAAGCATTAAGAATACACAAGGGAACATAATCACATCCCAAAATGTTTAAAACCAAAGAGGAGAAAAAGTCATCAACTATCTTATTGCTTACTGTGGTCTTTCCCCTGCCCTGGAGAAGTGCAAACACTTGCTTGAGGGGTCACTGGCATGAGGGCTTGGCGAATTGCTTTTTCCCAGCTCTGTGCTACATCAAGTCCAACTCCAGTGGCAGCAAGAACAGGATTGTGAGAGTTGTCCCCATTGTTCTCACCAACAAAGTATACCATAGTGTCAGTGATGATTTCAAAACAGTGTGGGTTACTGCCTTGTGAAATGTTTGTGAAATCTCGTGGTGAAGATACTTGGAGAATTTCTGAAAGTGGAATTTCCTGAAAGTGTAAGTAAAAAATTAAACTTTAAAAAAATATGAATACCTATTTGTTTTCATTTTTAAATAAGCTTAGAAATTTAAGACATGCATTTGAAAAAATTCCATTAAATATTCCATTCCATTAAACAAAATATGTGGTATACTGAACACAGAATCAAGTCTTATGATAATGCCTGCCTTAAATGACCTGCATGTTTATCAATGTGAAAGGCAGAGCATGAAATATGATAAGTATAACAAAAGATTTAGGCCTATAATACATTATTAGGATGCAGGAAGGAAAGGATTTAGGAGGGTAGTGTGCCACTATAGCCAACATTTTTTCAGTTTCCACTTGTCATTAAATTAGCTTAACAGCTATTTTTCTAGTGGCTACTTTTTTTGCAAGTTATAGCCCCAAAGTGAGCAAGAAGCAGAAAAAGCAGAATCTTGGGTCATTAGAGGTCACATAAATACTCCCCAGTTCTGTCAATTGAAGTCAACTACCAGTCATTTAATGTTCAGTCTACTTCTTAAGGAAAAAAAAGTTTATTCTTAAAAACATGTTGTTGTGCTTCTGTGCATTTTCTTTCTTTTAAAGAGATGGGGTCTCCCTATGTTGCCCAAGCTAGCTCCAAACTTCCAGGCTCAAGTTATCTTTCTGAGTAGCTTAGATTGTTCTAAGCATGAAACCACATTTCATTCACTGAATATTTTCACCAATTCTTTAATTTTTAGCTGCTTTTCCTTTAGAGACCATATTTCATTCCCCTCTATGGAAAGTACTGGTATTGAACATTAAACTGGAGGGCTCCAAAAGAGCAGTGAAAGATGAAACTTTCCTCCCATTCTTTCTTACTGATCAAATTGCTACACTTATAATCTTGTTTAGTGTTAGTCTGTGACATGGCAAAAAGTGGTGCAAGCCAAGGAAGAAGACTATACAAAGGAGATGAAGAGTAAAAATAAATAACTGGGAACTGGAGCCCAAGATAATGTGGGCTCTTCTGCATAGGCAATGAAATGGACTTTCTAAGCTGTCCAATCTAAATCACACTATCCCAAATCAAAGCAGCTTCAACTTGACAGGACAAAACCACACATACAACCAAAAAGCAATCTTTGGTAGCAGGGTTGCTGAGAGGAGTTGTGTGGAGGGGTGGAGAATAGGTGCTTCAATAAGAAATTTAACAGTGACTTCTATAAATAATATTAGGCAGGGCCATAACAGTATATATTTATATATATTTGGAAAAATAAAATATTTTAATAACTTTCATAAAATGTAAAATGCTTACCTTGTAATACTTTGATCCAGATTCATTTTGAAATAATGTTAGACTTTTGCTGTCAAGTCTCCAATAATGCCTCTTTCTCTATAAATTAGAGATCAAAAGATGGTGAGGTTCAAAAATAATTCCTCCAAAGAACTTATACTTTCTTTTTCCTTAATTTCTACTCATAAGTGTTTATTCTTTTTTAAAAATATTTATTTTTTTGTAGTTGGACACAATACCTTTATTTTATTTATTTATTTTTATGTGGTGCTGAGGATCGAACCCAGGGTCTCGCATGTGCGAGGCAAGTGCTGTACCACTGAGCCACAACCCCAGCCCAAGTGTGTATTCTTGATAAGTTTAAAATCTATGATTCTAAATTTTCAAAACATAAGGTATAGAGTATCACTCCAACAGTCACTCAGATCCTATTCCTGACCCTCATTCCATTCAAACAATGTTGTTAGATTTTTGGAAAATGTTTTAGAGAAATGTATGCATGCTCATATAAATATGTATTTGTTAAAGACATATACACACAGATACATAATTTACCTACTGGCGAAATTTCTAGAAACTGACCTATTGGATCGAAAAATATGTGCATGTGTAATTTTAAAAATAGTGTTAAATTATTCTATACAAGACTTAATTTGCAGTCTCATCAGCAACATATGAGAGTACTATTTTACTCATACTCTCACTAATGCAGTATATTATTAAACTTTTTGATGTTTGATATTCTGAAAAATAAAAACTGGTATTTCAGTGCAAGTTTAAATTGATATTTCTTTTATTGTAAATGAAATCAAGTTCTTATATGTAAGAGTCATTTTTCTGTGAACTCTCTTCATATTCTTTTTTTAAAAATTTTTTTTTAGTTATACATGGGCACAATGTATTTTATTTATTTTTATGTGGTGCTGAGGATTGAACCCAGGGTCTCACATGTGCGAGGCGAGCACCCTACCGCTGAGCCACAACCCCAGCCCTCTCTTCATATTCTTTTCCCATTTTCCTACTGTGATATGATCTTTTTCATATCTATTTATTGGCTTTATTCACATATTATGGAATTAACCCGTTTAGAAAACGAGTGAAAAATAATTTTTCCAGCTTGTTATTTGGTTTTTGCCATGTGGAATTTACAAGATTGAATTTACTGATTTTTTCCTCCTATTGTCAGTTTATAAATAATAATTCTACAGTTTCTTCTACTGGTTTAATTTGTTTACATTTTTTTTATATATTTATTTTTTAGTTATAAGTGGACATGTGTCTTTATTTTACTTTATGTGGTGCTGAGGATTGAACCCAGTGCCTCATGCATGCTAGGTGTGCGCTCTACTTCTGAGCCACAACCCCAGCCCCAATTTGTTTACATTTAAATTTTAGATCTACTTAGGTTTATTCCATGTAGAGTGTGTGTTATGTTTATGATTTTTTTTTTCAAAATGGCTATGTGGTTGTCCCAATGCCATTTATTGAATTATCTACCTCTCACCTTGCTGATGTGATATAGTACCTTTTTGATATGCTGCTAAATTCTCAAACATGTATCACTCAGAGTTCCATTTAGAAGGATAAGGACTAAATTAAAAATAATAATAATAATAATAATATATATATACATCTATAGTCTGTACTCCTGTCATCAAATAGAACTTCTTTAAAACCAGCTAAATGTATTGAATACTCTAAATATTCTTAAAAGGTCTACTAAAAAGTCTTTCAGTAACCTTCATCAAATTTAGAAAAATAACAAAATAATGGCTATTAAATACTTTCTTGAGTACTTACTGCATGTCAAACATTGTTCTAAACTTTTCTTACATATTCACTCACTTGGATCTGTGAGGTAGTTACTATTATTATAACAATATTACAGATGAGAAAACTGAGGCATAAAGAAAATCAGTAACTTTCCCAAGTTCACACAGTTTTAGTAAGTCACATAGACTCAGGCAGTCTACGTATAAAGTCTATGTTCTTAACTACAACACTAAGTTAACTCTTCATATCTACTGCCATCCCACTATAATTTCACCATTCCTTTTCTTTGCTAGCTAGATCTAAAAAATAATTTGACTATTTACACTAAGTCAAAATCTACATAAAAATAGATGCCTCTATCTTTGTAATAACTTACAATGACTTTGGATAAGGTTCTAGTTCCTTCCACCTTTATTTGTAGTTCATTATGTTTTGATTCATTACTCTTTATTGTCATATAATATCGGATTCTTTTTTAGCGGGGGTGTTCAGGATTGAACCCAGGGGCACTATTGTCATTGAGTCACTTCCCTAGCCCTTTTTATTTTTTTGAGATAGGTTCTTTCGCTAAGTTGTTTAGGGCCTTGCTAAGTTGCTTAGGCTGTCCTTGAACTTGCATTCCTCCTGCCTCAGTCTCCAGTTGCTAGAATTACAGGTGTGCACCACCATGACTGGCTCAGAATCTTTTTGAATCTTGACTATTCTTTCAGTTTGTAAAGACAACACATTAGATGTTATGCCTTTCAAAAGCTTGTGTAACTATAATTCCAGTGTAACTTACATACTGCTATATTGTACACAGATGTCTTAATATATACGTACATTTCATCCTCATTTTGATTTTAAAAGTATGGAAAATAAAACTCAGAAGCAAGTTTCACTAGCATATTAAAAGATATGTAATTACTGACCAGATTATCCCTGCTGGTGTAATGGACCATCCACCCTTCCTTCACCATTGTGCTGCTCTTCCTCTTTGTGTGCTTGATGGATTGTACGACTCTCATTAGCGGAATATTATTGCTTGTTGATGGACTAAAAAATATTTAACATTTATAAATATTTATAATTTAGATTTTTTTAAAAAATATCATAAATACTATAAGCTCATCAAGTCTCTTTTTAAAGTAACAGCTAAAATTTTTTAAACCATCTTAGGAAGACAGACAACTACTCAAAAGAAAATAAGTTAACCCTATTATTATGATACATAGAAAACTAAGATAATATTTTTTAAATATTCATTATTTACATGAGTAAATGACTTTTTTCTGGAGGGTCACAAAAAAATAGGAAAATAATAAACAGCAGTAAAAATACTCCTTAACTAGAAGATCTGGAGCCTGGAGGAGGGTCTAATCTCATTTGGATTTGCTGTGGAGTTGTTTTCTTGCCTAGGCAGCATGATAAATTAGCAAATCCATAATATGGCAAAATACATATACTCAAATTCACATGGCTCAAATGTCAAATTCAGTTGATTATGTTGTTAGCGAAAGCCCCTCTAATAGTCAATACTAAAATAATTTTTAAAAAATATTTTTTTAGTTATAGACAGACACAAAACCTTTATTATTTATTTATTTTTATGTGTCGCTGAGGATCGAACCCAGTACCTCACATGTATGAGGCAAGCACTCTACCACTGAGCCACAATCCCAGCCCCAAAAGAAAATAATTCATAAATAATTCTTTCTTAAATAAATAAACCCAATGTTATCAGTCCAATCAGATTATACTGTAATGTGGCTCAGTAACTATAGCTGGAGAAAAAGAGCAATCTGGTGTGTATAAATATGTGTATACATATATATATCTCAAATATAGTCTTGAAAGTTCATCTACAAACAGTTAAATAATGTTCTCTTAAACTAGGAGGTATCCATGATTAGAAAACTAGCTAGATTTTTTTAGCAGTCTCCAAACTGGGTAAACATCAAGTTTTAGCTAGTAATGATAATGATAATAAAAGCTATAATTTAATGAAAAGTCAAAGTAAATAAATGATGACTCAGCCATGTGAGATTGATAAATGACCCATTTTTCTCTAAATAACTCTTCACTGCCAACTGAAAAACAAAACCTGCCAAAAATGCTTACATCTTACTACAAAGTAGTATATCCTATAGGTAATGAATATTTAATTTACATAATAGTGAATATTTAAAAGTTTTATAGTCCAGTAACATTTGTACAAAAATGCTAATAGATTAACTGTGTTAGTATGAAAACTACCCTCAAATTCATGGTCTTCATTTTTATGCAACATTCTCAGGAATGTATTCTTTATTGCTATTTCTATCATCAGGTAATTTGCCTGTGTGAAGAAAATGGCTGCTTTAACTGATGGTTTAATACTGACACCTTGTGGTTTGCCCCATAAGTAGATATTAAATCTAGACTATATTTAAATATTTTTCTTTTTAAGAAAAATGGATGGCAAAAATGATATTTATTTCAGAAATACTGTAGTGCATGTAAAGAACTAGCCGCAACTTAGATTTTAAGTTACATTTAAAGTTCTGCTTAAAGAGATGCAAGTTTTTCTTAATGGAGATCCTAACCTGACCATGATTTTGGAAGCAGTCTGCAACATCTACACGTGTTACCTGATTGTTTTAATAGCTTCTTCATCTCGTTCCACATCAAGATCAGATGGATCCAGGAAGAACATTTTATCTTCTGGGGGAGATGGCTCTTCTGTGTCATCCAAGCCTCGACTACCATCACTATTTATGTCACTATTGTCAATGTCCATTGGTATATCTGTATCTGTTCCCAGACTGGAAGGTTCTGGCAAAGTTTTAAATGAATTTCAGAGTTTTATGTTAATGAAATAACATATCTAAGTAGTCTGTTAAACAGGAAAAAACATTTTAAAACTCTTTAAATATAGAAAAATATCTTTGTGATTCAAGATAAATAAGTATTTCTTAAAGAAGATACAAAATGGGGGCTGGAGATATAGCCCAGTTGGCAGAGTGCATGCCTCTCATGCACAAGCCCTGGGTTCAATCCCCCCCCCCCCCCACACACACACAAAAAGATACAAAATCATGAGGTACAAAATTAATTTTGATTATGTTAGAATTTTAAATTTCCATATGACACAAGGTACTGCATATAAGCAAAGTAAAAGATAAGCCCCTATTTTACATTTTGGTAAAAAAAAATTTTTAGTAACAGTGCCAAGATAATTCAATGAGGAAAGAATTAAATAGTCTTTTAAATAAATGCTGATAGGACAACTGGATATTTATATACAGAAGAATTGAGTCTGATGCCTTTCTTAAACTATATTAAAAAATTAACTCAAAGTAGATCAACCTAAAATATAAGAGTTAAAACTATAAATGCTTAGAAGAAAACACGGGAGTAAATATTTGTGATCCTGGTTTATGCAAAGCCTTCTTAGATACAACACCAACAACCTAAGTGACAAAAATAAATGCATGCATGCACTGGATTTCATCAAAAAAAACATACTTCTGTGGGGTACACCACACCTTAAGAAAGTGAAAAGACAGCCCTCAGCATGGGAGAATATACCTGTAAATTATATATTACATAAGGAACTTGTATCCAGAACATCTGAAGAACTTTTATAACAATAATTAAAAAAACAAATAATTTAGTTAAATGGGGAAAGGACCACAAGAGAAAGTTCTCCAAAGAGGAGATAAAAACCGCCAACAAGCACATGAAAAGATGCTCAATATCATTAGCCAACAAGGAAATGCAAGTGAAAACCACAATGAGATAGACTTAACACTTAGTAGATGCCTATAATCAGAAAGACAGATAACAACAGGTGGTGAGGACACAGAAAAACTTAGATTTTCATATATTGCTGGTGGGATGTAAAATAGTGCAGCTGCTTTGGAAAAGTCTGACAGGTCCTCAAAATGTTCAACATGAAGTTTCTGTATGACTCAACAATTCTACTACTAGGTATCCATCCAAGTGAAATGAAAATATCTCCTTTGAAAAATTATACAAGTGTTCATAGCAACCTTATTCTTAACAGTCCCAATATAACTCAAACATCCATTGATTGATGAATGGATAAATAAAAATGCAGCATAAACCTGAAGAGCAATATTATTTGTCAATAAAAAAATGAATTAAGTGGGGCTGGGGTTGTGGCTCAGTGGTAGAGTGCTCGCCTAGCATGCATGAGGCACTGGGTTCGATCCTCAGCACCCCATAAAAATAAAATAAAGATACTGTGTCCACCTAAAAATTAAAAAAAATATATATAAAAAATGAATTAAGTATTGACAGATGCCACAATAGAGATGAACCCTGCAAACATTAATGCTAAGTAAAACAAACCACTCATAAGACTATATATTGTGTAATTCCAAGTATACAAATGTCTAAAATAGACAAAAGCAAAAAGTTGATTAGAGGTTGCCAGGGATAGCAGGAAGTAGAGGACAGGAACCACTAGTTATGGAATTTATTTTGGGGGTGATGAAAATGTTCTAATATTACAGTTACAACTATGTAACTTTGTGAATGTATCCACTAGATGAATTGTAAGGTATGCAAATTACATCTTAAATCTGTTAAAAAATAAAGTCACTGAGAAGCTACTTATACCACACATAACTCAAAAAGGATTAGTATGTAGAATTAACAACTTCTGAAAATCTATAATAAACAAACAAAAATAACAAAGCATTTGAACAGGCAATTTACAAGGAAAGAAATTCTAAATAACAAATAAACATCTGAAGGATGCTCAAACTCAATAGTAATCAGAGAAATGCACACTAAAATACATAGTATTTCATATCCATTTGTCAAAGGAAAAAAGATACAAAAATGCAAATACATGAACTGTAAATTTAGAGAAGACTTCAGTCATAGAAAACTATATTAATAAAGATTAATTGAAAAATAAAACCAACTTTACTTTGTCAATGATGTTACCTAGCTATGGTGCAAATGACTCTTTGTACCCACAATCCATTTGCTGAAATCCTAACTCCCAGAATAATATGGTATAAGGAGGTGGGGCCTTTGAGAGATGATTAAATTATAAGAGATCTGCTCTCATGATTGGGATAATGCCCTTATAAAATAGGCCCAATGGAGCTGGTTTACCCATTATACCATCTAAAGATGCAGCTAAAAGGTACCATCTATGAACCAAGAGATGGACACCCTCACCAGACATAGAATCTGCCAGCACCCTGAACTTCCCAGCCTCTAGAACTATAAAAAAAAATTTTGTCATTTATAAGCTACTGAGCTTTTGGTATTTTATTATAGTAGCCTGAACAGACCAAGACAATCAGTAGCAATGGAAAGCATGCCACAAGAGAAAACATTAAACTCTGTTTTTCAAATTTTCTTTTTCTATTTTGCGGTGCTTAGGACTGAAACCAGGGCCTCATACATACTACACAAACAACCACTAAGCCACATTCCCAGCACAAGAAAATGTTAAACTCTCAAGTAATTTAATTTTTCATTTGTTATGCTTTTTCTACAGAATAACATATTATTTTTTTAATAGTCATGTAAATTGTCAAAGGAAAAATATGTTGAAAATTTAGAGCCCTTCCTCCTTCATTCAAAAAATGGTAATGTCTTTGCTTAGTATTATCTTGAAAAGAGAAGGTGTGGGAGGCCATATGTGGGAGGCCAACCTTACCGGTGACTGAGTTACACTCCCCAGCTGGGTGCTGAGGCGCTCAGTCACAGAAATGGGTGTGTCTTGCTACAGCCCCATGGGTGAAGCTATGCTCACCTGTTCCTTTGTAATATAACCCCTTGCCCTGTTTAGGATAGAATCTTCCATGGAAGTGCCTTGTGTGTGTCCCCTCCTCTTACTGTGCCCTTGGGTGTGGCCTACCCAGGTGTCAGTCAACCTGCTGTCAGTGGACATCATGAAGATAGACTCAGCCCCCTGAAACCTGACCCCTTGCCTCATTTGAATAGCTTCTCCTCAATAAAAGGGGTCAGCGCGTGTGCTCTCTCTCTCTCTCTCTTTCTGCGGACCCTTAAGGTCAGAGGAGCCGTCACAGGAACCCCAAAGAAAAAGGTATTTGTGTCTCTTGTGTGGTTATTTCGTGCAGCCCAGTTAGCCCAGTTTAACTAGAGTGACCCCTGAGCCTTTTAGTCGTGAGAACAGAAATCCGGCAAGAAGGGGTAGGGGGGACATGACAACACAATGACAGACAGTAGGATAGTGTTTCAATGACTATGAACTAAGGTACCCAGATCATATGATCATATGGGTCCAAATTCTGACTCTGCTAACTTTGGCTGTATTTCTGACAAGTTATTTCATGTCTTGTTTACTCATTTCTTGGTACTTATCTCAAAGGGTTGTTCTTCTTATGTTTAAATGTCAAATATTTCTAGAGTTCAGAACAGTGTATAACATAGTAAAAAGCTAATAAATACAGGAACTTTGCAAGAATAAGAACAGCAGGGTTTTAAAAGAGATCTTCTTATGTCTACAGATGGAAGTTAATATGTAGCACTACTGGCTATTTTAAACAACAAAGTGGAACGTGGCTAGAGGAAAGATGGGACAGTATAATTATTATTATTTTTTTAAAGAGAGAGAGAGAGAATTTTAATATTTATTTATTTTATTTTTTTTTAGTTTTCGGTGGACACAACATCTTTGTTTGTATGTGGTGCTGAGGATCGAACCCAGGCCACATGCATGCCAGGCAAGTGCACTACCGCTTGAGCCACATCCCCAGCCCAACAGTATAATTATTAATGAATGAATAGTATCACTGATTTCTATAGTTTGCTTGATTATTAAATCGGAAAAAACCTTAAAAAAGAAAAATAAACAAAGTAAAATATGTAAATATAACTTGACACAAAGGTAATACACAAAGGAATCATGATCTTTTCTGTTCTTTTACAGAAATTAAGAAAAATAATTTTACCTCCATTGAAAGTAACCTCTCCAAGGCAGTCTCTTGGTACTTTTGATGCACAGCGTTTATGGCAATTGAATTTACAATCTATAATAAAAATATATGGCTTATTATTATTATATGTAGATAGGCAATATCAGATGTGGTTAGACTTTCCTTAAATCACACATGGAATATAAATACTAATGATGATATTTCTGCTAAAATAATAGTATCTTCCTCCACTAAGAACTCAAGTCTTGCAATAAAGGTCTGGTTAACTTCTGATGACACATCTTAATAGTTATTTAACCTTCCACAAATTACTCAACTCCACCAGGGACCTTCATCTGTATAATGGGGCTAGTAGCATTAATATAACACTGCAAAAGTGTGCTGGCAGCTCCATGTTTACTTCTCTTATCTCACATGCATTGTATCTCTTATCTCACTGTATTTCCTGTATTTTAAGCTGATAATCTCCTATAAGAGTCTTTTAAGCTGACATCTAATGTATGTCAGATACATATTTTTATCTTCTGAGTATTAAAACCTGATACAGATGCTAAAAGGTACCAGACGCAGAAAGGAGACTGAGACTCCACATATATTCTAATAAGGATTTTCACATACAGCCCTATAAGAAAGGACTAAGGTTCTTAGACATAACATCTCCATTTCTACATAATGGTTCTCTTCTGCCTACAAGAACCTCAGAGTTGATGGCACTGCAGAATAGAATCAGATATAATCTATTCAACATGACTGTATAACTCAGTGGTTCTCAAATTTCGATCCCCAGCTCAGCATCAGCATCATTTGGCAACTTGTTAGAAATGTAAATTCTTAGAAGTAAGGCTGAGAAATCTGTGTCCTAATGAGCTTTTTAAGTAACATTAAAATTGAGATCCACTAATGTAACCATGTCTAACACTGCCTCTGAGATTAATTTACCAAAAATAACTGGGTAAAAATAATTTGAGTCCTGATCTACAATGCTTTGTAACTCTTGTGAGTCAAGGAAATCCCATGTATCACATGAGCAGCATAGGTTGAAAGTCATTATAGAAAAAACCAGCCATGAACTTAATAATTTGATGGGTAATAAACTTCACATTAGGTAAAATATAGTCTTTAGGAGAGGTCCTAGTAAAAAAATCATACATGTTAATATCTTGTATATCTCTTAAGCAACATATTAGGTTTTAATTTCATAAACTTCGCAAATTCTGCAAATAACAAGTTCCATTTTCCCTTAGAAAATGTAAAGCTAAATGGTCCACTTGTAGTATATAGGTTCTAATTGTAGGCATTTTTATTTCTTTATGTTCTTACCCATTTATTAAGTAATTTATTTATGCTTGCTTAGATTTTACACATGACTTCAAGCTGCATTAAGTTTTTGTATAGGAAAGGAATTTGAAAATAAAAGAATAAATAGATGGATGAATAAATGAAGAGTAATCAATGACCCCATATAATTTTATTGTTAACAATTTTTTTGCTTTCTTAGCTTTACAAATGAATGAAAACAATGACTATTTTCCTTTTTAACTGTATTAATTCATATTATAATAAACAGGAATTGCTGGATTATAATTATATGGATCACTGAAAAGGTTCAGCTATTCAGAAATATTAACTTGACATTTTCTGAACCAGTATAAGCACAAAACATTATTCTTCTAGAATCCTAAAAGGTTAATCTAATAATCCAGTGGCAGAGTTAACAGGCTTTATTTAAAAACTCATCAATCTGAGGATGCAGCTCAGTGGTAGAGCACTTACCTCACATGCACAAAGCCCTGGGTTCAATCCCCATTATGAAAAGAAAAGAGAGAAAGCCTAATGCCTGAAAGAGTCATATAGTAGGTAACCACATAGTAGATAACCATAACTTACCTTACAAGAGCCAAATTCTTGTTTTTCTGTGTACTAGTGATGTAACTTTTTTTTGTTATTGTGGTGGTGGAGATTAAACTCAGGGCCTCATGCATGTTATGCAAGTGTTATACTGGTAAGTTACATCCCCAGCTCCACTAGCTATGTATGTGATCTTAAGCAATTTACAAATGGAAAATGACTGCTAGTACTAATGATTTTATACAATGCTTGCTATGTAGTACAAACACTGCAGGTAAAAGTTGTTAACATACACACATATATATATTTTTAATATTTGTTTTTTAGTTATAGGTGGACACAATATCTTTATTTTATTTTTATGTGGTGCTGAGGATCAAACCCAGTGCCTCACCCATGCAAGGCGAACGCTCTACCTCTGAGCCACAATCCCAGCCCGGACACATATATTTTATATGCTTTTACACACACACACACACACACACACACACACACATACACACACCTTTCTTTTTAAAGCTGACAAGTAGAAGAACAATTTCTTCAGCAAATTCTTCTAAATAAAAATATTTTAGTAGCTCAGTAGTAGAGCACTTGCCTAGCACATGTGAGGCACTGGGTTCAATCCATTGCACTACATAAAAATAGACAAATAAAATAAAGGTATTGTGTCCCTCTACAACTAAAAATATTTTATATTTATTAAGAAAAAAAAAAGAAATTTTACTGAAAGAAAACATTCAATCCTACCTTTGCACTGCATTCCTTGGCGAAAGAGACCTTTCAGTAACCGTTTGCAGTACTGACATATTGTGGGGCGGCCGTAAGAGTGAACAGCAAACGTGTGTGGAACTTTTACTCTGCACATTACCATCTTTTCCATCCAGATTGGGCGACCACTCCAAGATGGAATTCTCTTACTTGGTTCTTGGTGAACATGTGACTAAAATATAAATAAATCAATATTAAAAACAAAGTGTGGGAGCACAGCTTAACCACAAAAGTCATTATTTGCAATGCTAAAGTCAATAATCTGAAATGTGGATTTCAGCAATTTCCTATGGAAAATTTAGTTTATCAACCCTTGAAGGAGAAAAGTATAGATTCTTTTTCTTGCTATTACTCACATTAAAAACAACAACAACAACAACAACAAATGAAAATAAGGTGTGTTCATTCAGATATATGTTATTTTTTTCATTGACTAACTATTATTTGCCAGGCACGTTCAGCATATAATTAAAAGCCAAAAACCTTAACATGACTCAATTATTTTATTTTTTTGTAGTAATGAGGATCATACCTTGGGGTGTTCCAATACTGAGCTACATTCCCTGTTCTTTTTATTTATTTTTTGTTTTGAGGCAGCGTCTTGCTAAGTTGCCCAGTCTGGCACTGAATTATGATCCTCCTGCCTCAATCTTCTAAACTGATGGAATTAAGGGGTGTACCACCATGACCGGTTTAACATTAATTTATAACTAATTTTCAAATCTATTCAAAACATGACCAAAGCCAGGAATGGTGGCTCATGCTGGTTATTCCAGCCACCCAGGAGACTGAGGCAGGAAGATCACAAGTTTGAGGCCAGCCTCAGTAACTCAGAGGACCCCTAAGCAACTGAGTGAGATCCTGTCTCAAAATAAGAAATAAAAAGGGCTGCAGATGTTGTTCAGTGATTAAATGACCCTGAGTTTAACCTCCAAACCCAAAACAAACAACAAAAACAAAAACCTAAGGATTTAATCATAGAAAATGTACATAAATTTGAAGAGTATTATTGTATTATTGAACATGAAGTCTCAAAATTATTTTAAAATAAATTTTAGATTTTCAAAAATATCTCAACCTATATATATATAAATTTAAGTCTAATTCATTTTGATGATATAATTAATGACAGGTACAAAATAATTAAAATGGCTTTAGCTTTAGGGGCTGGGGCTGGGGCTCAGTGGTAGAGTGCTCACCTAGCATGTGTGAGGTGCTGGGTTCAATCCTTAGCACCACATAAAAATAAATAAAATAAAGGTATTGCGTCCAACTACAACTAAAAAAATGCATTTAAAAAAATGGCTTTAGCCTTAGTAATTAGGCTTTAAGTAATTCCTTAATATTTTCAAGTTCTTTGGATTTTTTTCTCCCAAGTGAACAAAAAACAAAATTAAAGAACAATATGAAATTTTTGTGTAATATAAGGGAGAAAAGGATTTTGTAACTATGCTCTTTCTATATGAAGGAAATAAAGTAAATTGTTGGCTATTTCAATGTGGCTCATTTCATTCATTCACCAAACATTCACTTATTATTATATGCTAGGCCCCATGTTATATATTTGGGACACAAAACTGAATAAAACATAACTCAGGTTCTCAAGCACAAAGTTAAATACCTAACTACCACCTAGATATATGAATAGATTATGCTGTATGTAACTGTTTGCATCTTCTCTGCCAGAATTGAGGTCCTGAGACTGTTTGGATGACTTCTGTAACTAGGAATATTTATAACTCAGAAAAGTTGAGTTTTTCTATATTGATACGTTCCACTAATGGAAGCAAAAGAAGTGAGAAAAAAACAAGAGACAGAGAAATGTAGGAGGAAGTAAAAGGAGGAAGACGAGCAAAAAACAGAAGAAAAGGAAAAGAATCAGAACAAAACAACTGAATGCAGAACACTATAAAAGGAACACAAATGTAGTTTCAGATCAATAGTTTTTTCCTAATGTGTAGCGAGAAATTTCTGAAATGAATTATGAAGCTGTTTAATTCGGGAAAAGTTCAAAAAGAATGTTAAAACCCAAACCACATTTGCATGCTTCAGATGTCCAAGGTGTCTAGTCTGGCTCACCCTTTCTCCCTGCTGCCATGCATGGAACACCTTCAGCTAAAGGAACACCACAGGGATTCTGCAAAGTTAAGAAAGAAGCCAAAGGGAACCAGAAACAGATATTTTAAGTCTGCTCACCCCTGGCTCCCTATTCTAATGGTGGCTCAACACTCTGCTTCTCTTGATTCTGCTTCTACCACTTTTGATTTATCTCAAATTCAAAACACACAAGGTGGAGTTAGACTGATTTAGGCAGCCATCATCAAACATAAAGGGCACTCCTGTAAAAAAGAAACTTCATAACAGACCTTTACACATATCAGTGGTCAGTTACTGCCTTCTGGTCAGGTCCTGCTGGGATTGGGGTCTTGGGGACATGGTAAAGACCATGTGTATCAGGAACTGTTCAGAGGATCAAGGTTGTAGCAGCCACCTAATATGTTATATCCAGGTAAAGTTATTTATGTTATCTCAATTTTAAATAGGAAAAAATAGGCTCAAAGGGATTAATACCAGTAAGTGGTAATATCAGAATCTAGATTTATGTTTAGTTCTTCTCCATTCTAGTCCATCTACAGATTTCCCATCTCAATATACTGAGGGGGCTGGAGTTTTGGCTCAGTGGTAGAACACTTGCCTAGCACGTGTGAGGCACTTGGCTTGATCCTCAGCACCACATAAAAATAAATAAAATAAAGATACTGTGTTCATCTACAATTAAAAAAAATTTTAAAAAATATATTCAGGCTTCCAATACAATCCTACTTGTAACAGCGGTTTGTCTATTAAGGAAGAAATGGTATGGCAGACTTAATCAGAATTTGAAGGAAAGAGAACGTTGGTAGATTAGCAAGAGAAATTGATTAAAATGGGACTATGAAGGGGCTAAGGATTTAGTTCAGTGGTAGAGCTGCTTATTTAGCATATGTGAAGTCCTGGGTTTGATCCTTAGCACCACAAAACAAAAAAACCACAAACAAACAAAAAATTCACCACGATCACCCCCAAAATCCCAAACACAGGATACTTAAAAAGAAACACATAAGGTCTATCTGGGAAAATATCTGCAGGGCTTGAAGTTTAGCTAAATGATAGAGCATGTGCAAAGCCCTAAGTCCAATCCCTGGCAACACACACACACACACACACACACACAAAGGGGGCAGGGAACTATTGAGATTAAAGTAACAATGAGTGAAATTTCTTCTTACCTTGTTTTAATGTCCCCTATTTACAAATTACCATTTTGCTTAAATTGTTATTTCTTGCCTACTAATGCAAAGCCAGAAAATTTCTAAAAGTAATTGATTATTTCCACAGTTTAGTTTTAAGCTAACATTTGCCCAAGTTAATTGTCCACAAAAACCATATAACATTGCCAATACTATATTGTACATAATAATGAAGGAAATAAAAGCATTTTTAAAATCAGTAATTCCTCAATTATGTATATTTAATTGGCTTTGGAGTATTTCTCAGTGAAAGAAATATTTCCACTTTTACACATACACTTAGATCCAACATTTTCTTTCCATTCTGTTCTATACCCTCAAGGATATAAAGAAGCACTTAACTGTCTCATCTTCAAAAAGTCAGCACTCAATTTTGGATTCTTTAACCTTAGTGATCCCAATCTAGCCAAACTCAATGAACAGTATATCTTCTTCTATTCTTCTTCTATCTCTGTTTCCTCTTTAGACTGACTTCTGATATAATAACAGAAACGGCCTTCTTACATGTGAACAAAAACCATCTTGATAGACTCAAAGGTTTCTAATACGAATAATATCTCAGTGACTCACAAACTTTTCTTTCCCATTTCCCTACCTATATAATCAGGACAAGACTATAGCTCCTAGGAGTGTGGTTAGAAGACAAGGTAAAGCTCCTAGCACAAAGCCTGGCACATGTGAGCCACTCTGCTCTTCTCTTTGTTCAGCTGTCTCCTCTGTTCCTATAGTGTATCCTCTCTTCTTATCTTTCTTCCCTGTGATTTTCCTCCAGAGTTCTTCCTTTACTTTATATCTAACTTTCTGAGACTGCATGACTAGATCAACAAAACAAAACCTTGAGGACTTTCCACTCTACCAGTTTTACTTGTTGTAAAATATTCTAAGCAATCAAGCCAATTCAAACTTGTCACTCTACTTCTCATACTTTCCTAAGGAACTTTCATCTTTAGGATAAAATATAAGCCAAGAGATTTAAATTTAACTAGTTAACCTCCTGTACCCATGGGTTTGGCATCCACATATTCAGTCAACCCTGAACTACAAATGTAGTTTGCGTATGGTGGATGAATCTGCATTGAACATACACAGACTTTTTTTTTCCTTAGGAATAATGTTCCCCAAACAGTAAGAACAACACCTATTTACACAGAATTTGCAGCATATTAGGTATTATAAGTAATCTAGAAATGATTTAAAGTATATGAGTATATGCATATATAAATGTACCAAAGAGAATTTCACAATTTTGTGCATGTTGAAAGTACCAATCAAAAATAAAGGAGTGAAAGGAAGATCAATAGAGGAGAGGAGGAAGAAGGGGAGGAAAAGGGGAGGAAGAAGAAAAAATATATACAAGAGGATGTGTGAAAGTTATATGCAAATACTATACCATTTTATATAAAGGACTTGAGCATCCATGAACTTGTTCATAAGATGCACCAACTTTCCTACTATCAATCTTCACCCAAGCTTTTCCACATGTTTATACCTAACTCCTTGTTCTTGGTCTCTATGACACAGTATTCTTCTTCTACTTTAAAATCAGAAGGTTTTACCCCAATATCTCAGTATACCAAAATCTTGTAACCCCCTTGGGCATCAAGACAATATCCCAAGTCTTGATTTTGCCACTAATATATTGAAGATCAAAAAGGTTATAAAACAACTAAATGATAAGATTACAACCTATGGATGAAAGTCATCTCAAGTACTATTAAATGACTAAGGGAGTTATTTCTTTTTTCTCTGACCTTTATCTTTGAGAAGCACAATACATTAGGGAGAAAAATCACAGATTTAAAAATAATGAGATCTGGATTTAATTCTAATATCTCTTATTCATTTGCTCTGTGACTTCAGACAGGTTCTGGGTCTCCACTGTCTTATGTGTATACAGACTTATGAATATACCTCAAAATGTGAGGTTCAATGGAATCATTCACTCACTAATTCACGCACCAACTGAGTATCTACTAAGTACCAGGTACTGTGATGAGCATTAGGGGCACATAAAGACACAAATATTGTCTTCTCTAAATAGATAATAAACTCCTTCGGGACACAAAAGTGATATTAGGTAGTATGTCATATACACAATTAGAAAGTTTTGAAAAGTATGATGTCATTCACAAAATAAAATAACTTCTAGGTAAGGAAAATTGGGAAAGGCAGGTAGGTAGCTATTGAGGTAGGTCTGGAAAAACTATGTACGACTGACCTGAAGAACAGAGTTAGGAGGAACAAGGATGTGCAGGAAATGTTGGAATAACGTAGACTGCCAGGAACATAGACTATATAAAGATTTCTGTGATGGTTAATCTTGGTTATGGACCTGACTAGATTGAGAAATGTCTAGAAATCCATAAAGCTTACTTCTGGGTGTGTCTGGAAGGGTGTTTCCATAGATGACTGACATGCAGGTCACAGAACTGAGTGGGAAAGACCTGCCCTGGATGTGCATTGTCCAATAAGCTGGGGTCCTGGCTTTAACAAAGAGCAGAAGAAGGAGAAAACTTGTACATGCACACTATCCTCTTTTAAGTGGGAGGATTCTTTTTTTTTTTTTTGCTGCCATCACAGATTCCAGCTTCTTCAGCCTTTGAATGTGCACTTGCACTAGAAACTCTCCAAGACACTTTGGGGCCTGTAGCCTTGAAATGGGGTTCATTATTGGTCCTTATTACACTCTGAGGTTTCAGCTTTTTTGACTGAGCAGCTCTCCAGCCTACAGATGGCCATGTAGGACTATTAAACCTCTGACTGTATACGTCAATTTAATAAATTCCCTCTTTTAATCTCTCTCTCTCTCTCTCTCTCTCTCTCTCTCTCTCTCTCTCTCTCTCTCACACACACACACACACACACACACACACACACACACTATTGTTTCTGTTCTTCTGGAGCTCCCGAACTAATAGTTTTCTAGTGGGAAGCAACATCAAGTTGCATATTAGGGAAACTCATCTGGCTGTTTTATATGAGATGGAAAGTTAAGTATGGAGACCAGGAGCCAGGATACTGGCTAGTAGCTAATGCAATGGTCCAATTGATAAAATAATGCAATCCTTAGGTACACAAAATCCAATTTATTCCTACTGGTAAGATTTGTCTTCATTATTACATTTTAAGCTTCTTAAGTGTAGGAATATTACTATATTTAATTATATAAGTTATATTCTAGAATGATGTCATACCCTGTGGAAGCATTAGGAATAACTAGCAAAACCTCCTTCTATTTCCTTAGAATACATACCTCTTCACTGAGAAGGGCTATACACTCAGGCTGTAGGGGTCTTGGAACTGAGAGGCCAGGTCCTGGTAGAGATACGTTCGATAGCCGTCTCTTTCTTACTCCACTACAGTTATTTGGTATCTTGAAGGCACATCGTTTGTGATAATTTAGTCCACAACCTAAATATATTTTAAAAGGTAAAATGTAAGATCAAAAAAACTTTACTGCTTACATGTGACACATAAAAAACTATCACTTCTTTTATTTAACTTACTTTCTCTGTCAACAATACCTACCCTGAATAAGAACTCAGATGACAGGCTAAGTAGAAGGTAACAAATTCAAGAACAGGAAACATGCAGAAAGGTTTATTTAGAAAGGTTAAGTTAGCTTTAAAGTAGTAGATCCTGAAGTGCAATCCAAAAGGCAATCACCTTGGAATTTGTTAGAAATGTAAATTACTGGTTTCACCTCTGATTTACTTCATTAGAAACGCAGGAGGGGGCATACCTAAGTGTTTTATGATGCCTGGTATTGAGAGCCACAGCTTAATACAGTGGCCAGCAGCAAACTGTGGTCATGTATCAAATCTTTCCTTTGATAAGAAAACCGTATGAAACTCAAATATCAGTGTTCAAAAATACAACTTTGACTGGAACACAGCCATGCTATTTGTTTATGTATTGTCTATGGTTTGTTTCACACTACAACAACAGAATTAAGTCACAAGAGACACCACATGCTCTGCAGAACCTAAAATATTTACTCTCTGGCTATTACAAAAAAGTTTATTGACCCTACATACTAAAAGACTGCTTCTTTGTAAAAAATGTACATTTGCAGCCTAACCCCTAGCAATTCTAATTTAGAATGACTTTGACCATTATATTTAAGAGACTTAACTTTCTAAAAACTTTTAAGTAAGGAGGTTAATATTTACTGAGCCACATTTTGTGCCAAATGTTTTATCTATATTACCTTATTTGAACCATTCATGAAACCAGTGGGGTTGAATATATTTTTACAGAGAAATCCATCCTCAGGTCTAGTAAGCTGCCTACGATAAAAATGTGTAGGTGGCAGAAGTAGGAACAGAATCTTATAATCTCTGCAATCCTTTTTTTTTTTTTTCCCTTCTCAGTACTGGGGATTGAACCTGGGGTATTTTACCACTGAGCTACATTCCCAGCCCTTTTTATTTTTTATTTCAAGATAGGATCTCATTAAGTTGCTTGGGGCCTAAGTTGCTGAGATTGGCCTTGAACTTGTGACCCTCTTGCTGAAGCCTCCCAAATCACTTCACCCAGCTAATCTTTACAATTCTAAACCCTGGTTACTACTAGATCCAACTATGACTTGTTTTTTTCTTTAATAATAAAAAATGCAAATATGAAAAATTTTAAACCACATACCTTCACATTTTAGTCCCTGACGTACCAATCCCCACAGCATCTCACCACAATAATCACAAAAAGTAGGAGCTTTGTAAGAATGTACATAGAGAGTATGTGGTCGAATCTGGAAGTCTTCTACTGTGGCCAAAGCTTTTAAAAAGAGAAGTATTAAAATAACTTTGCATTTGTAATTACAAGGAGATCAGAAATGCTCACCATGTACATTTATGTTGAAACAGAATCACCATTTCTCTAAAGCTTTCATTTGACCATAAAATTAAATTATTTTCCACATTCTATACTGTGAATTTTAAACTTGTTTAGAAAGTCCACTGGCTTCAAATTTTGAACTCCAACTCAACTTGGATTATTGATATTATTATTGTATGCAGATTATTTGGTCCTTCACAAGCATTTTCATATAATGACAAGACTATAAATAGTTGTTAGATCTATTTTAACTAATTAAAAATTGTTTAGCTTCCAATACACCGAGGAAAAAACACTAAAATTAAAATGAAAACACTGTGGAACTTAACCTCAATTTATCACAATATTTCTGTTGGAAAAGAGTTCTAATTTAGGATCCCATGATACAATCTGTTTGTTCTCCATAGTCTTAGTGATTAAGAGAGAGAGAAACTCCTTTCCCCTCAGTGAACAAAAGAACAAATCTGCAAGTATAATTACTATACATCCTTGTGGTTTTATTCCGACTGGTCCATAACAAAGAAGGAATGGATGTAAGCATGACTTGCAGGGAAGGCAAGGAGTGGAAGCCCCTCATGAGTGAAAAAGACAAGGAATGGAAAGTATATATATAGTTTGGGGTTGTAGTTTAGAAGAGTGATGGGGAGGGGCTATACGAATGAGAAGAACAGAAATATAAGAGGAGTGGGAACTAATAAAGAAAGGTGATGTTGGTCAGAGAGGCTCTAAAGAATAGGCTCAAAGATGAGTTTGGGGTGAGGGAAACGTGGTAGCAGGACTCTGAATTCTTAGGTGGCAAGTTTATTTGCTTTTTCTATCAGTCTTCCTTTCTTGCCAAACAAAAAGTATCACAGACCTATTATGTGCATAATTATGACATTCTTTCTCCCTTTACATATGTCACTAACAATCTTGCCCACAAACTGTTGATGAGACTAAAAATGGAGTTAAGGAACAAGGAATGGCAAAAGCAAGTAAGGTAAAGAGGAAAATGCCCATTGGGAACAAAATGGAAAGAAGAATTTTTTCTGATATTATTAGTTCATTTTAGTTATATATAATATTAGGGTTCATTTTGACACAATTATACAATCATGGAATATAATTTTCTCTAATTCAGTCCCTACTAGGAAGAAGCATTTTTTTTTAAGCCAAGGAAACCAGTACTGTTATTTCCTCTTTCATATCTTTAATATTTTTTTTCCAATTCTCTTTTCTGAACCTCAATTTCCCTCATCTAAACTGTTTATAAAATGGGAAAAAGAAAACAAAATTTTAATATTGTTTTATTTATTTGACTCAGAGAAAAAAAGAACATATTTCTTTGTCAGTTCAATTGACAATTCCATTAATTTAGTAAAACCCAAGTAATTCGCAGTTCATTTTCCTACTTTTTTCATCTGTGAAAGTAGTAAGTAATCTTCCTAAAAGTAAAATTACATAGTAATGACTATTTTATAGAGGAAAGAAGTAAGCAACCATATAGTACCAAGACCAAATGTAACTGAACATAGCATTTAATGCAGAAAATAAAGCTCTTTGCAAAAATTAAAATAAAAAAAGAACAAAATAAAAGGAGTTATTTACTTACCTGAAAGAACAACTTCTACTAGATCTCCTTCATGTATTTCATCTGCTGAGGTAATCAGCTGCAAAATATTTTCTGAGTTCATGTCATGGCGAAAGAGAAGAATTTTATCATACATGCCAAAGAATCCACACTCTGGAAACTGTGGGAAAATAGTCCTATATCAATATACTCATAACTTTCTGTTTTTATAAGTAAATGTCTCAAAGTTATGAGAGAATTTTTAATAGTGTTTTAGCTTAACACTATTTGATAGCAATTTTATTGATATCCAAAAAAAACACACTCAAGCTTTGTGGTTAAAATTCAAAAATAGAAAAGTAAATTTATAAATAGTCACTGATTATCTTAAAAGACAAAATCTCTTTGAATGAAAGCACTTTTTTTGTTTGTTTGTTTTGTGTCGTGCTGGGGATTGAACCCAATGCCTCCTACATGCTGGATAAATGCTCTGCCACTGAGCTACATCCCCAGCCCCACACCTCTTTGAAACAGAGAATTTTTATATTGCTGATGAAGAATATAATCTTGAACTCATACTTTATTATTATATAGCTTGAAAGACAAGTAGTTTTTCACATTCTCTAGAACTGCATTGTCTGATATACAGCTTCTATAGTTGCTATTATAGTTTGGATCTTAAGTGCTCACCAAAGATTTATGTGTTACAGGCTTGGCACTTTGGGGTGGTGCTATTAGGAGATCATGGAGCACTTATGTGGTAAGTAGGGTTACTGAAAGGTTTTTATGTCATTGTTCCTGAAGGGACTGTGGGACCCTGGTCTTCTTTTTTTTTTTTTTTTAAACTGTCTTTTGCTCCCTCATGAGGTGAACAGTTCTATTCTGCCTCATGCATCTACTATTATGTGTTTCTTCACTGAAAGCAACTGGAACCTTTGAAACTGTGAGCCAAACCACACCCTTTCTTTATAAGCTGCTTATCTCAGGTGTCTAATGTAGCTATTAACCACAAGCAGTTATTTAAATGTAAAATAATTAGAATTAAGTAAAAATAAAATTTTGATTCCTTATTCACTCAAGCCATATTATATATAAGCACTCAACTGCCATGCTAACTACAAGTTATCATACTGAACAAGACAGATATAGAACACTTCCACCATTTTAGTACGTTCTACTGAACAATGCTTAGAAGACCAATAATAATCAAACTATAGTCACAAGACTGCTATTTCCAATATTTTTGCAAGACACACAGTCTCTAGCATTTATTTAATACCTTATTTATATTTACTCACTGTAATTACAAATGCATCATTTACAATACCTTTCTTTAAAAAAAATAAATAAACAAAAAAAACCCTTTGGCCAGAGCAGGAGAATTGCAGATTTGTTCACATATGCCCTATCTGTATCATTTTAAGGCTTCTCCATTTTGTCAATATAGTGCCAAGACACTTTGGGGATTTGTATGTGGCCTAAAATATGAAGATGTATGACTAATATTTTTAATAGTAAATAGTTTGAGGTTAAGAGAGGATTTTAAGTACTGGACTTACAAAATAACCATGTTTAGTTTCCCAATCAATTTTTAAAGATCATCTTCAAATCTACTAGGGTCTTGGGATATGCTGCTCTAGAAAATTCTTCAGGTCTCAAGAATTATGAACATTCATAACTTATTTTAGCTCCTCACAAAATATTTTTTAATAAACTATACAGTGTGTCAGGCCTTATCAGGCCTATGTTGAATGGCCTGAAAGAAATCACATAAAACTATAAATGCATTTACTTTAGGGATGTTGTTGGTGATAGAGTTTACTACTTCATACAATAGCCCTGCTCTGTGAGGACCCATGAAACAAAGGTTCCCTGGTTAGTTTTGTATGAGCAACTTGGATCATATATAATCAGTGATGTTTTTGTGTTTACTTTGCCTACTAGAAAAAAACAAGCCAAATTTGTAGTCTACTTTACCAGTCTAGGATCTATGGCAGATGTTTTTAGGTGCAGAAGCAACCTACCTTCCTCTTGTTTTCTGACTTTAATTTTCCCATTAGAAAAATCTTTTATATCTCTCTCTCAAGAGTTCTCAAATCTTTTATTTTTTAAAGTTAAAATTTAAAAAACTGAAAACAAGAACTTCATTAGAAAGTTGGGAGATTATTAGTATTTTTTGAACCTGTTAAATAATAAGAAAAAATAGAAATATTTAGATTTTTATAAAACTAATTCTATTTTCAATAATTTGAGTTGCCAATAGGATTTATAAAAGTTCATAATATGCTTTAAAATATTTAACACTATCTGGAAAGATAACAGTAAAAATACAGACTCAGGAAATTATTACATTTTTATTTAAATTTTAAAATAAATTAATTTTAAAATGTTAAAATTTTAATTAGAGAATATCTTCATAACTTAGTTCCAACAATTTTTCACAGTGAATAAAAAAGATTCCACATTTCATCCTTATAAAAATAAACTCTCTAACAAAATATTTGGATTTTTTTTTTTTTAATACTGGTGGGGGTGTTCTATCACTAAGCTACATTCCTATCCCTGTTTTTTTTTAATTTTGAAACAGGGTCTTGATCAGTTATTTACGCCAGCTTGGAACTTACAATCTTCCTGCTCCAGTTTCACAAGTAACTGGGATTAAAAACATGTACTACCATGTCTAGCTTCTGACAAAATATTTGTATGAATGAAGCTGAATTTTAAAAGTCATATTTCTTGTAAGTCTGCTAACTGCAAGGTATTTGCCCCATAATGTGTAAACAGAAAAAAAGATACTATCTTCTAGGAGATTACAATCTAGTAGGAAATAAACACAAATATTATACCACATGGTTAAGTTAATGATGAAAATGAAATAAAAACAAAATGATAGAAATAAAAGCAAATAAATAACTGGGAAAGTATAGTAAAGGATACAGAATGATATTTAGGGGCTGGGGATATAGCTCAGTTGGTAGAGTGCTTGCCTCACATGCACAAGGCCCTGGGTTCAATCCCCAGCACCACCAAAAAGAAAGAAAGAAATCATCTCTTGATGAATTATAATACCTAATACAATAAAATGCTACACAGAATGATATTTAAACAGAACTGCAGTTAAAGAAGCCGGTGGGGGCATGCATGGGTTCCATAAGCTAAAGGTAAAGATGTAATGTCATTGTTGAGAAAGTACAAGGTAAATGGAACAAGGTGAAGTGTAGCCATGAGACTGAAGAATGAGGTAGGGAAGAACGGGGCAGAAATAGCACAAAAATGCACACAGGCCTGACGGACCATACTAAAAACCTTGGAGTTGACAGAGTTAGTTCAAGCTCTGTTACTTACTAACTACAGAAACTTAGACCAGCTATGAAACCTCCCTTTATCAGTTTCTTGTTTATAAAATGGGGATAACATAGTAGTGTGGCTTTATAGGGTTCTTGTCAAAATTAAATTTCTTGATAGCACTATGATCAATAAATACTGGTGGTTTATATTATTCTGTATCCAAGAGGGAGAGACTCAGATCAAAGCAGTAATATGAACAAATCTGTTACCTAAAAAAAATAATGCTTATAGCATTGTGTAAAGAAACTGAAATAGAAGAGACCAGAGCAATCTCCCGAAACAAAGAATGAAGCTAATGTATGGGAAATAAAAATCAGAGTCTGGATTATATAATACAAAATGAAAAGAGATGAAGAATACTTCTCTCTTTAACAAAATATATGGATCATTAATGCTGGTTTGATCAAAGCAGAAGTCCTAAAGAATGGTAATGAAGAACTGAATTTAATAAACATACCAATGAAAGAAGGAAAACAACATTAAAATAAATTTACAGCTTGGACAAAAAACAAACATAACCTTCTTAACAGACATATGACCTAATGAATAATAACTACAAGAAACTGGTATTAAGAGATCCAAGAGCAAGTTAAAAAATTACAGAAAGTATTACAAATGTTTATTTAAAATAAAAATTTATACATCAGAGGCTGGAAAGCTATTGGTGGTAATAAAGAATAAAGTCATTTTCTAGGCTAGTAAATACTTTCATAATATACTCACCTATAAAATTGACAAATTAAGAATTCCGAGGGGAAAAGTTGTAATAACTAGCCTAAAATAAATGGATTTTTGCTACTCGAGATTATAATTTAATGGTATGGCTGGTAAGAGATTTAGGTGTGTTTGGTAAGATTATCTGAAAGCAAGGGTCAGAACTAAATGATAATAGAAAATGTAGCTTGGAAAAAAAACAACAAAAGATTAAATACTGTCACTGAACATGAAGGAAACATTATGGCCAAGGTTTAAAAATATTAGAAGTCTGGAAGCATGAATATATTAAAGATAAACATCTAAAAAGAAGAAACAGGAAATAAACAATGAGAACACACTTTAAAAAGTCTAAACAATTATGCAAAATAAACAAAACAATCTGCCAATGAAATGGATATACAGGGATATTGTTCATAATTTTTACAAATTCAGAAATTAGTTCTTTCAAGCATGAATAAATACGTAAAACAATGCCTTAACTCTGATAACACATCAGAACCACCTGTGGAGCTTAAAACTTGAAAAGATGCTCAGGTTTTCTTTTCCCATAGACACCTGAATTCTAAATTTACTTTAAAAACATTATTCAATATATTAAAAATAGTCTTTATTTTTAAAAATAGTTTTATACTTATAGAAAAATTCATACAATAGTACATAGAGGGTTCCCATATACCCTATTATTAACATTTTACATTAGTTTGGTACATTATAAATTAATCACCTAACTTTATCAACTAAAGCCCATATTTTATTAAAATTTCCTTAGTTTTCACCTAATGTCCTTTCTCTGTTCCAGTATCCCATCCATGTTACCACATTACCTTTAGTCGTCCCGTACCCTGAGGCCTCTTTTGGCTGTGATGATTTCCTCAGACTCTAATGCCCTTGACTGTTGTATTTAAAGAGTGCTGGTCAGGTATTTTGTAGGATGCCCCATTGCTGGAATGTGTTTGATGTTTTTTCATGGTTAGCCTGGGATTATTGGTGTCAGGGAGGTAGACCACAGAGGTTAAGTGCCATTCTGTGTCATCTTCATTATATCCTATCAAGGGAAGCTATTATATGACATCACTGATGTTGACTGAGTTAAGGTTTGCCAGATTTCTCCACTGC